ATATGAGATTACACCCGTTGCGCCCCACTTACATACCGTCTGTGTCCTGAATATATCAAGGCAGCGGTGACATGATGCTGTAGACTGTCTCTTCAGTCCGATTTTTTTCGAGGGCGCTCCTTTAGGAAACGATTTTCATTACATAGATTCGGCATCCGCTCGAAGGTCACGACCGAGTCATCGTTATCAGGCACAAGGGTTACAGTGGTTCTCCACTAGTGAATTCCGGCGGCCCATGATCTTTCTTACCGGCGGATTTTTAACCGGAGCGAGAGAGAGCGAGAGCGAGAGAGAGAGAGAGCGAGAGAGAGAGAGAGAGAGAGCGAGACAGAGACAATAAACACATCAAGTAATTTAAAACAATACCGCATGTAGGAAGGTGATGTGAGGTGCTGTGGTGTAACAATGTCAACGGACGGGAACAGACATACGATGTACTACAGGTACCAAGCATCCCTCCCCGGGGCCCACTCAATTATACTCTAAAAGAGTCTTTGCTCTTCAGTGTTTTGCGCGGGAGTGAGGCAAACACTAGTCTGGCAACTGTCTCCAAGACGCAAAGTGTCCAATTCGGGCACTGTATCATGTACAGCACTTAACGTCGTCAGAGTAGAGTGGTAGGCAGACTTTTCAAGCTGTCCCGTAGTAGCCCGGAGTCAGTCCGATATCAAACACTCTGACAAGACAGGGAAAATGGAGGGGAACATGGACATATTGGAGGCGGGGGCTAGGACTGCTCGCTAAGCAGAAAGCCCGGAAACCAGCCCAAGGGGAGCTTAAGGCGGCAGGGTACCCAGGCCCAAGTACGTCAGTCATTTGGGGCAGGCACGCACATCGGGGAGTGGAGAAAAGATCATGGCAGGGGGGGCCGACGGCAGCTCTCGTTTTCTGCAACACTGCTTCCCACTCGCAACGTAGCCTATCCTCCTTCAACAGCTGAGCCTGAACAAGTCCATTATTCTTTGAAGCTCTCCTTCTTTTATTCTGCTCTGTTTTGTACAAGGGGGCCACTATGCACGGTGTCAACTGGCTTCGCATAAATCCGTCACTCTGTGCTGCGCTGACATGGAGAACATGAGCATGTGAAGAAAGAATCTGGAACTCCCCCTGCTTATCTGTGCCTGCCTACATACCAAGTAGTATATAGTACATGGTGTACCTACCTAGGTTCGGGTACCCGTAATAGTGGTGTAAGATAGCCTCCCAAGGTGGCTGCGAGGGCCTGACGACGACGACGGCGGCGGCGGCGGCGGCTACTACGACGTCGTGAGGCCATCTGCCATCCGAATCTATGAGATGGATCCCTCCAGCGGAGCGGAACACACAAGGTCCTTGGTGCGCTGCGACGCCTCTTGGCCCTCAGCACCAACTGAGCGGAGCATGAAGTGGTGGTCTTGGCTAAACCAAGCCCAGCGTGCCAGGCCTTCCGATCATCCGCTCTCAGCGAGAATTCCAGCCCCTGCAAAAGAAAACCCAAGACCGGATCTGGGATATGTTGATATGTGCTGGGAACCATCCGTCTGCTCATCAAACAAAAGGCGGCTCCCTCATATGTGGGTGGCATAACTCAAAACTTTCATGGTTTGTTTTGGTTGTATCGGCGGGCAATGATTCTGAATTCCAGGTGCCCCTGCAGGTGTCATGTTATTTCCGCTCTTGTCGTCCTGCTTCCTGCCAAAAGCAAAGCGCCATGGTAATGATGGAAAAGAAAACTCCACAAGACGCAAGCCCGTCCAATGCACCACATTGAATCCATGGCGACAGCTGATTTTTTGGCCCTTGCGAAACCTGCGCCGCAACCCCCTGCCTGGCGCTACAGCGCTAAAAGCGCGCAAGCTGCCACGTACCTAGGTACTAGGTACCTAAGCACCTAAGGTAGCTTCTCGGCGACGGGCACGGCTTCGTTGACGATGGTAGCCGCTCCCGACGCTTTGCTTGCGGCGGCGCACTGAAGGATGAGACCACCACATTCTACACTGCACAACGATGCCTCAGTCTTCAATTCGTGCTGTCAAAGATATACAGTTGATTCGCCTTGTTCCACCCATGGGATGAGAAACCAACGCATCTGTACCGATTCTACCTAGGTAGGCAGGTTACGGCCCGTCACACCACCTAGTAGGTACGTACTCTGCAACTCGCTTGTAACCGCACTTGGCAGAAACACGGAGCACGTCAATTGGCCGATTGCACCGAACCTCACCAAACCAAACCTCCAGTATCCACCACGCTCACTCACTTCTACCTCGGTCTCACACCATATCGTCGCCATCACCAGCTTCATCTTTCATCCGTCTCAGCCCCTACATCCAATTACCTCAACGCCGACGGCAACAACAACAAAAACAAAAACAACAACACCGCCACACAGGTCATAGCTCGATAAGTAAGCAAAGAGTACAACCCCCAAAAATACGCACCGACACGGGGTCGACCGTACATCCGCAAGATGCTCTTTATCGGACTAACAGGCTCCATCGCAACGGGCAAGTCCACCGTTTCTTCAATCCTCTCCAACCCGCCTTACTCCATCCCCCTCATCGACGCCGATGTCCTCGCCAGGAAAGTTGTCGAGCCGGGTACAAAGGGTTATGCTGCCATCGTGAAGCACTTCCTCCCCACCACCCCGGACCTACTCGTCCCGGTCTCCGACGACATGCCCGAGGCCGGGCCCCATGGCAAGGGACGACCCCTCAACCGGCCTGCTCTCGGAAAGCGTGTCTTTGGCGACACCGAGGACCTCAAGCGTGACCGCGCCGTTCTCAACGGCATCGTCCACCCGGCCGTCCGTGTCGAGATGTACAAAGCCATTTTTCGCGCCTACATCACCGGCCACTGGGCTGTTCTGCTCGACGTCCCCTTGCTGTTCGAGAGCGGGCTCGATCGCCTCTGCGGGACTGTATTCGTCGTCGCCGTCAAGGACCCCGAGGTGCAGATGCAGCGCCTCATGGCACGCGACCCTCACCTCAGCCGCGAGGACGCTGAGAACCGTGTGCGAAGCCAGACGGACGTGAGGCTCAAGGCGAGAAGATGCGAGGCCCGCGGCCCTGGCAGGGGTATCGTGCTCTGGAATGACGGCTCCAAGGAGGACCTAAAGAGGGACATTGGTGAGGCCATCCGCCACGTACAGGCGTCGAGTCCCGTTTGGTGGAGCTGGCTGCTCCTCGCATGTCCGCCAGCAGCGGTGGCCGTTGGAGCATGGCAGTTCTGGCAGAACATTCACATCAACAAGGCGTGGGCGGAGCAAGAGAGGATTGAGAAGGCCAAGCTGTAGGCCCATCAGCGTGCGATATCATTCATAAATAACGGCCCGTCCAGCAGGCGGTGGCGTCCACGCTCCCAGGGGAAAAGTGCATGTTCCCTGACTCCAACCAAACTCGTCACCGAACCTCAAAAGAAGTACTTCGTGTCACGCAGCCAGCTACGATGATCAGCTAATCGGGCCTAGAAAAAGGACTGCCAGCACATCGCCGCTAAGTCGCCGCCAGAATGAAGTCAAGGTAAATGAATAGAGCCAGGGGTTGAAAACCTAATCAGGTCTCGGCACAAGCGACTCTGGACATACCCCGACGTTGAAGGATGACGGTTCGGAACGGCCTTTCCTTTGAAAATCGCAGCTACTTGGGGCGAATATGCGGCAGTCATGGACCACTTTTTGATTCCCTCTGAGGCGGGAGGGTACTCTTATGGGAAACAAGGACCAATACACTTTGCCTGTGTGTTGACACATTGAGCGTGATGCTGAATGCCGCCGTAAACCAACTCCAACCAACACGCCTGACCAAGTCCATGTCAAATCTCTAGGCACGCACGTCGATGCTCGCTCGTTTGCACGATTGCGGCCTGTCGGATCAGGTTCAGTAACAACCCTCCACGAGGAGGACAGCGACATCCGAAGTGTCGATCACCTCGTCCCCTCTCACACCAATCCAGAAGGGAATGGGTCTACCCAAGTCATCCAACGCAGCACCTTGCCACCAAGATCCGACGGTCTTAGCCCCCCTTCATGAACAAATTAGTTATCCGTCCTGCCACTGCGGAATTCCAACGCTCCCAAGCCGTTCCCCCGGGATCTTGCATGCTAGCACAACGTAGAAGGAGCTTCGAAGCCCGACCGTCCATGGGGGCGTGCTCTGGTCCCTACCTCCAACGCCATTCTCACATGCTCGATACCGACAAGCAAAGGCATCGAACGGGAAGCATGCCGCTTGATAAGACATGCGAGGCCGGTCTCCAGAGGCGTCCAATCACCGCCCCTTGCTCGTCAACGAGATGCAGCCGGGTCTTCGTCGCCCTTTGTTTGGCTCTCTCCCGTTAACGAGACGGTCCCCACGTACAGTTCGTATATCCCCCTCGAGAGCGGGAGCGGCCAGTTTTCCCGTGGTTTTTCTACTGGTTACTCATCAGCCACTATCGTTTCCTCCTTCCTCCACGTCCGCATCCAATGGATCGATATCCCTCCCCCAAACATTCAGCCAAGTCACACATGCACATCAACGTCAGCTTCATCGACCTAGGCTGTTAGGAGAGGGGAAAAGTCTTGGCTGTCTTGCAGTCTCTATGATTTCTTTTCCTTTTCACGTCGTCAAAGCTTTGGGGGCTGACTTGCTCAACCAACCAAAATATACCCATCCCCTCTTGTCTCTTCCCCCATCCGCCCCACAACCTCCTTGTCTCCTCGTTCAAGTCATATTTCGTCAAAAATCTGTTGTCTGGTCATGTCTAATGGTGACCCGGGTACCCGGAAGACCACACGTATGGGAAGAAAAACTCGTATCCAAAATAGTGTAAGAGTAGCAGAGAAGAAAAGAAATAGGTCATAACTCATCATCCAACAGATCCGCCATGCTGAAGAGGTATCCATGATAGAACAAAGCAGCAAACTTTTTGTTTTGGCAACGGAACGGCATATCAAAAGTCTGCCTCTGCCCACGACAGGTTGAGAGAAATGACTGCATAAGGAAAATGTTCGTGACTTGTGGGAATCACTAGGCCGTAGAAGAAAGATACGAAGAAGACAAGAGAGAAACGTCTTGGGAAAATGCACATGATGTTCCCTCCCCATCGCATTCCCAGTGCTCACACAAGAGAAACCGACATGTGTCCCTCATCGCAGATGAAGGGAGAGATTTGAGATAGAGAGACAGACGCCTTGACAGGAAAATGATTTTTTTGGGGAAACATGGGAGATGTGTTGGTCATGCCATTCTGCCATCAGAAACATCGGGAAAACTCCACAAAAGCACCCCTAGGACCTTGCAACGCTGTGTGGGTGCTCTCGCACATGGGTACGCTCTTCTCGAGCGAAATGCAACGCTGCGCACTCTGGCTCACTGCCAGAGATACGTCATCGGATCAGCCCTGGTATCCAGCGAAGCCGTTGTTGAAGTTCTGTCCCTGGGGACCCTGAGGCCACTGGGCGTTGGGTGGTTGTTGACCACGACCATAGCCTCCTGCACTCTGCGGTCCGCCGTATCCCATGGGCTGCGCTCCATAACCGGCAGGGGATTGAGCAGCTGGGCCGCCGTAGTTGCCGGGCTGACCACCGTATTGGCCTGTGCAAAATCGCGTTAGTTCGAAGGGGTGTTTTGCAACGACTCAGTGTTGGAATTTGGGATCGTGCTCTTACCACCATATTGCGGGAAATAGGCCGTCGGGGTGCCGGGGTAGCCCGGTCCGGAGGCGCTCTGGGGGCTGTACGCCTGTTGCGAAGGATCAAAGCCGGCCGCGCCGCCTTGAGGGTTCGGGGTCTTGTCCTTGCCCCACTTCACGCAGAAAAAGTCAGTGCTGTCCTCCAAAATCAAAGGAACCCCTCTCCGAGTAAACTTACGCTGCACTTCAGTGGACGCCCATTAACATTATATCCGTTCATCTGGCAGATAGCCATGGCCGCGCTCTCGTGGCTGTCCATCTTGATGAAAGCAAATCCGCGGTCTGCTTGGAAACGAGATTCGACAACATAACCAAAGTTTTGGAAAAGGGGAACCACGTCGTTTGGCGTGGTGTAAGGGGTCAAGTTGCCAACGTAGCAGGTCGTCTGCCATGAGGGCGTCTGAGCAAGAACAACTTCGTAGCTGGCAACGCCGTGAGCCGGGAACTGGTGATGGCCGAAGGGCGTCGTAGGCGTCAGGCCCATAGCCTGCATGGCCTGTTGCTGCGCAATGGACGGCTGACCCTTCTGGTTTGCCCAGTTGCAGCGGATGGCCCGCGAGCCAAGCCACTCTCCGTCCATGGAGCTCAGAGCCTTCTCGGCGTCCGGGCGGTCTCTGAACGCAACAAAGCCGTATCCGCGGGACCGACCGGTCTTCATGTCCCACATAACACGGGCTTCCGACACGGAGCCAAAGGCGGAGAAGGCTTGGGTGAGGATCTCATCGTTCACTTCATTACTGAGATCGCCAACAAAGATGTGGAAGTGGTTCGAGGTGTCCTCCTTGCTCGAGGTGTTGGACTGGTATGCCCAGTTGACACGGATTTCCTGGCAAACAGTCAGCTTCGGGGTCGCAATGGCGGGGCAATGCTCTGTCGTACAGATTGGTGCACACGTCTGCCGTTCAAGGTCTGCATGGCGCGCTCAGCCGCACCGGGGTCATCATACTCGACGAACCCATAGTTGTAGCCCTTAGCCTGTCGATACATGGTCAGCTATATCGCGAATGATAGCGGGGGCAGAGAGGTTGCGATGGTTTGGGTGCAAGCTTTTGCCTTGACCGCCAACTGCATCCTTGGGCCATGGAGAACGGTACTCTCGGGAACGCACATTCTTATCCGGGATGATCTTGACATTCTGGACGTGGCCAGTGGTCTCGAAAATCTGGCGCAGGACGTCCTCGGTGACGCGCTGGTCCAGGCCTCCAACGTACAGCGCACGCTTGTTAGGCTCGGGGGCGGCGCGGCGGCCGAAGCCTCCAGCGCTACCGGGCGACATGACCTTGTCGACGCCAGACATGGGCGAGGTAATAGCAGTCGGGATCGGGTTGGTGTTCTGTGGGATATGGAGAGGAGGCGGCGGCATGTGCGCCGGGTTCGCCTGGCCATTCTGACCATTCTCGTAGCCTGGAGCTCCAGCGTTCGGCTGGGGAGGGGGCGGCAGCTGCGCCGCATTCGAAGCAGGTCCATTATCCGCCATTGTGACTTTTGGTCGATATTAGAGGACGGTCGTGCGACAAAGTTGGATCTCGAAGCTTGAAAAGTTCGGCGTCGTGTACTGGGTACCAATAGCGATATTAGAGGAGGAACCAGGCTAGCTTGAGCAAGATAGCTCTAGTCTTGGTCTTGCGAAGAGTCCGAAGTGTGCAGCGGTGCGAGTTTGAACGACGAAGCTCGGTGAGCAATGGTCTGGTAGAAGCTTGGTAGCGGAGGAAGGAGGGGCAGAAGCAGTCTTGAAGAAGTGATGCCCCGAGGCTGACGTGACCCTGAACCCCTTCGCAGGCAGCAAGCAAACAAGCAAGCAAGCGTCAAAGAGACTAAAGGAGTGGGAGCGAGGGGAGAAAGGAAAGGGAAGGAAAAAAAAGGTGACGGGGCACGATGGGAAATTCCTCGTCGAAGCTGGTGTGGTGGACTCGTCTCGACCGAAGGATACCAAGATATCGAGTCTTGTATGATTTGCGATCTGTTCAGAATGGAACGATGTGACTTGACCTTGGACTTGACGTGAAAGAGGGAGACACCGAAAGTCGACAGGAAAAAATGTGGACGTGGGGACGGCACAAGCAGCTAAAAAGCACGTCGACCCAACGTGACAAGAGAGATGCTTAAGCGGATTGTAGAGACAAGGGGAAGGGCGAATGATAAGAGAGATGCCGAGAGGAAGCTCTAAGTACCGTCTACTGTGCGGTGCGTGCTGTGCTGTACTGGGCCGAGGTGCTGGAGCAGTGTAGATGAGATGACAGGCGCAATAAGAGGAGACTGGAGACTGGAGACGGATGCAGGCGTTGGAAATGACAAGCGGAGGCGAGTACCAAGGAAACAGGCGGGAAAAAGAGGACTGGAACCCCCTGAGAGAAAAAAAAAAAAAAAGGAATCGCAACAAAACCCAGGTCCGGGGAGGAAAGGACAGGAGAGAGGACGGTTTCCTGACGACTGAGGGAGGAGGAGAATCTGCGATGGGAATGGGGGTGAGGAGGGGCGGGGAGCAGATGGAAAGAGGGAGAAGGAAGGAGGGCGGATGAGGGGACATTCATCACGGCACGGCATGGCATGGCATAGCATGGCATGGGGAGTTGGCGACGGTGGTGCGAGCCTGAAATTCCTACAGCGCAGCGCATCTGCACTGCACCTGCACCTGCAGCACAAATCAGTCCAATCCAATCCAACAGCTGGATCGTCCCGGCCAAGGTACCCTGCCATCTTGCCTTCAAGCACATACATAGTACTGCGCACCTTTGTACCGTCTCGCCGAGCCGCGCCGCTAAAAAATACAAGCCGTTCGTTCGCCAGGCTTACCTCGCCAGCAAAGCAGCAAGGGCAGCCTGTTCGGTGCCCACAGCCGGCCCCGGGCCTTGAGATTGGTCCGCTGGAAGCTCCATCCTCCTCACAGTCAGGCTCTTGCTTGTCCAGCCGCGCCTCTTCACTGGGTACAGCTGTCCATCACTTCCAGTCGACCAAGGGTAGCGCTACTAGAAAAACGGGCGGCTGTAGCTGATCCCCCCCGGCAGGAGGGGCATTCCCCCTTCTCCCCTCTTCTTCGTCTGTTTGCTCCCTCTCCCTCTTGTCAGTGGTACCGAGTACTGTGCACATAGGAGTCCCAATCATCAGCGCCTAGGCCATCTGTCAAGGACACCTCTCCCGAGGAGGAGCTTCCTGGCTGGGTCAAGGCTTTGGTGGCGTGAGAGGAGAGAGATGGGATGGCAGCAGGAAAAGGGGTGTTGCTGCAGCACACACAAAATGTGCTACCGAATGGATGGGCGCTAATCTTGCTTGGGCAAAGGGCGAAAGCGTGACTAGCACAAGCACAGACAGACGGCCGCTGACAACGTGGAGCTTTTCGCGGATTGCACCATGAAAAGAAGGCGATGGGTGAATTAGTTAGATTGAGTCTGGCCAGGTCGGGGTGATGCCGAGCTACTTTCATCAGTAGTGTCGCCGAGGCTTCCTAGGGTCGTTGAGCGTCATATAAGAAAGCACCTATATCTGCATTGAACCCCATTCTATCCGTCGGGCGTGGATTATACATAAATAGTACGGTCGGTCGCAAATGCACGCTCAAGCAAACAAGGCTCGACCCAATGGGTCTCCCTGCCTCGGTGCGGGACAATGGTAGCAAACGCAAAGCTTTATGGAGGTATCCCAAGGCTCATGCAGGAATCATACCCAACCCCTATCGGCGTAAAACCGATGGCCGTACAAAGACGCCTTCAATCAATCGACGGACCGAAATCTTGGAAGCGCAAGGTTACCTACCTACTCGACTGACACTATTGTGCGGTGCTCGACAGCACCCCTCAGCCTGTTGCACTCAATCAATCAGTAACAGAGAATTGTAACCCAACTCGGAACTCTTACCGACCCCAAAAGGCAACGTGATTGATCGCTACGGAATTGGCATCCAGTCCCATGTCACCGGGCTTGACATTTGCCCTTTCGGTCATCTCGCGGTCACTGTTTGTTTTCCCCTTCTCACCAGGCCACTTAGCTTGAAGTGACCCCGGCATGCATAACAAGCCCCCCTCAAGACGACTGGAGATGCAAGCATTGGACATCAGGCGGTTGGATTACGAAACCCTCAGTTGCAGGACACGGCCAATTTCCCGGGAAGAGGACTCCCAGCATACGGATGGGACGAACACTTTTCCAAGCCTCAGCCCGCCGATGCCGGGTTAGGGCTACCCATACCTCCCGCAGTGGGCTTGGCCCTTGTCTTCCGTTATCCCCAATAACGGTTCTCCGCGATGGCGAGGGAAGTGTATTCTTAATCCGGAATAGCCCTACAGACTAACTTTTGAATAATCGTGGGCGCAAGACAGCATGTCTCCTTACTTGTCAATTGCGGATCCAATGTCGTCCGTGTGGAAGACGGATGCAAAGCACTAGCTAATGCGTTTTAGCGGGCTGGTGCTCGCCAGGTTGAACCAACTTGTACTGTGTAATGTACAGTTGGATTCTTGGTCCATATCCGTGAGGGATGCTGCGATGTTTCCGCCTACCTACGTTATGTCATTACTGAAAAGAAAACACATCTTGGCTTTCGGTTCAGCCAAAAGTTGCCCCTTCAATTACCTTCGTCCCAAAAATTCCACTTTGTATCCGTAGTGATCTGATGCATGGGGGGAATGATGGGGCTTCAACGGAAAGCAAACCAGTAGCAGAGAAGGGAGAAACCGCCCTACCATCCATCGCCGCGTGCTGGCACCTGCTGCCCGTCTTCCATTCACGCCCATGCCGTGCGCTGAGTACGGGGTTGCATAGTATGTGTCACAGTGCGTTCTGTTTGGCGCCGGAAGCTGTGATTTTGAAGGTGGCGCGAACTGAATGTGGCAGAACACACTTCCATTGGTCGAGCCTGAGGTTGCAGCCTCTTGGCCTCCGCACAGCGCTCAAAGCCTCTTTTCTGGTCGCTCGAATCCGAAAAGGTACGTACTTCCTTGCTTGCTTGGTCGGAATTGGATGCTGGGCTGCTGCTTCAGACGACCCCAAATACCATCTTTTACAGTTGATGGAATCGTTGCTATTGTGCCATTGAGATCATCGGTTAATCCATCATTTGCACCAAGCCGGAATCACACCAGGCTTCTTCTTCTTGGGCTGAATAGAAGTTACTAGCCAGGCTCTCATTCACCGCTCATACACTTCACTGTATTTCTACTCTTTCACTCCCTACAAGAGTGCTCTTTTACTGCCCCTGTGCATCGGTTAACCTATTCACATCTCGGCAGTTGCCTGTTCCTTGCTACTGGTCTTCAATTAACACTGCTTTGCATACTGCAATCGTCTAGTCCTCGTCTACAACCCTCGGCCACACTGCCACAGGCCTCCTTTCGCCGCCATGGCAAACTCGAAGCCGGCCGACGCCGACTCTGCAGAAGCCCTACATGGGATCATTAACGATGTGGTTTGTGTGCCCGCGCCGAGCCAGAACCAATAAATCCATATCTGACTTATACTCGCAGCTTATCCAAACAGGCAAGGCACTGAGGTCGCACAGTAAGGAGGGCAGATCTCAGATGCAGGCTCAGATCTCGCTACAAACCAAGATTCCGGAGCTCATCGACACATTTCACTGGAAGCTGGATGATCTCGAGAGCGAGATAGTGAGTAGCTCTATTGTGGGCCAACGCTGTTGTGACATCAGGACTGACACCGGCGGCAGATGAGAGCAAAGGCAGCGTTGCAGAGAGACCTGGACCGGTTCCGGCAACAACGACAGCCCGTGGAACAGCCTGCGCCGATAGAGGCACAGACTAAATCTCCCATCGCCATCGACCTCGACTCCTCGTCTCGGGAAATGTCCCCCGAAACCAAGGTCGAGGTCGCGGAGGCTACGGGCCCGCACCGGGTCCCCGCTGAACCGAGTACAGCTCCATCGATGGCCCCGTTCCCCGACATGGGCGTCAGCTTTCAGCCACAGTCGGAACCCGCACAGCCGGTGAAGCAGGAGGCAACCTCGGCGCCGCCGGCTATGATGGCGCCCATGGGTGAAGTCAAGTTGGAGTCGAAGCCCACCCCGCCGACCTCACAACCTCAACCCTCGGGCGCGCCGGAGGCGCCGATGGACGACTTGTTCGGCCTTGACAGCGATGCCGGTGACGGCATCGACGCGGGCGGCGGCAACGAAACGAACAACTCCGGATTCCATTTCACCGACATGACCTTCAGCCTAGCGCCCCCAAATAACGACTCGCAGCCGCAACCTCGGGCGCAAGAAGCGCCAATGGACATATCGTTCGGCTCGGGCGAGATGGGCGGCGACCTCCTGTCTCTCAACAACCTACTCCCTCCGGATAGCAACGCCACAAAGCAGGAACCAGGGGCAGGAGTTGGAGCTGCATCTGCGCCTCCCGCGGCCGCTACCGCTACCGCAACCGCCGCTGCCGCGGCGCCCCCGGCAGCAGCCGATCAGCAGAAGCCGGTTGAGGCCAAAATGGAGCGTCAGGACTCGAGCCTGGACGACTTGTTCGCCCTCGACGGCAACACGGGCATGGATGACATGGACCTCGATATGAACTTGGGCGGTGAAGGCGGGGGCGGCAACAACTTTGACGACATGATGTTCTTCGACGACACGGAAATGGAGCACGGCAAGTTCGACGAGGACTTCTTTCAGATCCCGTAGGCTAGGAGGGGGAGATAGGGCGAATCGGGCCCATCGTGCAGCCCACGGACTTTGGCATTTACGTGCCGGAATAAGCATACCCGGCCATTTTTGGGGGCGTCTAGATGGTGAGACGGACAACGTTTCCGTCTTTTTGGGTATGATCTGGAGGCTTTTTGGCGATGCTATAGGCTCTCCCGGTTCAGCATGCCTTTGAATAAATCAATTTAACTACTCATATGATAAGCCATCTGAAGTCCGTGTTGGTTCATTCGAGGACACATCCAAGTAAGTAGATGCCATGTTTTTCCGCTATTATTTGCCGATTCAGCTGATGCACGTCCTGCTTGCCTCCGGGGTCGTGTCAGATACGCATGCTATATATTTCTGCTACGAAATGCGGTCACTCTGTCCAATGGCTCAGAGCCAGTTAGCATGGTCCAACCGGTTTTTGTAAGCTCGCATCTGTTTGCGCTGTCCATGGGGAACCGAGGCGAGAGGACACAAGGCAATGACAGCGCCATGTTTAAACCCGAGCCGAATCCCCCCCCCATAGTCTAAAGAAACGCAGCATCACAGAGGCAAAAACCACCTGTCCGCTCACAGCGTCAATAGCGTCCATTTCATTATCGCTTGCTTCTGTGTGGCAGCGCTGGAATGTCGCGGCGATGCTGTGTCGTTGAACGGCAAGTTGAACGGCAAGTCGACACGGAGGCGCTCCATTACCGTCTGGACGTGCTCATCGAGCCTACCACTATTCCCCCAAATACTGGTTCTTCCCTCCTCCAGCGATCCATGAAGTACCATATCTTATCCATGACAGATTTAGGCAAAAGCTCTTATAATACATGTGTCGCGATATATTTCCTGTGCATTCGTTGCTCGTAGTCAACCTTTTGCCTGTATCATGCCGAGTGGATATACTTGAGATACCTCTGGTGCAAAACCTGACAGTCATGACAAGACAGACGGTCTTGAGATGCAACGGAGCAAGCCACGCGCATTGACCAATATTAGAGCCGTGAGAACAAATGTCAGCATATTGCTATCAACTATCGTCATGGTCACCACCTGTATCTAGTAGGTAATAGTTTTGTGGTACCTAGGCAACTTGCCTACGTGATCTACTTTCGCCCTACCCAATCTTCAAGCCTCTCCAATTTCATCCTGATTCTCGGGAACTTCAATATACTTCGGGTTCTGGGCAACCTTCGGTAGGACCCCGTTTGAAGACACCTGTCTCGCTCTCAACTTTCGGCCTCGGGTTCCTCTGGACACAGTTCCAGATCGGTCAGACTGGCCAATGCGATCCTCCCCGTACACGTCGAGGTTTGAGCGAACTAATGCTTCCTGTAATTGGCTTCCTGTGACAGGTTTGTCTATGGGGTACTTCGGGTTGCAGTGTGTACCACGCTGCAATATGTGTGTATTGAGTCGTTGGACCTGCTCAACCAGGGTGGCGTTTGTGTCAACGAATCCATGCTCTCCGCTGAACTTGAGGCTTCCATGATCAGCAGAGGCGCCCAAGCCACTGATCAGAACCCTCTCCTCCGGGTATGTACGTATTGATATTTGGAAGTGCAGAACACTTGCGGTGCGCAGTCTTCTCCAATCATCGCCGTCTGGGCTAACGTTGATAAGGTACCTGTCGATTGAGTTTTGTAACAGCATTACCATGACATTTTCAGGGTGAGGTAGATATTCCAGGAGCTGCCTTCTAAGGGGAATGATTATGTTCAGCGACTGAAACGAGGTACAGTGGGAAAGAAGCGTCGCGGCTGGCTGAAATATGTTGGAGTATCTGTAACCTTCCAACGAGTGTGATGTGTAATCGATCTTGCGAATCATGGAGCGACGAGCTGGACATAACGCTGCTAGGAAAGTGACCAAACTTAAACAGCACTCGAACCCGAAAGTGTTTTCCTGCACAGTCATCAGCAAAAGCTCAACCTTGTAGTTTTCGAAGAAAGGAAGAAAAAAAACTCATACCCGGTAAAAGTCGGGGCGACTTAGTAGCTCCTCGTAGAACCCCCGGCAGGTCAGAAGCAGGCTGGTGAAGGCCTTCGTGGCGGTTTTGCTTCCATGGAACTTGTTCGCCCGCGCTTCAACCTGGACAGGCCGAACCTTACCCTCCTCTACGACGGCCAAGGCGTAAATCATTTGGCGTATCTATATCATATGAAAGCGTTAGTCCCCATTAACCTCCGGAGCCTTGTTTTTCGATATGTACCTCAATCGGAAGACGGTGGAAATAGTCCTCTCCTGCAACTTTCTGTGTCAACTGGAGTAGCATCGTCGCCTCCTTTTCTGTCACATGTTCGGCATCGTCCCCAGCGTCTCCTCGGGCAACATCCCTGGAACCATCACTTCTCTCGGCTGTGTTCTTGCCCTTGACTCCAGTGGTCTTGATCTTCTTAGCCTTGACCTTCTTGCGTCTTGGAGCCATCTTGTACTTAACGTTTTGTGCGTACTTGTCGTGAGTCGAATCAGAGGAAACAAGTGGGTGTGTGGTGGAGGAGGATGCCCACCACCATGAAGAGGATGATCGTTGGACTCGGTAGTGTTTTATGTGAATGCGGGTTTGCAGTGGTGGTCTGGCGAAAAGCGGGATTTGGGAGTCGAAGAAGGGTCTTTTTGATTTCGTGGGCAAGAAACAGGTCTTCCTATGGTGTGAGAAGTTAGAAATAGGCGGAAGGTGAGGGAGAGAGAGGAAGGCAATGGATATGAAAGGCGAAGGTTGGTTTAGTCGGGGGGTCATTAACTCGGTACTAAAGACAACAAAGCGCAGGAAGGTGGGTGATCGCCTGCCCTTCCGAGTTCACTTGACGCACCAGTCCTGTCACGACTATATGATGATGGATTGCCACGAAATCTCAAGCCGGCAGTGTTGCAAGGGATATCATCGCATTCAGGGCCGCTCTACCAGCTTCGACAGTTCCTCTGATTTACGCCAACCGATGTTGATAATATTTGGTTGATGAGACACGTCATGTTTGTTTCTGCTTGTTGGCCATCGCCCTAGAGTCGTTCGTACGTATTTCTGGGTACTCTGCATTCTGAATAACATAGTGCTAGAAAGACATCTGCCATATTCAAATATTCTCGTGGTAATCACTTATTCACAATCATGCCCTGACACCTATGGAGTCTGATGAACGGTTTCATGGATTCTTCATTTGACATGACTGTCTAGCATACTTACATAACCCAATTTGGTATCTGTATCATATCATAATGTTATGCCGCGAAGGATGCCTGACGTATGCCCAATGCCGCCATGTATATGCAAAAATGTGTGACCCGGCCACTATCACACTCCGATGACGAGGGAGATCCCGTAGGAAAAGCGTGCCCTGGTCGGCCGCCATCTCCACCTCGCCTGGCTGTCACTCTGAGGCCTGCAGCGCTTGTCCTGAGTGCCCGTAGCTGAGCTAGTCCCCGGCATCAGAAGATCCTGCAGTCTGAGAGGGACCTGAGCGGCCGTCAATAAGGGCCCCCCCTAAGAGTTTCTGCATCTTAGCCCGTCTGTTTCCATTGTCTAATAACAAGCAAACGGGGACAGCAGCACCTCCCGCACTGATGCCCCACAAGTGGGACGTACGGAGAGGCGTTGGGAATGATGCGGACAAGCTGCAAAAGGGACAAAATGATGGGAAAAGCTCGGGCGCGGAACACTCACCAACTGCTAGACTCCCACTCCAAGATCCAGCCGCAGCAAATCTTGAGTCTCTCTCGGACGCTTCTCGTTTCGAGCAGCTTGTACTTCTCATACTCCTTAGCGGGCAGAATGCTGGCAAACCACCATGGGAAGAGCGCCGGATCGTTAGGACACTCTCCATATATCGTCAACATTCGTTGTGCCAGCCAGGGCACGCTTTGTTGTCGCATCCTTTCGACGAACGACACACCAAAGGACAGGAGTTCACTCGTCGGCATTTTTGCGAGGTCTTCGGAGGTCGTCATGGGTGGTCCTGACGTTGTCGAATCCTCGCTCTGGTGTGTGGCAGCACTATCGAACCTCTCTAGAGCATGTTGTGTTTCGTTTGCCTCGAGGTCCTCCTCCTCCGCGATGGAAATGTCATCGAGTCGTTCGATTTTGCCCACCAGATACCCATCCAGTATTCCATGTCTCGTAATTCTGAACCGGGAGACGCCAACCGTTTCGATGAGACTTCTGCCATCCGCAAAGTATTCAGCGTTTACGATACGTAGCAACGTTCCGTATTCCACGAAATGTGTGTCGTTGGCGGTCCGCGGCCGTTGTGGCAGCACCATGCCGAATGTTCTGTCGCCTTCCAAAGCGCGGCGGATCATCAACCGATAGCGTGGCTCAAATACGTGAAGAAATGTTGGCATCATGGGAAACGACAAGGTGCAGACAAAGATGGGAATATCAAACTCGCGATGTCTGTTGAGTGCCTCGGCAGCCAAAGCATCTCCTCTTGTGAGGACGGCATCGGCCCAAAATGTTTCAATGATGGTCTTGAGATATTCGTTTGAAGGGCAGGATTCCCGGTAAAGTAGAGGGCTGACTGACAAGCCCCGTCGGCAAATAGGGCAGTATGATGAGTGGTCTAAGACTCGATGAAGGCAAGACCGACAGAACGTGTGGCCGCACACGGTGGTTAAGGGATCGTAGAACAAGGCATAACAGACCTGGCAGTCCATTTCTGTCCGTACCGACTCTTTGACTTTGAGAAAAGTCTTGTTATCGATGGCGGCGGCTTCATCTCCGAAAGAAGATACCTCCGCAAATGAGACGTTGGAGTCGTAGCCCAACTCACCCGAATCCGCCAGCGTATAAACGGCGACCAGCGGACCCCCCTTGACAACTCTGGAGGTCGTCTCGTCCTCAACATTGATGTCCTCATGCTCATTGCTTGGGCGTTGTATAATGACATGGGTGGAGATCTCGGCCGTCGTTACGGTCTCTCTTGCCTTTTCCATCTCGGTCTTGAAATTGTTGACTGCCTTGGTGAGAATGACATCGACGCCACAGTCGCCCACAGCATGATTTCGACCGCATTCCTGGTAGGGACACTCGAAGCCTTGTAACCTATTTGGCGTGGCGGGATAGGATATGTATTCTCGAGCGTGTGTCTCAGGGAGACATTGTTTGCAGAGGCTTCGGCCGCATGGCAGCGTGACGGGCTCTTGGAGGGGACGGTTGCATTTCCGACATTGAATCAGACGGACGACGTCCCGTACTTGGTCGCCCAACAACGGGCGTTCGGCAGTACCATGGTCCCTTTCGTCCTCGGCTTCGTGCGCCGGGTTGGACGTCAAGGCCGATGGTCTGCTCTCGACGACCCGCGGTTGGTCGGAGGACATGAAGTCACCTCCAGCTTCGGTGCTGGCGCGGGTAGCGGGTTTCGGTAGGTTTACTCGAGTCGACTTGTATCCTCGTCACTGGGGCTTTAGGAGGGTGGAGCTTCCCTCCTCTTGTTTGTAGGCGTGGCGGATATTGTTGTTGGAAGGCTCAGGTATCTATATGAGTTGTCGCCAAGGTTGAGGAGTGCACGACGATGAATATTTTCGAGGGACCGCTGGGATGTATGTATGGTCCAACAGGGAAGGAGGAATGGGGGAATAGCGACCAGGGGTCATATATGCGGGATCACCAGAGCTGCAGAGGTTCCAGAAGCGAGCGGATCTCATGATGCGCCTGGACGAGATCAAAAGCGGACAGGTGAAGGAACGCCGGCAGAGCTAGTAGACCGAGGGCCGGAGCTAGAAGCTGGAGAACTGGCAGGATGGGTGTACCAGACGAGTGCCCGTCGCATGGAAAGGGTACCTTTGGAGTGGAAGGGCATCGATGGAGGAGAGCCGCTGGCAGGCGTCATACATTTAACGTCCTGTTACCAATCCGCTGGGCATCCGGGCGGGTTAGGAGGGGCGCTTCGGGGATGGTGTGGCCGTGCAATGAGGTCAATGAAATCAAGGGGAAAGAAGAGAAAGGGCAGACGGCGACTGCGCAGGACACGGGAAAACACACCAGCAAGCAACAGTTAAGACACTGGGGGGACGGGAAAGCAGCAAGAGAGCCGTCCCCGGACAGCGCCAGGCCCGGCGGACCATGTCGATATTCCCAAGGTTGTGTCAAGTACCGGTACTTCCGACACCAGGAGTCGCGGCAGGCGACGACGCGTGGGCAGACTTTCCCAGGTGCCCTGGACGGGGGGGCCCTTGCGTCTAGTCGAAAATAGGCTTAGCGGCCTGTTGTCAGTAGCCAAATCCTAGCCTTGTGACGACACCGTGGAGGGGAGGAATAACTGAACAAGAGGTACGAAGGGATCAATCTGGGTATGTAGAAGCCAGCTGGACTGACAAGGCGATGGTTTGTAAAAAAGTTTGCACTTCCTAGCGGTGAATTTTAGCGGACCTACGGACTTATGAGTAAGTGCTGCTTGTTATGTGGTTTCCAGTGCAGTCGTTGGAAACCCTCCATACGGGCACACCGCTTCCACGCATGCCTTTACACAAGTCGGACGGCAACGCAACTGCACTTGTTCGGGTTTTCCAATGTTCAAATGAAACCCAGTTCAATTGAAAACGCCCTTTTTTGTCTCGTGCAAGTGCTTACTGTGCCAACTCGCTGCTAAGTGAGTTCTGCGTTGGGCTGCCTGTCGCAAAGTACTGATCAGTGGTATAACATATGACGCAATGGAACGTCCAGCGCCCCTCATTTGACTTCGCTGCAGGCTCGTGGATATGCACTCGATAAGGCGGAGCTTACCTCAGCGGCGCTTGAAAGCAATGGGCCACGTGATGTGCGGAAAACGGTCCGTCTCCGTGGTCTTGGTACTACAAGCCAGGAGGGGGGGGCATTGCCTTATTCTCTTCTTGTAGGTTACCTACCGCAACTGGCTTGTCTCCTTCTTTCTTTCTTTTCTCAGTTGTCGCGCAACAAGGGTTCAATAATTGCAAGGGGTTCTATATCCTAACCAACAAGTCTCTGACGGGCCGCCGGGCTGTCCATTGTGCGGTATTGTGTCCTGGCCGTAGCCAGATCTCGATGCGAGCGAGCCCCAGGACCCTGACATCAGCGCCTCAACATGCTTCATCCGTGCCGACAAGTACCACGACATTGGGTGTACCGCTTGGCGGACGCCTCTCCTGTTCCATCAGGGAGCAGCGGGAGGCAGCAATATGGCCGAGGCCCGTATTCCCACACAATCCTGCGTTCTCCCCTTATCACCTCGAGTCGGACGAAATGCGAAGATGGGGCCTCTGAAAATGATTGCAGCTGATTACAACGATCCCGCTCGATTCTTATGTGGCCAGCAATCGGCGCTAGCTGCTGCACGCACACCAAAAACGGTGCAAACGCGTCCCGGGCAAGCCAGGGTCCAGCGCTTTTTCAGCGCCCTGTTCGCTACCGCGCCCACCCAGATGTACGGCGAGTCCAAGATCCAGTGCGTCATGACTATGATACCTTCCGCTCCTGCCAGTCGTCGCCCTCGCACTTTGTACCTTCCATCACTCACGTCAGTCCTTGGATCCCGTCCCAAGGCAATCCCTGTGGTCCCGACTCGCCTGGCAACCTCGCAAGCGCAAGCCTGACTCTTTCCTTTTGAGCCAATGTGTCTCGGATCTAATCACCATCTGCAGCAAGACTGTTTGGATTTGGCCAGCGCGACTCACGTTTAGCTCAGTTCCTATTCTCCAAGGACTACCTAGATCCAATGGTCACCATTCTCGGCCGAGACTGATGGCAGCACCCAGACAACAGCAGTCTTTACGCGTATGACGCCCAGTAATCATCTTGAGCGATGCAGCCTCTCCATCTTTGACTTGTTCGAGCTTTTGTGGTGGCGCAAAGTTCTGGTATAAAAAATCAGCTATCAAGCTCTGTTCAACACGACACATTGGAGGACGTTGGGCATGTGTAGCTAACTGTTTTGCTGCGCCCTAACTAGACCCGAAGCCTCGAATCCATTCCCAATAGCGTTCTTGTCGCTGCGTCTATGCCCAGGAGGGACATGCGAGACGAGAGTGCCGGGGCTTTATTCTATCCCACCATTTCAGCCTCATGCGCACGTCCTCGAGCGTCGATAGGTGGGATAAACACCGTTTCCGTGCTAAAACTGTTGCAGGATCGCCCGCTTCATACCAGCCCCCCAAGGTTGATCTCCGAAAGCTTGCATGCTTCGAACAGAAGAGAGCATTGTCTCGGTCCGAACACTAGTCATCCTCTGTGACATGCTTTGTTCCCAAGTGCCAAGTGTCAGTTTCTAAAGAGGGGGGAGAAAAGGGAAACAACGGGGGGGGGGGGGTCGGTGCTGTGGCTGTTTATGTTCGACACGAGATTCCATGGTACTGTGTTTCTTCTATCCATCAATTCAGAACCCTTCTCCATTGCGTTGAGTATTGGGCATGAGACTTGTACTGTGTTTTTCCGACCGTACTTATTATTGTGTACCTGTGCAATCTGAGAAGGGATCGCCTTGGACACGTACCTCAATGATGTTCGGCACGGGATCTGTGCAGTCACATAATGCTCATCATAATGATCGTCTACCTATACAACTGATAGTTAGGTATTCTGATTTAGAACCAGAGTAGATCTTCGGTTCTGTGCCGGCCATCCAGCCAGCCAGCCAGCCCCCGAACCCCTCTGTTAAACTACCTACTCCGTAGTCTACCAGATTTCGCCATTACGACCCCACCCAGTCCCTCTCAAAACAAAACCTAATTCGAGGGAAGCTGTGGCTTGAACTTTGCCAAGTCGAATCTGTGCGATGGAACATGCCGCAATAACACGGCAACGCATTCCCAACCCTTGCATACCCTCACCGACTTCTCACAGTTGAGGAGATTTTGCGTGTGGCGGTTTACTCGAAAATAGAGAGGAGACTTTTGGATTTTTGTTTTCCATCTCATGATTCTTCCCATGTCCCCCCCTTACCTACTATTATCCTACTGACCGGCTGCCAGCTCTTCCAGCCAAAGTATTGATTGTTCCAACAACTCAATATCAACCCATTTCCCCCAGTTCTCCTGCCTCTTATTTTCCAGTTCTTGCCAAACTACTCATTCTTGTTGTCTAGAAACGCAGCCGAGATGACCTCCAGCCTCCCGTCCCCCGAGGTACGAGCCGCCATCACTGAGAAACTCTCCGAGCTCATCGCCGCCCTCGAGGCCCACCCGGCCTGGATCCCGCCGAATCCCCACAGGGGTCTCTTCCACGTCTGGGACTTTGTTAACCGCTCCCGTTACATCATGACCGAGCTCGACCACATCAGGGACGGCGAGCCGGTGCAGCACCCGGAGCAGATCCCGCGGCAGACAAAAGGTCAGGATTCCACCCGCACCCGCACCCGTACCTGTACCCGCACTCGCACTCGCACCCTGCACCCCGCTCCCGGCGCCGGACGCCGGACGCCGTATCCGTACCCCGCCCTCGCGGGCCACGCCGGCTCTGGACACATGCGAGAAGGTGACGTAGGAAGACAGGGCAGCGAAAGAAGAAAAAACATAAGAAAAAAAAAGAAAAGAAAAAGGAAAGCCAGTCTTATTAACTGACATGGGGAATCGCAGGCCGAACCGGTCCCGACGCTGCCGCCGAGTCCTTCTCCGACGTGTGCGGGCGATCCGTCGCCGTCAACGAGATGGTCAGCAACCCGAGGCTTCTCACCATGATGGGCCTCCCGCAGGTGGACTACGGCAGCGGCATCGCCGCCAAGGCGCAGGCCGTCGTCGATGCCATTGGCCAGGGCCATTGAAGGGGTGCGCATCGCCTGACGAAGGGGGGACGGACACACTGTTTTGATTAGAAATGTTTTACACGCCACGATATCTTCCGCAGGACAGCCGGAGACGAGCACGAAATGAAACGCCCAGGGACAAAAAGCACAAAATTGAAACATAGCAGCAGTCATGGTAGAAGAATGCGGAAAGGCCAGGGAGGGGGGTGGTAAGGAAAGAAAAGGAGATAAATATTTAAATAACGCCCTTGGGAGGAGGGTGTTTCCCACCACAAAAGGAAATATCTAGTTCCGAGTTCAACCTGAGTATACACAGGGGGGTTTAGATGGATGGATAGACAGGCAGCGACTTTTTGTCATAGAATACCGGCCATGTGTAATGAAGGATGGCATGGGCCGGCTGTCGCCGCTGCACCTCTGACCCGAGAATGGAGAATATAGTACGCGAGCGACTGCGCGCGAACGCAGGCTGCCGGAAAGGGTCGAGAAAACATGCGAGTCGCGGGTTAATTTTACCGAGACACACATAGCAGCAACGTCGAGGCAGCAGCCTCGAAGCCCCCAACGGCTTTTGTTGGTCAAGTTATGCGAGAAAGCAGAGATGATTAGTTTTGAAGACAGCCACTGGATAATCCAGCGGATCTTCAGCGCCAGAGTCTTATTCCGCTGTTCCGTAAGAAATATAGCAGCACATTCGATAACGTCCGTTATCCGAGTGTTCCTGTCCATTTGGGTATGCCCTCCTTTTTCTCTCTCGTCCAGGAACTTTGTTGTCCCGCCAAAAGCAACCCATTTTGTGGTCTAAAATCAGACAGTCCTCAAACAAGTGACCCATCGATACGTAAAGTAAAATCCGTCTCTCATCTGATTCCGGCCCATCGTCCACGTGCGGTGGCCGACTTATTTAACGCCAATCGCCTGCCAATGTTGCCAAAGCAGACACAACTGCAGAACAGAACGCTCAACATCCAAATGCCCGTCTCGATGGTTTCCTGGCTGGCGAGACCCCCAAGAGTGATAGGGTCCGAGTAGGCCCTCTCCGACTCGTTGCGGTAGGTCAGGGATGACGGCGTCGGCATTATGTCGGGGTTGATGCCCATCAGCATCGCTGATCCGGCAAGGCCCACAGCCGCTGAAAGGAGAAACCCGGGTTTCGAGCGGTCAATCAGGTACCACAGAAACGGGTTGACAAGCGCCAGCGTGAGAGATACTTGCATAGTTGATGCCCAAGGAAGCTTGCGCTGCCCGCTGTTAGATCCTTGACACTCCATGTGATGTTTGTGGAAGAGCGACTTACTATGGCAAAAACGATGCCGACGAATGCGCCTATGCTGCGGACGACCAGGGCCCAGTCCTTTACCGGACTGGTATCTTCTGGCGAGGTGCCAGCCTCTTCTTCCTTTCCAAAGGTATCCTCCCAAACGCCATCGAACCAAGGGAGAAGGCCACCCAGGGCCACACCGAACAAGCCCCACACCGTCAGATACTGCCAGTCGTAACCGGGCTTGATCATGCTTTCGACTTGGAAGGACGAGAACCTGTGCTCGTTCTGCAGACGTGTGACCATCAAGCCGTATCCCATACCGATCAAAAAGAGTAGTGCGGCTCGAGAGATGGTGAAAAGTGCGGTGACTGCGGTCGACGGCGAGGGGGTGTTGCTTCGATTCCTATTCGACGACCGCCGGCGCATCGGGCTCGAGCGGTCCTTCATGAGCTCAAAAGTTGTATCGTCGACACTCGCCCCCTTGATTGGTGTCTGGGCCCCAGTTCCCCACGGGGTCTCTGTTTCCTCGCGGTCGTTGTAGCAGCGATCCTTCCCATAAGACATTGGGGAGTATATGCCGAACAGCGTCGAAGCCGTCAAGTTCAACACAGACTGAGCCCGTGGTATGGAACCGGATTCCGAGGACGTCGCCTGGCCATTGTGCAGTCTAGACAGGTCGATCTCGGGGTTGGGGCTAGGCGGGGACGAATCGTCCTCTGGAGGGGTCAGGCTCTTGTGATTCAAGTCGAATGGCCGGCGCGGGATGGGCCGTATGAGACGGGGGCCGTCGTCAGACATTATGCTGCCTCGGATCGATCTCGTGGGCAGACGGGTAGAGGAGACTGACGGAGGCTATGGGACAGAAGGATTAGGGATCTAGCTGGCGAGCGTATGTGCAATGGGGGAATAGGATGAGAGATGTACCGACGTCAAGGGACGCAAAAGCACAGGTACGAGGGCGTCCGCGGTGTTGTATGTCTATGTAGCGGAACAAATTGCCCCCGCAAACGTCCTTGTGACAAGTTTCTTGTCGCCACAGGTAAGTTCAGACGACGAGGCAAGCGTCTCGCCTCACGTGGGCCACGGAACAGGCTCAAGCTAGTGTTGGACGAAGGAATTGGGACGAACAGCGGCGGAGGATTGAGACTTCTACGAGTTGCAGCTGCGTAGAGGCTTTAAAGATATTTAGTCCAGGGTCGAGAAACTGTTGGGAAGATTCAACGAGCTGACTACGGGGCACGAGAGGTCAAGCTCGGAGGAGCTGGTCCAAGACAACCCCGGTCAAGGTTCTCGTAGGTGAGAAGAGCGGAGTGGAGGGATGGGAAGAGGGGAGAAAAGACAGATCAATATGCAATAGGTAGGGACCAATCAAGGGTACCTTTGGTAATGCGACGAAAATGGGCATGCGTTAGGGCGAGGGGAATGAAGAAGGAGGAGGCGGCTGCAGCATCATCTCTCAGAGGTCAGTTCGCCGTGGCTTGCTAGTGTCCGCGACAGCTAGGACAGCATGAATGGCCTGGTCTGGTGTGTACAAGCCGTGCGTGCGTAAGTGCGTGCGTCGGAGGGAGTATGGGTGTACGAGATGTGCGGCAAGTGCTACTGGCGCGACTCGATGATCGAGGCAAGGAAGAGGAGGAGGCGGAGGACGACGACCGAAGGCGATGGTAAAACAAATGCGGGCAACGGGCGAGAAAGAGGGGATCTCGGCGCGACGGTGGTGTGGTCTCTGCGTCGTGTGGCTTGAGGGGGGTGAGCCAGTAACGGCAGTCGAATCGGGCGCGGACGAGACGGAGAGGACGGAGAGAGAGAGAGAGAGAGAGAGAGAGAAATGCGACGGACGGGTCCGAGAAATTCGGTAGGAAAGCGAGAAGAGGGGAGCTGCATCAAAAGGGATAGATGGGAAACATTCACATGTCGGAACCTGCACGTTTTACCATTTACCATGTAGGTACCTCGAGAGTGCCGAACAGCTGTGCGAACATTATGGGGACCTACCCATGTCTGCTTTCCCTACCGTCGCCACCTCTTCCATCGATGCAGTTACTGCGTACACTTCACTTGGTTGCATTAGAGATACAATACTCCGTCATGTACGACACTTCGCATTGCTCTCTCCACAAGTCTGTATGTACATGCATTGCGCTTGCCAGTGACTGGCCCGCTGAGGAAAAGATTCTCTCCCCGTTACCACCAATAGGCTTGTCACAAATCCAGCTCTGCATTTGCACTTAACTCTCTCCGCTACCTGTTGAGGACAGGCAGGGGTATCAGCCCGCACCTACGCAGTAGGTAGGTAGTTTTACACTAAGGGGTCGTAGGCGCTAACTGCATGCAATAGGATTTTCTCCCAAGTGGGGGGCCACATGACTGGTTGCCCGCCAAATTCGGCTGTTGAAATGACTTTCTTGGCCTGCGGATTCGCCGCTACCCCACAATCTGCCCGCCCCGGTTTTACTCTTCCTTCGGCTCCCCTCCTTGATCCAATGCCGTCTCCTCTTCTCACATCGTACCTGACCGGCGCGCTGCAGCTTCACATATGGGGACTCCCAACCTCCTCCGTCTCCGCGCGACGTCTTGTGACTGCGACGGCATGAAATCCCGAGTTTCGCCTCTCTTGCGTGGGTCCTGGGAACCGCTGGTACGACCCTGAAAATGTGAGGGTTGACGTTTGAATCGTCTTAGCAGCCTATGCAAAGTACGATGCTCCAGGGAGAGAGAGCAAGGAGGAGAGGTGGGAATCTCTTTAGCGGTTTGCCACCAGTCCACGTATTCAACCATGTGTTCATGGTCGATTTTCCCTTTCTTTTTCAAAGGGACAAGGGGAAGAATGCTGGGACAAGAGAACCCAAACCTTGTGGTTTTACTAGGTATGTTTCGAGTCTATCGTAGCACGCGTATGGGCGATAGCTTCCAGTCGGGGTTCAATGTCTCGCGGCTCTCCCCCTTTAAGATCACTTGTCGCTCAGTCGCCCTAGGCTGCCGCCTCACCTGCAGCCTTCGAGGGAGACACACAGACGGACGCGGGCCTCAGTGAGGCTCTAGACATCACACTAGGCGACGCCTCTCTTCTCAACCTCAGGCAAAGACTGCTCTATGTCTTTCCTGCGTCTCCCTAGCTGCGTTCTCGCAGCCACACCGTCGAAACCTGGGAGAATGCCGGACCCTTAGCCTTCACCCCGCCAAGACGTGCCAGGATGCAAACGAGCGCGTGTGTTTGAAAAATACATAACTGGGGATTGGCATGCAATTTGCAGACCAATACGAGACACCCCGACGCGCCGATCAGTGGAATCAGCGAACCACCAGGGCAGGCACGCAGGTAAGGCAACGTTGGGAGACGGCAACTTGGTGCCGATCCTCCGCCCGTCGTCTAAACTTCATGGTGAGGCAGAACCCAATCATACACACACACACACACCCACTTGCGGGTACAGCAGTTAAACGGGATATCTTGAATTATCATTGTTATTTGCACAGTTACTTGTTTTCTTGTTCTACTATTCGTCGTCGTCGTCGTCGTCGGAATCATCCGAGGCCTCATCAGCCTCGTCCTCGCTTTCCTCCACTCCCTCTGGCCGGGGTATCATGGTGAATGCCGCTACACAGGTGATGCGGTTGTTTGTGCTATATGTTCCCAGCAGCTTGCCAGCCTGCTTCGCCTCGGCCTTGCCCTTGCCCTTTCCCTTGCTCTTGCTGGCCTTGAGCTCCTCCGCGCCCACCTTCCATAGCCGCACCTTGCCGTCGCTGCTGCCGGCAACTACGATCAAGGCCGTAGTCGAATCATTCTTGGTTTGCAGGAAAGCGGTATCCTTGATGCGTCCAACCACACCATCCTCCTTGCCGCCGATTTGAGCAACCAGCTTGGCACTCGACAATGTCTTGTCCTCCGAGTCGGGTTTCTTCAGATCGTTTGTTGCCGTGGAGAAGAATAGGACCCGTCCGTCCTCGGTTGAAACTGTCAGCAAACTCGATTCGCTTTCGCCGTCAATGTTGATGTAGGACAAGTCGTGGATCTTGGTCCGCGTGTCGGACATGACGCGGCATTTGGGCTCACTGTCCATGCCGAAGACGATGACATCTCGGTCGAACCCAACCGCGAACTCGTCCTCGCCGTCCGCCTTTCCCCATATTACCCGCCGGCCCTCGCCGGTAGAGATTCTGCCCTCTCCAACCTCCTGCAACATGCTGCGGCTGAAGTTCAGGACGCCGGCCTTCTTTCCAGTGACGAGGTTCCACAACCGCATGCAACGTTCGCCCTTGCTGACACTGATCATCAACTTCATGCTGGGATGGATCGCGAAGTCATTGACACCGGACGGTGTGCCGCCAAAGGGGGCAGTGTCACCACTGGGTCTACCGGAGGCCTGGGCTATGGGCGCCTTAATCGTCGACAGGACAGACCAGTCTCTTGTTCTCGCGACGGCGATGGTGGAGTCCTCGCTCGAGGAAAGCAGCTTCGACCGTGTAGGGAAGGCCAACTTGGTGATGCTCGACGAATGGTGCAGTAATGTTCCAACCTCGCGGTTCTTGGGGTTCTCAAGAATCGGTCGAGCAGAGACGGCGGACAGAAGCTCCTGGTTCTTACGACTGGGGGGGTGTGCCGACAGGTTGTAGAGGTTGATGCGCTCGTCAGTGCTACCGGACGCCAGCAGGACCTTCTGGCCCTGGCCTGGAACCGGAGCAGAGAGAGGCGACAGGGCGATGCAGCGGATGGCTGAAGTATGCGCCGAGAAAAGGAACGTGTCGGCGAATTCGACCTTTCCCTCAGGCTTTATTGTAGCAGTGATACCATGAAGGACTCTGTCGTAGGATCCGGTCACGATCTGGATCGTCAACTCATCGGCCGGGGCGGCGCTCGAGATTGTCTCCTTCGAAGCCGAGCCATTGGTAGTCGACTTGGCCTTCTTCGCAGTTGCCTTGTTGGCCGCAGGGGTCGCCTCCGCAATCTCAGCTCTCTTCCTTTTTGCTACCATTCTGAATCGTCTTCGTTGTTGTCTGTTTAAGCGCGGATAGTGTTTTCTAGCGTGCGAGATAAAAAAAAAGATGCAGCTCTGCAGCGCATCCAAGCGGCTCGAGATCACACCCCCAAGTAGGGGAAAACCATAAAAAAAATTATCGACCGCTCGAAAGAGTTTCTTATCGGTATCGTTTATCGATAAGAAACTACGTAAGAGTGCCTGAAGAGCTGAAGGGATAGAGTGACACCCCCACTACTGTCGGGATCTTGGCGTGACCGTTCACGGAATCAGATGAGATTCACAGTTGTCACCGCCTGGCGGTACCCACTGAGACTAGTACAGTAGCCAATGAAAGCTGCATCCTGCATAATCCGACACTTCCCTGACTTGCACTCCGAAACATTGAACAGAGTGTGCCAGGGTCTTGGTTAGCTCCCCCAAAGCCTATGCCAGCGCTCCACCACTAACAGCGGCTGATGGGCGCTCCATACCTACTGCGAACCACGCACTCAAGGTTGGGTTCAGCTTGACAGCAACCTAGAACCAACTCATCAAAGACTATAGTAGACACCATCGACACCCAAACAATGGCTTGATTGTGCCTTTCTAGGGTCGCCAACGCTCTTCGATGCCACTGTCATACTTATAGTCCTCCATCCTCTCGCTCTCCCTCTCACCGACTTCAACCTCCCGCTAATCCTTTACTTGCCAACTCCCCCGCTGCCTCGGGCGGCGACACGACAACCTCCTGCCGACAACGCATCCTCGAACGAATACAGCCAAAATGGCATCGTACGGTCATCATATGCCCGCTGCGGCTCCGCGAGCCGCCCATCCTGCCACCTATGGCGCCCCAATGCCTGTCCCTGTGCCCACGGCGCCTGCTGGCACCTTCGCACCCGGCACGAAGATCCAAGTTGGCGGTCACAGAGTGGTGATCCAGAAATATTTGTCCGAGGGAGGTTTCGCTCACGTCTATCTGGTTAAGCTCCCGAAGCCTGTCGACGGTACGGACATGGCTGTTTTGAAGAGAGTGGCTGTCCCCGATAAGGAGTCCCTGAGAAGCATGCGAGTCGAGGTCGAGACCATGAAGCGGCTCAAGGGCCATCGCCCTATCGTCACATACATCGATTCTCATGCGTCTGAAATGCGAAATGGAGGCTACGAAGTGTTCTTGCTCATGGAACACTGCAACGGAGGTGGCCTGATCGACTTCATGAACACGCGTCTCCAGCACCGCCTGACCGAACCCGAGATCCTCCACATCTTTACAGACATAGCCGAGGGCGTCGCCTGTATGCACTACCTCAAGCCGCCACTACTTCACCGCGACCTGAAAGTCGAGAATGTCTTGATCCTCAGCCATGGTTCCCAGAAGCGTTTCAAGCTTTGCGATTTTGGATCCGCTGCGACGCCCAAACCCGCGCCCCAGACCGTCGTTGAGTGCAGGCTTCTTGACGAGGACGTGCAAAAGCACACCACCATGCAGTATCGAAGTCCAGAGATGATAGATGTCTACCGAAAGCTTCCCATCGACGAGAAGTCTGATATTTGGGCTTTGGGCGTTTTGCTGTACAAATTGTGCTACTACACGACGCCCTTCGAGGACCAGGGGCAATTGGCCATCCTCAACGCAAGCTTCAAATACCCCAGTTATCCCGTCTTCTCAGACCGCCTGAAGAAACTCATTGGTAAGCTTGCGTAGACGTGGTCCATACCTTGGTCACTAACGTGAATCAGGATCCATGCTGCGTGAGAGCCCACAGGCCCGACCAAACATCTACCAGGTCCTCCGTGAAGGGTGTGCTATGCAAGGGCGTGATGTACCCATTCAAGATGTAGGTTCTCCCAAAATTTGTCTTCTTGACGCTCGATTAAAATGTAACAGATATATGCTGGGGGACAACGCTCCGAGCCGTCGAGTCGATCTTCAGCGATGGACAGGCCACAACCTAAGCCAGTTGTTGGCGCTGTTTTCTCCCCTCCTCCACAGCAGGAGAATGCCATTCCCGACATAGTTCCTATGAGGAGAGGAAGGTTGCCAGCCGCGAGTCAACAACCGCAACCTCAGCAAGCCGCCAAACCCGGCCCATCTCCCATGCGAGTGACTGACGGAGATCCGTTTGCCGCTTTGGATGCACCAGCTGCTGCTGCTGCTGCTGGCTCTCCGGCGGCGGCTGCGGCGGGAGACGTTGACGAATTCGCGTCTCGCTTCCCGCCTTTGGATCAGTTTTCCATCCTTCACGAGAAAGGCTCTAAATTCAACTTTGACTCGCATACTCCTCCCCCTACGCAGCAACAGAGAGTCCCGGTTTCGCAACCGATTCAGAAGCCTAAGCATCAGGCATATCCGGCAGTACAGTCTCCACCGAAGAACCCGGAGCCGGCACGGCCGAGGACTGTCACTCCGGCCGTCACTGCTTCTCATACGCCGCCGACAGTTAAATGTCCTCCTCAGGCTGCCGTGGGACTTACGAAGACGGCATCTGCCCCTCCAAAGCCAGCCGAGATGAGCAGAGCACATGCTATCATCAATAAGAATCCCGAATTGCAGGCCATCTCGTCTCAAACACAGGCCCAGTACCATCCTCAGCCTCAGCCATCTAAATATGTATCCACCGGCACAATGACAACCTCTCCCCCAGGAGAGCAACAACCTACCCAGCCGGTCCCGGTGTGGCGGGTTCCCACATCGGTCCACCACCGGTCGTCTAGCCTTCCTCGTCAAGAAGACCAGAATGCGTCATCTAGGCCAGGCGTAGAAGAAGGATCACTGCCTCGGAACCCTTCGTACCAGCTGCGCCCGACCCATGTCCGGCATCCGTCGTCGTCGCGACCGTCATTGGAAGGCGGACGGCCAAGCCTGGATCTTCTTGATTCAAGCAGTCAGTCAAGAAGATCCATTGATGGCCGTCCCAGGCCTGCCAGCACCTATCTCGAGTCAAACCTCGACTTTTTGCGCGAAAAAGAAAACTCTTCAAAATCCGTTCCTCCCCCTAGTCTCATGTCTCCGAAGTTTCCTGACAGAGTACCATCGCCTGCAATGGCGGAACCAGAAGAGGAAGCTCACATCGAATCCAATGTTGAATTTCTGCGTAGTATAGAAGAATCAGACTCGAAGAAAAGGGACTGGCATTCGAAACACGGCAAACGCGGGAGTCTCAGTTCACTGTCCGGGACAAAGAACATATTCGCTGGAAAGTTTGGCGATGCATTCAAAAGGTTTGAAGGAAACCAAGCACCACCGCCTGCTCGAACTCCGTCACCGCTCAAGCAGCTGGAGCGTGGCGTGCTGACCCCCATCGAGGGGTCGGAGGCCACCGATGGCCGGACCGACGATGGCAAAGGGCACGAGGAGATCGAAGACACGCCCGCGATGAGACGGGAGATTGAACGCCTGCGTCTCGAGGAGGAGGAGCGACGGGTCGAGGCTGCGGCCGCGGAGTACCGCCAACGTTTTTCCAACCAGCCAGGCAGCACTGCACCTCTGCCCAAGAGTATTGGCGGAGTGTCCCGCGCTGTCAGCATCCAGAACAGGGTGCAAAACCTGTTGAGTGAGGGCCAGAAGTCCTCGGTTCAGGTTCCGCGCACTGCTCAAGGTTACGGCGTGTACACAGACTCTGCCGCGGGCCGTCTGGACAAGCAGCTTCCAGATATTCCGAGGAAGCCGGTGGGCAACGCTAAGCCTCGGCCTATGACGCCGTCTAATTCACAAGATGTCGTGGTCAACAAGGTGCGGCCGGCCACAAGCGAGCCTCTGCCAGCAGCGGGACGGTCCACGCCCGGCCCGCGACCGGTGGCACCCCGAAAGCCAATGCACCTCAACAGCCTGCCGACCGGCGGGCGACCAGGCTCGCCGCCGAAGCAGCACCAGGCTCCGCCTTCCACGTCTTCGGAGCACCTTGTCGGCGTGGGACTCCCCGGGCGACCGGTGCTGGAGATGTCGGCCAAGGAGAAGGACGACTACGTCCAGGACTTTTCGAAACGATTCCCTAGTCTGGGCTCGATCGAGATGGTCGAACGAGATCTCGCAGCGGAAGCGGGCGAACCGCGCACGAGTAGATAGACCATCCTGCCGGCCACAACCGGTCTCTGGCGGCAGGTCGATTCCAATACCGATGGTTGGACTTAGAATTAAATATATACACTGGATAAGCGAGCGTAGAGATCCTCACATGTTTTGTACGCAAGCAGCATCGCGTACCGAGTCGACATATCCTTTCAATAAAGCACTTTCCTGTAGATAAGAAGAATAAAGTCTTTTTCAAAGACACAGAATGTGTTTATATACGCTTACATGTCTTGTGGCCAAACATGCATTCATTAAATACCCGTTCTGTGTGCAGCTGCCCTTGGTATCTCAGGTTGACCAAAGTGGTTTGAGTTGCCGAATGCGGCCTCGCGATGTCAAGTTTGGAGGGCCAGCACCATTCCTGCGAGCTCTGACGAAGGGGCCGTAGTGCCGAATTGTTTTTTTTATGGGGATGATTATTGTTATGTATTATGAAATGCTCCGGCAGTCTCCTGACCCGGGTCAATTTGTTGCTTCCAACTACCGCACCTCCTCCTTCTTACAAGCTCCATCACGCTTTCCTAATGTAACACCACACCCCTTCTCAAGTGAAGATGGGGGACTGCGCACAGCTGAGACTGTGCTCTCCTTTCTGCCGCCGTCTAAAACAGGCCGCCAAGCAAGCGGCGAGGGAGGCTGGCCCAGGTCTTCGTGGGCTCGGGCTCGTCGCTGGGGTCGGCCAAGACGACGCCCGTCTTGAGGTCGATCTCGCGGAGGGGCACGTAGAGGGTCCAGTCGCGGGAGATGACCTTCCACAGAAGGTAGAGGAACAAGACGATGGGGGCGGCGAGGTAGGCCTGGAAGAAGGCCGCAGGGTCGGGCGTCGCGCTGGGGCTGGGCTGTAATTGGCCGCGTTAGCGATAGGTCTCCTCTTCGATGATGTACGGGCAGCAGACTGCCCCAGGGCCAAGGAGGGAGGAAATATGAGGCACGGAGGAAGCACTTACGTAGAGAGCGTTGTAGAAGGTGGCGATGAGGCAGACACAGTTGAGGAAGAAGCCGATGGCGCTGCCCCAGATGCCCAGGGGTACCTTGTAGGGGATCTGTTCGAGCGTGTAGCCCTGCAGCTTCCAGGCCATGCGCATGCGGATGTGTGACAGGCAGATGGAGCCCCAGACGAAGAAGTACGAAAGACCGGACAGGGCAAGGAGCCAGTTGAAGACGGTGCCGCTGTCGGCAGACTCGCCGATGAAGGCGAGCAGACCAAAGGCGAGCTGGATCAGGACGCACCAGATGGGGCGGCCGTGCTTGTCGACATAGGCCAGGATGCGCGGGGCCATGCCATGCTCGGCCATGGCCTGCATGGTGCGGGTGGAGCCGAAGGTGCAGCTGTTGGCGACGGAGATGACGGAGATGGTGATGACGGCGTTGAAGATGGAGGGCAAGACCTTGATGCCGGCGTCCTGGATAGCGAGGACGAAGGGGGAGGCCTTGGTGTTGGCGCCCGAGGAGCCCAAGAGACGAGGGTCATTGGCGGGGACGATGAGGCCGAGGATGAAGAGGTTGACAATGTAGAAGAAGGCAATGCGGAAAAAGACCTGCTTGCTGGCTTGGGGAATGGCCTTGCGAGGGTTGGCCGACTCGGCGGCGGCGAGGCCGACGAGCTCCGTGCCGCCAAAAGCGAAGGCCGCCACGACAAAGACACCGGCGAAGCCGTTGAAGCCGTTCTGGAAGGCACCCGGGTCGTGCCAGTACTTGGCACCGAGGTAGCCCCTGTCGCCGACGCCACCACAGTTGATGACGATGCCGAGGATGATGAAGCCCGTGCAGGCGATAATCTTGATGATGGAGAGGATGAACTCGACCTCTCCGTAACCTCGGACGCCAAAGACCTGGATGACGGAGAGGACAATGAGGAAGACGGCGACCCAGATGCCCATGTTGAGGTCGTCTCTCCAGAACTTGATGGTGATACTAGCGGCGACGAGTTCAAAGGGGAGGATGGTCAACCAGGCGATGGCGTAGTCCCAGCCCATGGCGAAGCCCCTGGGGACTTGTTAGAATGTGCTTGCAATACGTGTGCCGCTGCGCGGGAGACTCACCAGGAGGGATCGACGAATCGGCAGACGTAGGTGTAGAAGGCACCGTTCACAGGGTACAGGACGGCCATTTCAGCGAGAGCTTGGGTCGTGAACAACAACATGATCGCAACTATCAGGTAGCCAATGATCTGTTCGTCGCACAGTTAGCACGGAGAAGCCAACCAGGAAAGAAGGAGAGCCATACCAGAGCAGCCGGGCCACCGGCACGGAGAGCACCGCCGGATCCGACGAAGAGACCGGCACCAATTGCACCGCCTGTGTGACGCAAATCAGTACATTGTAACGTCTTGTTGGTGTAAGTCGAGGCATACCAATGGCAATCATCTGCATGTGTCGGTTCTTGAGGTTTCGCTGGAGGGTCTCGCCCTTGTGGACAGCGCCGACCTCCTCATCGTGAGAGCCGTCGAAGCTGCCGACCTGGCTGTTCACGGCAGGCTCCTTGGGGTGAGTTTTCTCGTCATCGACGATGACGGGCGGGGAAGACATATTGGCGGGTGTCTCCGAATATACTTCGAACCCCTCGTTGATGGTATAGAGACGGACAAGCCGGTGAAGGATGAAGGCACAAGCTTGAGTTCAGGAAGGCTGGTGCCAAGAGACCCCTGGTATATATATATATGCAACGAGACAGAACAGCAATCGACGGCTCGTGATAAGAGTGGGAGACAGTACATTATCCGGCAGGGCGCAATCTTCCTTTGGCCACGGTTGCCTACCATAAGATGTTCCGGTACCATGGGGTCAGGACTCTCTGGCCTGCAGGCTGCAACCCTTCCGCCCGGCCACGACACCGCGTTGGGAGGCAATTCATTCGTGAGAGCGAGATAGACCCTTGGCTATCCTCGGACGGAAATCGACAAGACAAGCTTTGGTCGATAATATTACGGCCCACCCCTCCAAGAAGCTTGATCCAAAGCAGACTAGAGCCAGCCGGGGGTGATTTCATTGTCACCCGGCATGGCGTGCGCTTTGCTCAATCTGGATAGTGCGCTCGCTGGAGCTTGGTCTAGTAGGAGGTCGCATGGGAATGGTGGTGTCAAGCCGTTGAGACGAAGCCAATGATTGGCCCAAGAGGGTTTGAGGTTTGATATCTTGACTCGGCGGCACTCTGGGGTCCTACCTACACTACCTCCACAGGTTCTCTGGACCAGCCACCCCTCCCTCCCCTTGCACCGTGCCCCTGCGAGGATGGTAAACTTGCAACGGTACAGATAAGTAATGTAAAGTTCGAGCTTGCTCCATGACCCAGACCGAGAGCAACACTACTTCAGGATTTAGTCCTTGCCATTGGGCGTGCTACTTCTGCCTTTTTGTGTATAGTCTCCCAAGACTGTTTGGCTTTTGACGCTCCAACGAAGAAAGCACAAAACAAACGACTTGTACCAGCCGGGCTTGACACGGCATATGGGGTTGCTTTCGTTGTTGTGGTTTCGAGACGATATACCTAGAGGTTCGGCCTCTAATCAACAAACGGTTAGAGGCTCCGAAGGATGAGAAGGGGCATTCCGTCTTCGGCGATAACGCTAGAGCACGCGATTGATGGACCCCCGTGACGCGGGGCAAGCGATTCGACAACGACGACAATGCAGCCGCCACAGCCGTATCCGAGAAAACAATTACCGCATGTTATCGCTAACTTCCAGTCGTTCTGGAATGATGTTTCAAAGTTCCAAGCAGGTCCAGACCGGGGCGGACTTGGGGGGGGGGGGGTCATGATTGGATGGCGAGTGGACGGTAACCGGTCGCGTCCCCCCAATACAAAAGGACATGGTGCCACCATGATGGCAATCAGTCGCGTTGCAATTTCAAAACGAGTAAGCAGCGCACAATATCGGCTACTCGTGCCGGGGTATATAGCAGTTGTTTCCAAGGTCCGGGGAAGCTGCTACTGAGAAGGACTTATTGGGGATGGGAGTTGAAGGTATCGACACCTGAAGTCCATTAGTCTCTGGGCGCCGAGAAAATCAAGCTTTTGGGAGGGCCGAGATGCAGGAACACTATTGGCCAGGGCGAGGACCAAGCAATATAATGCATATTTGTCGCTTTCTAGCTCCTTGGCCTTTTGTAGCTTCTGTCAACCCCCCGTCTTCTGTCTGCCTGTCCTGCAAAACAGGCCTTCAGCTTGTCGCATTCACATGTCCACTTTATATCGAAACGAGGCTGATGTACCTCTGCGCTTATCTGCCAATGGCGGCCATACGACAAACGGGGCTTTTCGTGGAATTATTCGTGAAAACCATGTCCTTACGTTGACAATTGCTCTTATCATGTTAGGTGGCTGTGCCGTTATCAGTCGTCCCCTGCCATCGTAGACCCCGGGAGCGCCGAAGCAGCTAGAGGTGGCGTGTAACCCCCCCACGCCAGCTGGTAATCATGTCCGTGTGCTTATCCGTACATACCTACCCAGTACGGATACAGGTATACCTACATCAACCGGGCGTAGGGCGTTGCGCTTCACCAGGCAGCCCACACATGCTCGGCTGCAACCGCTCCCGTTTCTGGCTCTCAGGCTTAGCACTTCAAGGTCGACCAGAACGCCGTGCAACATTCTAGCGTCCTTCTAGCTTCTCTCAAGCTGTCGGCGGGCCCCAACAACCGCTGAGTGCTGAATGAATGTGATTGGATGTCTCGGGTTGGTGTTCCACAGCCCAATGCCAAGGGGAAGCCCTTGCAGAAAACAAAATAGTTTACTAAAATTCCACATGAAATTGAGTGTAGTATCCGTGGTAATCTTATTCAACACAGTATTGTGTCTAGCATTGTCCCATGAATTGGGCTCAGCTCAGCCCGGTCATTGGCGCAAATGCGAAGCCCTCGAGTTGCGGTGTCTTCAGGGGTTCGATATGCCCTTGTTGATACAACACCAGCCAAACGGCATCGGCATTTACCGCTTCCAAAGCCTGGCGTGCCTCGAGGTCCTGAATAATCACTTCGGTTAGGAGCTCTAAGAACTCGTCGAATACCTCTGCCTCGAGTCGAACATGCGAGACAATAGATATCAGCAGACGAACCACGGCGTCCCATATCTGTGCGGCTTGGGCGAATTTTCCCAGGCCGCCAAAGGTCGAGCCAGAGGTTATCGCTGTAGACTGATGCGCTAGCAGGTCCCCTCCTGATCGAATGGGAATCAGAACCTCCTGACTCGCAGATGCTATCATCTGGTCTGGCCTGGCACTTTCTCGAGGTGAACTCCCTTTGCTCCGAAAGCGAGCGGCCTCCACCTTCTTTCTGCGACACCACTTGCCAAGCCCATCCCACCATTCTGTCTTGATCCTGGAGCCCAAAAAGTCGCCGGCTGTGGTACAAAGAATGGAGAGAGCATCGCATGCTGAGATAGTAACAAAGGCCTCACCGTCGTATAGCCTGCTGACGACCACAGGCCAGACAGCATTGACAAGGGGAAGAAAAGAGTCCTCGTCCCCTGACAGAGCTGGAGAGACAGTAGCCAACAGATCGAGTAAGGATTTCCGCAGCGTGGCGCTCGGCGATGTAAGATAATGCTGTGTCAAACCCGCAATTCGTTCTAGCAGGGTATACGTCGGCGTCTTCGGCGGTCTCTCCTGGTCGTCTTCATTACCTGCTGCATCTTCACCGTCCTCGGAATCTTGTTTAGCCTTGCCGTTGCCGTCGCCCCATGGGGCTTGGGGATGTCCGCCAGCGTTTCCGAGAGTAGTATCGACAGCTGAGGCTGCAGTCTCTCTCTCGCGACGCTTCTCCAGTAACTGAACAATGTCCTCGATTAACACCCGGTCACTTTCTACCTTTTTGTGACTCTCGGGCCCGTTCTTTCGGCCCTCGAGGAGAAGTGTGTCCGATTTGACACCCTGATTGACAATTTCCTTCAGGACCGAGAAGAGACTTTCCACAAAAGCGGGATAGCCGTGATAGTTGTCCAAGGCCGCAAATACGGAAGCCACGACATCGTCCAGGTAAGGAAGCAGTCGCGGTCCGGTCAGTCGAGTCATCATGATCAACACCTTTGTGGATGCTGGAGAGATGTCGAAGGTATTGAGGCGCAGTGAAATGGAATTGATCATGTAGTCCACGTTCTCGATGATTAGCTCAGAGACACTGGTATACCCACAGGAAACGGCCAAGATATTCAGAGTCGTAATGGCATGCTCCCTCAGTTGTGGGATTGAAGAACCCAAAAAAGTCGTGATTGGGTACAGCACATCGATGAGTTCCGGTCTGAATGCCTCGCGAGATCGAGAGGCTGCAAAGGAGGTGACCTCGAGCGCTGTAGCCTCTAGTCTCCAGTCGACATCCGACATTTCTGAGTGAGAATCAAGCAGCACCACTGCGAATGAGTATAATTCCTGGAAGATCAAGTCGGCACCATCACTGGGAGAGCTTAGTGAGGTGAGGTCCAAGAGGTCATCTAGGTCGCTGGATCGAGACAGAGCGCTCTTGACAAGTTCAAAGCTCAACCAGAAGGACGACGTCTGAATACCGCCAGTCGAATCTCTGGCGTAATCCAACATCTCGGCGGCGAGCTTGGTCTGTTGGGAAGCCGGGCCCACGTTGGATAGCAACTCGAGCACCGCCAATCTTGTGCCTAACTGACTCTCTTGGTTCAATAGGACGCTTTGATACTGTCTTGACGTATCCCCAGCTTTCACTACATCTTGGTTGTACCATGAGGCATCCGTTGCCGTTTGGTCTAACACTTTCTCTGGCTTGGCTTCCGTCACCAAAGAAGTGACGCTGTCCCGTAAAGCCGCTGCTATGGACTCGTCCAAAAGTGAAGAGTCCAGTTGGAGACTGCTGACAAGAGACATGCCCCTCATCAGATTTCGAACCGCCGCCTCTTTTTTACCCTCGTCGGCAGACTGGATGATTCTGGGCAAGCTGGTGATCCAGTTGTAGCAAGTGACTTTGACGGTTTCCCCAAGCTCGGGGTAGATTATTGCCAAGTCCTGCAGGCTTGTTGCTACTACGGATGGCGTCTGGTCGGCTGGCGACAGAATCATGGCGGTCTCTACGAGAATCGAAGAGCAGTTATCCAGCGAGATATGACACTCGTCGAGAAGCCCCAGGCATAACGTCAGCAGAGCTTCGCGCACGTCTTGTGAATCATGTGCGCGGAGCTTTAATATAGTTGCTAAAGCCAACTTGATTTGTGCTTTTGTGGCGGTTAGCCATGCCGGACTCAATACCCCACCCTGGTCGGTATTGGAAGAGCCGTTGGCAGTCGGCCTTGCGGTAATGCTTCGAGTCCTGATATCTCCGAGAACTTGCACAACGACCTGTTTCATTGACCCTATAGAACCAACGAGAACCCTGTTCTTCTCTCTTGGCGGTTTGGCCAGGAGCTTTGTTAGGGAAGATACGATACCCGGGAGGAACGAGGCGAGCGCAGCGTGATCTTTGACGCCCGTGTAGAAGCAGCCGAGTGTGCGCAGAGCTTCGAGCTGGATTTCAGGTGTCCTGCCATCTGTGACACACTCTAAAAGTACAGTTATGGTGTGTCCCAATGTCGGAATCAGCTTCTCTTCGGTCAGCGCCTCTGCTGCTTTGGCTGAAGTACCAGCCACAGTGATGAGGGCTGTCAGGGCCCTCAGTGACTCGAGTTCGGTTTCCTCAGGCAGATCACGGGATTCCTCTCGCCCAGGCACACCACCAACGATGAAAGTAAGTAGGATGAGGAGCTGCTGCAGGATCTGAGGCGAGATGTTCGACTTCCAACCATGAATGATGATGATGGTGAGACACTTGATGGCGACCTCAATGAGGGGTTTGGGATATTGATCATGGCTGCGAAAGACATGGGAGAGCGGAAAGAAGACGTAGTCGGCAAGCTTCTCGTCAAATACGGTGGCATCTTTGTTTACTTGATCGTTGAGGATACCAAGTAATTCCCCAGCCAACTCGGAGAGCCGTTTAATCGAGGATGCTTCACCTTGCTGCCTGATCGCTAGCTGACTTATGGAGACACAGCTTGGCTTGAGCTTGTGAGGAGGTCAGCGATTGCCTATGGCTTATCGAGAGTTACAAACCTGTTGGAAGAATTCATTCCGAGCTGGGTTTGCGTTGGCCAAACTAGTCGCCATTGTGAGGTGCCACTCCGCTCATGCCAGTCCGGAAGGATCTGTGATGCTGCTCGACTGCGGGTTCAACACGACTGAACGAAGTAGTGTTCACTTTAAAAGGAAGGCTGATGATGGGGCGATGTTGAGTGTAGCTGAGAATCAAGCGATTTTCAACTTTGCTGTAGTGACGTGATCCTGAAAGACGTTCCTAACTTCGGCAGCTGTTCCAATCGGGAGCCTTCCTTTACAGTACAGCCAGCAGTGAACCCCACTGCCGGATCGACTGTACTGGGGGTTCGTCAACCTCCAGTGTACCTAAAAAGGGCCAGCCAAGCACTGATCACAGGAGGTGCTTAACAGCTCCTGTACCAAGCGCTTCCCCTCCACCTCATTACATCAGCAGAACGATGCCATCTCCAACTCTGCAATGAAGTGATTGATTGCATCTCGCGCAAGCCTTATCGAACATACTCTTCCCGATTTCGGCAACGTTCAGCAGCTGAGCCAACCACGACCGAACCTTGTGTTCCCACCCATCCCAAATAAAATGTCGTCATCACCATTCTCTTGCACTGTTCACCATTATGAATCCCCGACCTCTCATGCCAGCGCCTACGAGATCGGCCCATCTGAAGCTTTGAATGCGATACTCTTCATAGGAGGTCTCGGCGATGGCCCCCATACTGTGTTTTACACTAAAACCATCGCCACACATTTGGAGAAGACGGGACAAGACTGGTCCATCTTTGAGATCCGAATGAGAAGCTCCTTTTCCGGCTACGGCTATTCGAGCCTCAAGAACGATGTCGAGGACATCTCGGCCCTCGTGAGGTATCTCCGAGGCATCGGCAAAAAGAAGGTTGTCCTTATGGGCCACTCAACTGGATGCCAGGTACGTGGAGCCGGTCACAAGACGTATGAGGCCTTTCTTTGCTCACTTTGCCAGGATTGTGTGGAATACACCAAGCACAAGGGGGACCCCGTTGATGGCTTCGTCCTCCAAGGCCCCGTTTCCGACAGAGAAAGCATCGTTGACTCTACCGATTTTGAATGGCTAGAGAAGAGTTTGAAATACGCAGAGGATCTGATTTCTAAGGGTAAGGAGGGCGAAGCGATGCCCAAAGATCTGGTGCCCACTTTCTTCTCGACGCCGATGACAGCGTACCGCTGGCACTCTCTTGCAGCCAAGGGGTAAGCAACCTCGTCTACTCATTATCACAGCTTATACGCTAATCTGGCTTATAGTGGGGATGATGACTACTTTTCATCCGACCTCGAAGAGTCGTTCGTGTCCGAGGTCTGGAACCGGTTTCAACAGCCTGTGATGGCCTTGCAATCCGCCGAAGACGAGTTCGTTCCTGCCAAGATTGACAAGCAAGCTCTCGTGGACTCCTGGAAGAAGAGCAGCCCCAAGGTGCACGAGCTATCTGGTCTAATCCCGGGTGCAAGCCACACGGTGAAGAACCCGGACTCGCAGCAATGGTTGGCAGAGCGGGTGGTTCAGTTCCTCCAACAAATATAAGACTTCGCCGTGTCTCCCTACCACATGACGGACCGTCTAGCGAATCCACAAGTAGCCAATGAGTGAACAACTCGTACAGAATAATGAGTCCAGATGTATATTACAAGCGGCCGGCGGACATGCCTCGAGATGATGCGAACTGCTTCCAAAAAGTTTTTTATCCGCTTTATATAGAAGACGTTCACAAAGTTTCCGGATTTCTAGTCCAACTCTTTTATTTTTGTTTTTTATAATAAACCCCCTCCTCCTCCGGAATAGGAGCGGAGGTCGGCGATGTGTAGTGCTAGGCGCCGATACCCCACTCTTTTCTGTCAATGTCCCGTAGCGATGCCCAATGCAGGTCGGCGAGCACCCCAAGTGCGGGCTGGTAATGCGATCGCGGGCACCGCGAATACTTAATCCCTGGGCGTCTCACGGGACGAGATGCCCGCTTAACTCAACTCGTTCCAACTCAAAAAAATAAATAAATAAAGGACGCTACTTCAGTCTCGTTGCTACAGCCTCCCACTTCGTCTCGTAAACTATCTCGACTGTCGAATCTGATCCGCCGCCAACTCATCTTTCCCAGCTCAGTATCCTCCGGTCCGCTTTCCAACATGTGCTTCGGTGTCACCTGCTCGACTTGCTGTGAGATGAACCCAAACCAAGCGCACTGCTAGGATGTGCAACAAGTCACTAACGCCCGACTCCCCGAGCAGCAAAGGCAACCTGGCGAGGCTGCGGAGCGCACATCCCCGCGGCGCTCAGCGGCGTGCCCGAGGACCAGTGGTGCACCTGCACGCCCAAGGTCACGGTCAACGGCAAGGAGTACCCCCCGGCGGGAACGGTGTCGATTCCTGGTATGTCTTGGTTGAGCGGCTTGTTTGGCAGAGGCAGTTCCAATGACAAGGCGGCACAGGTTACTGAGAGACCGGACGAGCTGTGACGAGCTGCTGTCGGCTTGATGCGTGAGCTGTCGCCGTGGAAAGGCGACTGTACTTGTATGATCTGGCTGGGGGCGTTGGTGAATGTTGGCTTGCAGGGGCGGGGGACGAGGAAACGGCGACAATGTAGAGGGACCCTGAGTTGAATCAAGAATCTTTCGCATTCTCTCCCTTTCTCAACAAGATTCACATGGCTTGCTGGAAGCACCAAATGAAAGAGGCCTTTGCAGCCGAATTCCGGACACTGTCACGACCCCGTTGCGCGTGCGTCCGAAGCAGGCCTATTGGTACCTAGGTAGGTGCGGAGGGGTAATCGGCGTTGTATCAGTGCCCCTCACCCCTCGCTTTGGGGCTCGCAGTGGATTCCCCTTCACCTAAACCCCATCCTCGGGCTCCCCTATCGGCGCCGGCGCTCAGTCGTTAACAAATCGAAACCATCTGATTGAGCCAGCGCTATCGTGCCTCCGGAGCTGATAAAGAGTGACCCCGGTTTCGCTCACGACTGGACGGACCGCCTTCTTGGACACCCCCCCCCTTGCGATTCTCACTCTTCTCTGACCGAATACGCAATCTGTCTCTACTGGAGTGAGAATCCGCAAGATGTTACTGCTCTCTCCTTTGTTTCTCGTAGCGGTCTCCGCCGTGCTCCTCGCGGTCTACCTAGTCCGCTGCGTCTCGTCGCCGTTGTGGAAAGTACCCGGCCCGCGGGCATCGGCCTTCACGTCGCTCCTCCTGAAGTGGCATGAGCTGCGCGCGAACCGGACGAGATACATCCACAGCCTGCACCAGGAGTATGGCCCGGTCGTCCGAGTCGCGCCGAGCGAGGTCTGCTTTACCTCCTATGAGGCCGTCAAGGAGATTTACTGCTCCGGCGGTAGCGGCTACGACAAGACAGAGTTCTATGACTTGTTCAGAGTCTATGGACGGAGGTGCGTGTGACGGATACTGAACCTGACGTGAGTCGGCACTTGCTTACGTTCTCAGGACTATGTTTACAACGCTGAACAAGGAAGATGTACGACTCCTGCCCCCAACTCGTGATTCGAGGTGAAAGTGTAGAAGGGGGGAAGAAGAGACTCATTATGCAACCAGCACGCGAAGCGGAAGAGGATCATTGCAGATAGGTACGCGAACAGCAATGTCCTCCGGCCGGCGCCCCTGAGCGGGATCCAGGAAAGGTCACGACGGTTCATTGACCGATGCGAGGCGTCCGTGGGCAAGTGTCACGACATCTTTGTAAGTCGGGAATGCCCAAAGCTGCAAAGAGTACAGCCCCCCGGACGGGCGTATTAACCGCGGTCTCTCATCAGATGAGTCTTCACTCATACGCTTGCGACTGCGTCACGCACCACCTGTTCCACCCGTACGGCAGTAACTGCCTTGAGAACGAGGCGGACGAGGAGATGATGCACCAGGTCGCCGCCGACGACAGCCTGCAGAGTGAGTAATAGACCCAGAGCCATGCAAACAAGCAGAACCTATGACCACCAATCGGGCTAATGCTCCCGTGCGCGCTCGTCACGCAGACCGTCTCGTCCAACACTACAGCCCCACGCTGCACAAGCTCCTCTCCAGGATCCTCTACCTCTTCGCCAGGCCCCGCGAGACACCCCTCGCCGACACCTTCGTGGTTGAAGCCAGCAAGAAACTCGACCCAGCCTCGTTCACGCTCCTGAGCCGGTTGCACGAGAAGTCGAGCGGCGGCCAGCAGGGGATGGACCAGCTCGACATGGCGGGCGAGTGCCTCGACCACATGGCGGCGGGCATCGACACGACGGGCGATGGGCTGTGCTTCCTCATGTGGGAGCTCTCGCAGCCGCGGTCGCTGCGGTTCCAGGAAGAGCTGCGGCGGGAGCTGAGGGAGAATTCCGGGGCCGTGGGCGCCGCGGCGTTCGACAGGCTGCCGTTCCTGGACGCTATTGTGCAGGAGGGCCTCCGGTGCTTCCCCGCCATCCCCATGTCCCTACCGCGGTACGTGCCCCGGGGCGGGCGGACCATCGATGGCTACTCGATCCCTCAGGGGACGGTCGTCAGTTGCCAGGCATATTCCGTCCACCGCATCAACGAAGACGTCTTTCCCAAGCCCGACGTGTTTGATCCGAACAGGTGGATGGAGGCGACGGGCGATGCCGAGAGGAAGCGGCTCATGTTTGCGTTTGCCAACGGAGGCAGGGGCTGCGTCGGGAAGCAGTGAGTTCTCGCGCCCGTTCCCCTACATGCGAGTGACAGCGTCCGTCGCTAACTTTGAGATCCGTGTAGCCTGGCACTGGCCGAGATGAAGACGCTTCTGGCGGACATTTACTCCCGTTACACGACGCTTCCTGAGACGTCGATGACGGCCGAGTCGATGGCTATGTCGGACCAGCTCATCTCGTCGCGGCCGCTGGGCCAGAGATGCCTGCTGCAGTTTATCCCTGTTGGTGAGAAACGAGAATAGCGCTTCTTCTATTACGAATAAGACGGCATGAAGCGAAAAAAAGACATTCATCGTCGGGAAACCAGAGAGCTAACGGCCAGGCATTCCTTGGAGCGGTTGATGACGGGGTTTTTTTTTTTTTTAATCAGCATTGCGGTAGATAGAAAGAAAGGGAAAAAAAAAAGCCATCGTGCCTCGTAACGGATGAGACAGCTTGGCATGTTCCTGTCAAGATAAATACCTACGTGGACGGCTCAGGCAGAGTTTGCAAGTCGGGGATGACGCTTCGTTGGCCGGCGTCAGGCGCGGCGAGACGAGCAATGGCGCGTGGGCTGCGCGGGCTGCAGATTGCAGACTGCGCTATTGTTGGCCTACATGGGTGGGATGGCAAATCGGATTTCACCCCCATGTTCATTGATATTTTGTCGCTTATCCGTATTGTGACGTTTATATCCGTATCCTGTTCCAGTGTCACCCTCCTCCTGACGCCCATAGGTACGTTTGCTGTGCGATTTGCGCTTCCTGAAGTGGTGGGGCAGGCTGCTGACGGGCCCGTGCGTCCAGCGCGGAGCTGTCGCAGCCTCCCTTTGGATGTCAGCCAAGAGGAATCCGCTTCAGCGTCTCCTCCACATTTCTCGTCTCAGCGTTGCCTGGTAGTTGACTGAAGAGATGGATGGAGCGGAGGAGAGGGAGAGAGAGAAAAATCGGGTCATGAAACATCGCTGCAGAGTCGGATAGGCCAAAAAAGCACAACCGGGGCTGATGCCTTTTTTGTGCGGGATTGATATCAATCATGCAAACCGCAGAGCGCGGAACGAAATCTGGATTGAGGCCACACTGCCTACCTACATTGTACTTTACCACCTTACCCATCTTATGTACATCGTACACAGTAAACCGAGAGGTGTCAGGCCAGCATGTGAGCTGGGCATATCATATACACAACATGACATCTACAGATAGAATGTATATGTAGGTGCCTACCTTATGGCGCTGCGTGTGGCGTTCTGGACACTGGACTGGTCCGGTGGCACCCCTTGCCTGGCGCAACCAGCACGGCTACCTCTGAGGCGAAAATGGCTTGATCCAGAGTTTAGAGGGTGCCGCGCGCCAGTGAGGTAAACTACCGACTCAGCAGGGTCTCGCCAGGCTGTCAGGCCTGCCAAACTTTCCGCAGCCTCGGTCTCTGCAGGGAAGGTTATGTAGGTAGGTGCCTACGACTAAGGGTAGGTAGTGAAAAGGGTTGCAGCTGTACTGGCAATGCCTACTGGTAGTACGGCTGAGTACCTACCTAGGCAGGTACTACACGTATGTACAGCTCACGTATGGTACCTGGCCTATGTACACACCAATGTAACAGTGCGTTGTTAAACAGTTTTTACCGTTGTTCCATGTGTCTCCGAGTCTCCGACTCTGTCCCATCCCTCGCCTCCTCCCACCACACTCCACCCGGGCCTTTTTTTTTTCTTTTTTTTTCCCCTTCTCCGAAACTCTTCGCCCACCTAGCCAGTCACCTCCGTCTTCTCCTCTTCCCACCCACAAGAAAGAAAGAAAAAAAAAAACCGCAACAAAACCCTCCGCTCGGAGATTCATCGAGCACATATCGCAATTATCGCAAAACCCACCTTGCCCAAGTCCCACTTCACTGCCCTGCTTAGGCATCCTCTGCACGTCGTGCCCACTCGCGGTAAACTCTGACCCGTACAAAACCTCTACTCCCCCCTCCCCTCTTCAGGAAACATCGCCACCTTTACCCAAAACACCACACCCTATCGTCAACAAAACCTACACCAGCAGCATCCTCTCTCGCAGTGTTAACGACCGCTGAGTCCTCACCCCCGCGAGAGTTGAACATACAACGACACCCTCACGCGGTATACGGCACATAGCAGTTTATGTATCAGCACGACAGTACCACCGTCTTCAGACACTTCGTCCCCAAGCTGCAATCATTTCGCATACCGCGGAAACCTTGTAGCCACAACATCAGTTCAGTCGGTTGAAATCCCGTCACATAGACGAGTTCATGAATTCTCGACAGCAAAGACGATCTAGTCTCGCTTTACCACATGTCCATCAACAATATCCTTGAGCATTGAGTCCGCCTTCTTGCTCTCTTCCCCAACCCAGCCTCGTTGCCATACCGTCGATTCCGATCCTAACCACCGACCTCGCCGGCTTCTTAATGCTACCCGTCCGCTCAACCGACAGCACCACCAGCTTCGCGAGCCCATTACTTCCCACTTTAACCAGTCTCCTATACCATTAACTTTTCCAACACACCCTTCTTCAGTCGTCCAATTACCAATACCGCAATCATGGCTTCCCTCATCAACGTTCGCCGCGACGTCAAAGACGCTTTCTATCGCTACAAGATGGAGAAGATCGTCACCAAGATCGAGGGCAAGGGCAACGGCATCAAGACCGTTGTCGTCAACCTGAGCAGCGTCGCTCAGTCCCTCGCCCGTCCCGGTGCCTATGTCATCAAGTACTTCGGCTTCGAGCTCGGTGCCCAGACCAACGTCGACCCCGCCGACGACCGCTGGATCATCAACGGCTCCCACAATGCCGCCAAGCTGCAGGACCACCTCGACGGCTTCATCAACAAGTTCGTCCTCTGCAAGAAGTGCAAGAACCCCGAGACAGACGTCAACATCAAGGACGGACGCATCCTCCTCGACTGCAAGGCCTGCGGCCAGCGCTCCGAGGTCGACCTCCGCCTGAAACTCAGCGGTTATATTCTAAAGAACCAGCCGAAGAAGGGCAAGAAGGACAAGGCTGAGCGCAAGGCCGCCCGCCGCGCCAAGGCCAACGGTGCCAACAAGGAGAACGGGCAGGGAAGCGGAAGCGGTGGCGAAGGATCCGAGAACGGTTCCAACGACGCCGATGACCAGGACGTTGGTAGTGACGACGAGTTTGAGAAAATGAAGAAGGAGGCTCCCGAGGTGGACAACTTCGAGACTCAGGAGCACGAGTGGGCTGTCGACATGAGCGAGGGTGCCGTCAAGGCCCGTCAGGCTCAGCTTCCCGTCGAATTCAAGCAGAAGCTCAACATTGGCGACGATGACGACGAGGACGGTGAGGCCACCGGCAACACCGTTTACGACGAATTCGGCACCTGGATCCAGGATGAGGCGTCCTCCAAGGGCGGCATCGATAATGTCGATTCCATTGACATCTTTGTCAAGGCCAAGGAGCTCGGCATCGAGGCCAAGCACCGCGCCGTCCTTGTCCTGGTCCAGACCATCTTCGACGAGAACATTGTCGCCCAGATTCCCAAGCGCGCCGGCATGATGAAGCAGGTTCGTTCATCTTTCGATGTCTGTGCTATTGAGATCCACAACTGACTGACCTGTCTTCTTAGTTCATCACCTCCGACCGCCACGAGAAGGCTCTCCTCGGCGGTACCGAGCGTCTCATCGGCCAGCTCAGCAAGGACCACCCCGAGATCTACAGCCAAATCGTCAAGATCCTCCAGCTGTATTACAACCACGACCTGCTGAGCGAGGAGGTTGCCGTCAAGTGGGGCAGCAAGGCCAGCAAGAAGTATACCGACCTGTCCATCTCCAAGAAGGTCCGCAAGGCCGCCGAGCCCTTTATCAAGTGGCTCGAGGAGGCATCGGAGGAGGAGTCGAGCGACGAGGAGTAGATGGGTATGCTTTGATGGAATTCAGCCACGTTTGGGGGGGCTTTCTGGGACGGCGCTTCGCCCATTTGGGAACCCCCTCGACCCCGCCCCCTCGTCTTCAACGATTGCTTTATTTTTATCTGCATCGCAACCCTGTCTTGTCATACTCGTTTTTTCTTCTTCTTCATCTTTGTGCTCCCGCGGATGATCCCGCCATCGCGCGGTCTCTTCCTCGTGGGGTGTCTCATTGTTGGATCCACAAGTTGTCGTGGCTTTAGGTAGCTCTGATACTATAGATTGCAGCAAACGACACGATGTCCACTCCCTCTAGCCGCACCATGTTCTCGCCCCTGATGATTCATTTGTTTCTCATTGTAGTGCGATGTTTCTACGTTTTCTCGGCTGACCCGACTTCAGGGGAAGCGCCCGTTATCACGGTCTGTCTCATTCGCGCCCGTGTGTGGTAAATCTCAAAACTCGTGTGAACGAACCCCGTCCTCCGTCCTCAGATGTGCTGCTCTTTGCCTCGTCTCCCGATAATGCCGTGCCAATACGAAGAAGTCTATCGGACCAGGCACGCCCTTCGCCTCACTCCTAACAATGCAACCTCAAAAGGAACCCCGATGTTTTCGGATCTCGCAACCTCGCCCAAAGCGAGGATAATGTCGAGAACACTTGGCCCAAGCCAATCAGTATGCATGCTCTTCCAAGTCACCGCCCATCAATGCAGACCCGTCCCACTCCATCCGATACGCAACTACGGCTTGCTCCGCTTTGGTTGAGCTCTGTCATCGGCATCAGCCTCACCAGTTGTCCGCCGCACCGCCGGTCGACTGGGCCATAGATGTATCACCCCATGGGAGCTTGGTATCCCAGGCACCTGGCATGCTCTTGCTGCCGCTCGAGGCCTTGCTCATCTCTGTTGCGGTCTGATTCCAGTTGTCGCCGCTCGTGGTCCCGGGGCCCCAGTTGTTCGGGCTGTTGCTGTTCGTCGGCACTGCGTTATTGTCGGTACTCCAAACCGATCCGCCGCTGGAGGCCCATTCATCCCTCTTCTTGGGTGTGTCCTTCGAGCCCTGCTTGGATCCGTTGCTGTTGTTAGAGTTACCCACGGGGCTGTCGGTCGTTGGACCAGCATTATTATCCCAGTCGCCGTTAGTGGAGGGCTGGGACGTATTCTTGCTAGGCTTGTCTGGCTTGTTCAAGTCATTTGAGACGACATGCCCAGAGTAACCGACGTTATTTCCCTGTTCATTCCAGTTGGTAGCCAGTTGGGGTTGACCACTAGGGCTGCGGTTGCCGCCGCTGTTATTATGCTGGCTCTTGCTTGACTTCTTCGAGCCGGAGTGGTTCGAACCCGTCGACCAGTTGTTGTAGTTGCCTTGTGCGTTGGTCCAAGAATCACCTGGCTGATTATTGGACGCCCCCCATGCGTCCTGATTGGTGTTGGAGTCACCCCAAGTGGTGTCATTCGTTGTTGTCCAGCCATCGCCGCCAGAATTCACCTGGGCATCGTTATTCTGGACATTCCCTGAAGTATTCCATCCGCTGTTGCTTCTGTTGCCGCCAGTCGCAGCCCAGGCTGAATTACTTCCTTTGATGCTTCCTTGGCTCTTCACGGGAGTACTCCATCCAAGATCTGGGTGCTGGCCGCTAGGTATCGGCTCCCAATCAGTAACCTTCTTCGACCCCCATGACTTCCTGCTTCCATTGGATCCGCCACCATTTGTTTGTGAACCGTTCCTATCCGGACTGGGCTTCTTGCTGATGTCTTTGGCGAAGGCAGCCCAAGGAGTGTTTGGGTTCACTGTCAGGTTGATGTTGATAGGGGAGGTCGGAGCGACCTTGTTGGGGCTGGCCGGCTTTGTCCCAGGGGATGGAGTCTTGATATGCCGAGGTCCAACATTCGTATCCCATCCCCTATCCTTATTTCTGGCGACCGCAGATACCCCGTCCTCTTGAAGAGCTCCCGACATGACGGGCTTCGGAGATCCCTTCGGTGAACCAGCTTTCGTTGGAGACATGGGACCCCACCACGACGGTATCTGCATCTGCATCGGATCGACCGGCGCCATGACGGGCGGTCCTCCAGGCATACATGTTATCGGGACTGTGCCCCATGGAGACTGGCTCTTGAAGTAATTGTCTCCGGGGTTTGTAGGGTTGGCAAATCCATGAAAGTATGGGTTCTGCAGAGGATGAGGTACGCCCATAGGCAAAGGTGCCTTGTTTGGATCGCGGGCAGGATACAACATTCCGTAGGGGTTTCCATATGCCGGTCCATGATAAACCCGGACAACACCGTGCTGAGGATCGTGAAAGGCGTTGGGTCGGGGGTCTTCGACACCCTCAATAGTATGCTCAACCTGGAGAACCTCAGCGCGGATCGGCATGATGAGATTCGGCCGACGCAAGTGAGGGGACAACGCTGCCTCTGGCCTCAACTTTCGTGGATTTTCGACATTTCTGTATGTATCCTTCTTTTTTGATGCATCCACCTCTTGTTTCGTATTGCTGGAAGGACCAACATTGTTCAGCTCGGCGTCGGCGTTCTCACTGCTCTTCTTCGAGGACTTCTTGGTGTCCTTTGTCTTTTCCCGCTTTTTAGAATCGTCTACATCCTTCTTTTTCTTGGGGGGCGGCGGTGTCTCTTTCTCGCTCTCGTCTGTCTCGGTGTCGGTCTCTGTCGCCTCAGTTTCGCTGTCCTTGTTTTCTGATAAAGATTCTACTACCTTCTTCTTGACTGGCTTGTCGCTTTTCTTCTTCTTAGACTTGGACTCTGTCTCGGACTCGGAAGTTTCCTCATCCCTGGCTGGTTTGTTTCTATCTTGTGCTGCCATACTTAGCATCGTCTGTTGTCACACGATCCATAAACATACAGTCAAGCCAGGGTTCAGAATTACCTTTGGGGCCGTTGTCGGAGTCGGCCGTCTTCAGCGCAGACTTTGGAGCAAGCTTGTCGAAGCGGACTTTCTTGACACCCGAGTGGCCATTGGGGTTCTTGCCAATGTTGGCGCGAGGGTACGTAATCTTGACCGTGTCTTCTTCAGATTCGTCATCGGTAGAGATCTCGACGCTGATGCGCTGCCTGCCACTGGACTTCCTGCTTCTGCGCCGGTCGACAGAGTTACAATACTCTTCGACGCTGACCCCAAGAGCCCACTCGCAGATGGTAGAGCTCCGGGTCTTGCGCGTCATGGCTGCGGTTGATTGCCTAGGCGACCTGGTCAGTGGTTCTGTTAAGTAGATCGACACGAGTCACCGATGTAAGCTCGTGATGAAAGTAGCCTGTTATATTAGAAGTTTTCATTTCATCATGAAGGTGGAAGAGGTTAGGGTTTAATGATAGAGCACGACGTCCTTTATGTGAAATGTTGAAAGAACGCTAACGTGAAGAGAAGGTGCAGTCAAGGCAAATGCATGAACTGTTCAAATTAGGAAAGAACCGCCGAAAAAAAAAAGGCAAGCCCGACTACTTGGGCACGCTTGTACTTTTAGAGGCATATTACAAAAGCGAGGAAGAATATATAGGTAAATTCGTGCTTGTGTCACTCGGTCTCTTCAAAATTGGTTAGAGTGGCTAAGGTGAGAAGATGATATGTCAAGCGACATCCCGTTCAAATGAACCCTCGAGTTAAGAGGGTGGAATGGGGATTGTAGCAGAAACACCACGGTACCACGAATAAAACTAGGTTTTTATATGATTCTCAAGGTCTCGGCCTGTTTAGGTTGGTGCGAAGAGTCTTCTTCAGAGATTCACAATCAGCCTCAGCATGGAGATGCTGACCTACATCTAAACTGCTTATCGAGAGCCACATCGAGATCGACTGACACATTCAGCTTGACTTTCGATCATCGAATGTGTCGTGTCGCATGTAGGGATAGGAAACAACGGCTCACTCTTCCATTCTGCCCATCCAAATCCGACCTCCCTATTCACCAATGGTGGTTTTATTAGACGCTCTCGTTTATGGAGATACTTTCGTGGTGCCTGTCTCCTGCTCACACGTTAGCCTTCGCGGAATAATTATATAAAGAAAAGAAGAAGAAAACCCGCTTGAGTCCGGCTGGCTTACCTTGGTGAACTGGGTGGTGAAGATAAAGTGTTTCCGCACGGGCTTCGATGGGGAAGCGTGGACTCGCAAGACACTGCGTCAGGAGGTTGAAATAATCTACCAGTATCAGTACGATGTCTTTGTTTTCTTATGGCAACTTACAAGTAAGCCTGTATCGCATCATCGTCGGAAATAGTCATGCCCTGGCATCTGCTAGGCTTGATAGCTTTGCTTAATGTCAGTGCATTACACTCCATGCGTATTCGACTCGGGTTGACTTACCAATTCTAAATGACTGGTCTAGTTGGGCAAACGGACAGCGTAGAAGTAGCCCTCGTTGGTAATGTACCAGCGGCAGTCGCCAAGGTTGTCAATAGTGAAACGATTGCGCTGGGTCCAGTTACCGTCAACTTCTCGAACGGGATAGTAGCGGGACGGGTCGTCATCAGCAGGCTTGAAGTCCTGGGGCTCAAAGAGACCGTTCGCATGGGCGAACTGAGCTTGCTCCAGGGCAATCTCGCCAGCGGTTCTGCCGAATCCGGTGACATCGGGAGGAAGATGAGCATTACCTGCAAAGACCGGAATACCACCACCACCCGGCATCTGCAAGCCCATGGAAGGAGCACTCTGAAACATGGGAGGGTTCACGGCAACCGGAGGGGCTTGGAGCATGATGGGTTGACCAGGCATAGCCATACCAGGCTGTATGACAGGCTGCTGGGCCATGACGAACTGAGGGTTCTGAGGAACCTGACCAATATAGGTGATGTTGTTGGCAGGCTGTTGCTAAGTCCGAAGTCAGCATAAGACTCCGGGAAACATGTGACGAGCAAGAAAAGAATGAAAATAAAAAAGGAAGTAAGGAAAAAAAGAGAACGGCACGTCAAATCGATAATGAAAATTAGCATCCTCGACTAGCTCCATGAGCCACTTGACTCAACAGACATCCGAAGCATCGAAAGGCACTAGCGTAGAGGTTATTGGTAACTTGCATAATACTGATGGACAAGAACAAGAGGCGGGCCAAGAATGACTGGGGCTGCCCGCGGAGCAACAATAGGAGTCAGCGGAAAGACCTGTGCTTGAGGGAAACCGACTTGATAGACAGTGCCGGACGGGATACCGTTGTCGAAGCGAGGCACGTAGACGTGCTGTATGACACCGTGGGTGGTGTCTGGGACAGGCGGCTGAAAGTGAAGCCCACCAGCCGGGGGAGCGGCGTTTTGGTAGTCGGCCATGTTGGCGTAATGAGGAGCTTGGAGGCCGTAAGGGTTGTATTTTCCGAAAGGTGCAAAGTTGCTTAGCTCGTTGACGTGGTGGGTTGAGTTGTGAGGGATAAATGGACTAATGTGCTGGTGAGGCGTCTGGCCGAAGTGAGGAAGAGCAGCAGGGAAGTGGTGGCCAAGATTGACCGAGGCGGAGGGGTTGGTGGAAGTGTGGATAAAAACACCAACGTCTTCGCTATGGTCCCCTTCGGGTCCGCTGAAGGCAGGAGCGGCCGAGGTCTCGGTTTCCAGGGTGATTGGAAAGGAAGCGCCGTGGCCACTGCTGTCGTTCTGGAAGCGCACCTGGCGGGGGTTGGTGCTGTTGGCAGCCGACTTCAATTTCGGGGACTTCATGTCGAATGTTTGCAATCTTCAATTGAAGACTCGGCTCCGACACTGTTTTCTTCGAGGAGTCCGTCTCGTTTTGTTTCGAGGAGTAAAATCCTTTTCGAAGAATCCGGGAGGGCGTCCAGGTCCCAAGTTTCGATGGATGAAAGGCCGGATGAGGTGGTTTCTTTCACCTCAATTCTTATCTCCAGGTTGAAAGAGCACAAGGTGAAGTCTTCAAAGGCTGATGGAGTGGGGGAAGACTTGGGTTCTAGCTCATAGCATGAATCTCTTTGCTCCCCTTTACCCAGCCGCATGATGACCCGCTGTGGTCCGATACTCACGGCTTAACACAGCTTGTCACCGCAGTGAGGCCGCAAGAAAGCCTATCAAGGCGTCTACAGGATCTGGAGACGACCAATATGGGCGAGTGAGGGCAAATCGTCACCGCCAGTATCCGGCAGCCAAGGGCGGAAAAATAGCAGGTAGGTTACAAGAATACAGCAAGAAAGATCCCACTTACATGCTCCATGACGTATTTTTGGCCATCCCAAACGTGCCGATATACAACTGGAGGGTCTTCGTTGTCGTAGTGAGCCTTCGAGAATGGCCAGCATCCACACATTTTGACGGTACTTGTGGATTGGGAGACGAGATAGGGTATCGGGGGGAAGGTGGTTTGCTGCTTGACGATTGCTGATCGTAGGTATCTACCTACCCAGGGTTGGAATAGCCGGAGAAGGTGAAAGTTGACACCAGACCAAAGGTTGCCGGTAGATTCGGTCCAACAGGGCCACGCCAGAGGCACCTGCCATAACCAGATAGCCGGACTCCAGCTTCATACCTAGGTGCCTGACGCGATTTCCACCCGCAACGTAATATTCTCTCAAAACTGATCATCCGCAGCATCAAAAATTACCACTAGCCACTCAGCCAGTAACCAAACAAAATGGACTCTGCTCATGAAGTCCGCATACTTGCGGACAGGCTTATAGACCTTGAGCTGGACAATACACGAGCAAGGTCACGGCATGTCCCTTGTCACCAGTACAACCCATGGTCGTCAAACGGAGGGGGAATTCACATATCCCACGAGCTCGGCGGATGCATCTTCTTGCCCAGCGATGTCTCGACCCCGCTCCCCAAAAATGCACAAGACCTCCATGAAACCATCGGTGTACGGCATAACGATCTACAATCATCGATTCAGTCGTTATCAGACCACCAGCTTTTGGCTTTACATGATTTACTGGACAAAGAGATTGACGACTACGCCTCTGACGATGAAGCTCTGACTCTAGGAGGTGGTATTTTCGGCTCCGTGGGTACCGAGAGGCCTAAGGTTGTTCCGCAGTCAATTCGCAACGGCCTCTGGGTCAAAGAAAAGGTCTGAATATAACAATCGCAGTTGTTCCTGCCACCGGCCAAACATCTTCGAAGCCATACTGATCTTTTATCACAGGCTCAACAGGTTGCCCAAATCAGACTGTCAACTTTCCGTGCATCCCCGCTTCTCGCCAGCGAGTGCTTCAATGTCGTCCTCATCCACCTCGACATGACAGGAAGAGTGGTCTCAGAAGAATCAACCTGGCCCAACTGGGCTAATTTTGAAGGGTTCACGAAACGGATAGAAAGGAATTATGTCTCCCTGTCAGGCCTGAAGGGTGACTATTTGGCGAGGGTTCAACAGCACTATCTTCTCAGAATCGACAGGGTCGTCCGGTCTCAACCGAATCCTCCGCAAAGGGCAGCCGCCACCTTGTACCAGAATTGGCTTAGGGATCTTGACATGCAGAAAGACATTTGGGTTTATACGATTGTGGATTCCAGCTGTCCTGTGGCCAGTCCTGAAAGCTAGGAGCACTTCAAGGAACTCGATAGCACATACGTCTTTGCTAAGATGAAGACAGAGGGCCGGGTGGAGGGAAAGTCCATCGCCATGGCAAAGGTCTGCTTTATCACTTCACGTTATGACTAAGAGAATGAATTGTTGACTTGCTACAGCTTTGGCAAATAAAACTAAGAAAGCTGCTGCCCGATATTCGGAGGCTGGAGGGTAGAGTACCCCTAGAAACTCCGGCTTTGGACGATGCAGAGACCGCATTCAGCATCGGCTTGTTGCTCGAGGAACCCATTGACTCTAGTCAGCTCGCGTCAGTTGTGGAACAAACAAAGGACTGCAAGCACGAAGACATAATGGAAGAAGACTAGCTTCAGACTGATTCGTATATGATGCGATCTTCTTATAGACCAAGGTCTTGCGCGAGAGCACTAAGTAGCGGATGTCTCCGCCAAGCAGCGTTTACTCATAGTAGCCTCAAGACTGGCTGGCATTGGATTGTTTTCATAGGGTCTAGTGTAGCACAAAAAAAAATTAAAAACGTAGAGATAGACGCAGCTCGTATATAGCTGGATGTCGATGAAGCTCCCTGCTCATCAAATGGTTGGTGGGATTACAACATGGTCACGATTCGGTGGGAAACTGAGAAGAACGCATGATGTTGCCTTTGTCGACAGGTACGTACCGAATGCCCACTACCACCCAGTGATGCGGTCTTCTAATGCTCCTTCCTAAAATACTGTACACGGGTCCGCTAGAGGAGAGATCGTCCGTCACAATGCCCAAGACTCCTCTGAGGCGCTCTAAATTTCCTACTCAAACAACATATAGAAGAAGCTCGTTTCGGGCGAGCAGTGTCGACCACGGATCCATTGTGATCCGTAGAGGTAATGGAATTTCATTAGTGGTGCGGGGTAGATTCCACAAAGATGATTTGTGAGGTATGTTATGTCGTAAAATTACAAGGTGGCTCGCTCGGAATGCACAGGCTCCGGGGCGGCGAAGAAGGTGCTGCGAATAACCTGTGGAGGGTCAGTTACTGCCGGGTCGACCGATGAGAGTTTGGAAAGACCGAAGCTTACAGCCCAGGTACCAGCCACGGAGGCCACAATACCACCAGAAATCAGCATAGGCCGCAAACCCCGCGTGCTCTTGAAGACCATTCCGCTGAGCGCGCCGGCCAAGATGGTGTTTGCGGCGTCGTGCTTCCCTCTGAAGTAGCCGATACCAGCGTTGAATAGGTTGTAGGTGATGGCGACGACGCCGGCCGAGTTGCCGAGGAAAGGGCCGCGGCGGGTGACGGCGTTGAGCACTGAGTTGAGACGCAGCTTCGGCGGCTGGTTGACGGATCTTCTCAGACCCTCCTGAAGACCCCAAGCTCCTCCTATCGACAAGGCAGCCAAGTATGTGACACCGGTTCCGTAACAGAGGTCGTCGGTGAAGCCTCGAGAGGGGAGGACAGACTGGCCAGGAGCGTCGGCCAGGGTCGCATCGTCGAGGGAGAGATATTCGAGAGTGTCCTTGTTCAGACCGGAGAGGGGGTGTAGTTGCGACGGGTCGGCAAAAGAGGAACTTTGGAGAAAAGACTCGACACCAGATCCTGCTGATGGGTCGAACTGGGTAGTGGTGGTCGCGGGCGGGCTGTTGAAGGTGGTTGTGGGTTCTTGGGCGGCGGGAGTATGGGGAACACCTGCATCCTTCTGAGAGGACTTGCGACCAGAAAACGCATCCCAGAGTGACGACATGGCGAAATATTATAGGCTCTGTGCGGGTGAGATGAAGCCGGGGATCGGGGTTTGGGACGCGGGGACGGACAACAGGAATCGTAGGCTGATGAGCAGGCTGGCCGATGATGGAAGCTATCGAAAAAATTTGGGCAGACCAGTCGCGACTTGGACCGTGCGTTCGAGGTACAGTGGCAGACGGATGCAACCTGCTGCAAACAAATTTGGCAGTTGAACCCCCGCTTATTCCGGCTATCTTTCGGAAGGGTCGACCTTGGATTCTCCGGCTTACCTCATCGACGCTGTTGCATTAAGCTCCGAAGATGAGTCAGCAGATGGGACTTGACCAGCGGGGCATGTTAGCTCAGCATCCGTCTTGTTCGCAACCTCTTCGCGAAGGAAGATGAGTGCAGGAGCAATGGGAAAATGGTCTGAACGTCTCCGACCGACCCAACATTAGGTAAACTCGGCCGAACGCTGGGCAAGGTGCAGTTCGATGGAATATTGATTCCAAATTAAACCTGCAAACAACCTATCACTCCAGCCGCTCATTCACTGTTGGTTGATCCTTTGAGCTCAGCCGTGGCGGATAGTCACAGTTGGTTGCTTTCCCGTAGCCAACAGCCCCCATTTAACCATTACTTTCGTCCAACCAGATGCCTTCACGGTGCTGATCCGGAGGATACCCTAGACTACACATTGTATAGAAGCAGGTTTGATCCTTGGTCATAATGGAGCTGGGCGCTTGCTTGTTGGCCTACTGCAAAGTCTGAGCGAGCATATGGCAGGGTACAGGTGGTGTATGGCCGACAATGGATCTAAGCGCCCTGTCGGCAACCGGTAAATATTGTCTAGCATGCAAGACGTAGACGGTGTAACTTGTTGATGACTGGCTCGTCGAGGCGCAAACCTGCAGAAAAATCAATATACATGCCACATGTGCCTCGGGAGCGGAGTGGAAAACTTGCTTGCTGCTGTGCCACCTCAGTCCCTGGGGGCTGCCAACCATAACATTCATTGTTAGTTGCCTTTCACATTGAGTGGTACCACACGGTGTGGAACAACCGCTTTGACTGAATCACATTATTTAAGTCACCATTTAGTTCCTCTCCCTCGTCGTACCAGCGCCTTCATTCTACGGTTGCTTGTATTGTATGTTGCTCGCCCGAACTTTGGGCAGACATATCGCTGAAAGAAGCTATTGGACCGCTCTGATAAGACCTCGAACACTTACAGACCACACAAATCAACTCAATCGCCAACGAAGATGTTGGGCATCATCAGCCTAGTCATGTGGTCGCTCCAGGTTCGCAGCATCAGAATCACAAAGCCTCGAGGGTTTGTGGCGGCTAACATATGCACATCGTGCAGGGCATCATGGCCATCGTTGTCCTCGGTCTATCAGTCGATCTTGTGAAGGGCCAGATAATAGGTGACGCCCCAACGACGACAAGATATGGAACATTCACTGGCGGTTTCGGGCTGGCAGTGGCTATCCTAGGCCTCGTCTCTGCGTACATTGACGCAATTCCAGCCCTCATTGTCATGGCTGCTGATGCTCTAAGTGGACTGCTCCTGCTTGGTGGCGGTATCGTAGGTCTACTGGTACTGTGTATTATTGATGGTCGCTAACATTTAATTAGGCGTTTGCCATCGGGTTGCGTGGAGTGACCTGCGAAACTCCCAACAGCCAAGATGAGCTGGACCTGCAGTGGAGCAATGAGCTCATTAACGGGGGATCTGTGAAATATGAAGGGGACGACAAAGTAGGAGATAAAATGACGCAAGACCGGCTCGTGGATAACTGCAAGAAGGCTACCGCTGATCAGGCTATGCAATTCGTGACGTTTGGGTTTGTGATCACCACTATTGTTCTTGTTTTCTTGGTGTGGAGGAACGGCCGTGGCAGCAAGGGCGGTGCTTACGTCTGATCAGCTGGTCAGTTAAGCAGAACCACTTCAGCAGGGGTTTGCTCCGGGCAGAAACAGACCTCGTCGGTCCACCATGAGAAGACATAGCAACCGACATGGCCGAGAATGGACCAGCTTCCATTGAAAGAAAGCTGCATCTATGATTGGATTGAATTCACGCTCAGTGTCATGACTTAGATCCGATCCAGCCAGAGTCGCTTGGCATCGCGATGTAAAATCAAGACCTTTGGCCTTCTTTATGATCCATCCGTACGCATTCTCGTGACGTCGAAATTCCGTGCATATTGCTCTAGATGCGAACGCTTGACCCCTGCGAAGGTGGGCCGGGACATATGTGGCAGCGAAGAAGTTATTGCTGCCGCTACTAGCTAACGCAGCGTTTTTCACTTTTCAAGGTTCGGTTGAGGACCAGGGCCGGATACGAATAATCTCGCGACACTGTCTTGAACAGATGCGCCTGAAGAGACAAACAGACCAAGGGCGCTTTAGATACGCATTCAAAAGCCCGGAGTGCTCTTAAAAAGGATGTTGAGACCACCCCACAGTCAAATACCAGGAAGAGTCGTCGTACTCGGCTGATAAGGAAAGGTGTTCACATGGTGTTTTATTTAGGGGGCCGGGAACGGAAGGAAATCCACGGAGAACAGGACAACCCTCAGCAAGCCGCATAGCGGAGCCGCCATTAGAATTAAAATACACATGACGGTGTAAGTTTAACCCATACTGATGTAGTGAAGAAGAAAGAAGAAAACGAGCCTTCGCACCGCAAGAAGAGATTTTATGGCCTGCGAAGGGTGGGGCCGATTGCGATTGGGCGCTAGGGCTGCCGCCGCTTCTGTTTCTCCGGGCCGACCAGGTCAGACCCCAGGTCCGTGCTCAACTCCAGGATCCACTTACCGCTAGGGACCCCAGCCAGTACCACTACATGACGACACGCCATTTGTTATGATTGATGTAGGTAGCTGTACGGACTGGTCTGAGATCAACAAACGGCAGGAGCAACAGTCGAGTGAGCATTCAGGGAACGCATGCAAGTGTTGTGACGATGACGCGCGCCGCACCTGCATCTCTGACCGCAGAGGTCAAGCTTCTTCTTCACCTCCCCCCCGTGTAGCCAACTCTCCCACTCGCAACCTTACAACATCAATCAAAGAACAGCAGACAATCAGCCAGTGCAAGAAAACATGGCGCCGGTGCCGCTAGAACCGGAAATAAAGTGCGTTATGCCCCGGGTGAAGATCTAATAGAGAGTTTTTATCTAATACAGCCTTCAGGTATCTGCCTTTGAGCCTTGTCGGTGGTCACGCGCTTGCAGTGCTCTATCTCGGCTTCACTGTCGCTCAAAGCCTGTACAAAGCATATCATAATCAGCCGCCGTCTCAGATGACAAGAGCAAGACTCGATCGACGCTCCACTCTTGCACCTCTTTTTGCAGGCTTGGGTCTCGTCAGCTTTTATTTTGCAGGTTACTGGACATTGAGCTATGCGAAGCTCTCATATCGCGTCTGGGCGGATCGGCGAGGAGTTGAAGCCCCGGTTCGGTTCGTTTGGCCTTGACCCAGCTTCTTTGTTCCAATTACTCACCATCCCTTAGCTTCTATGGCGATCATGGCCTTTTCCCCAGCCAAAACGCGACTCAGGTTTATCCTGGTCGCTGGCTGACAGATACTTCAGTCCATATGGACGCTCTGGAGATCGTCGCGGAGAAGACTCGCCGGTTTTGGTGGGGACAGCAGATCGAACTTGCGACGATCTCATGGAGCTTGTTGCTGGCTGTTGAAGGGCGACGGCGGAACATTCCTTCTGTTTGGGCCTATCTTGCCTTGGCACATCTCGTCAGCTTGTCTTTCGCCCAGAACCTATTTTATTTGGCACTGCTTCTCACGCCAGCCTCAAGCCCTGCCGGACATCAAGAGCGCCCAACTTCTATAGTTGAGCGTTTCCGCCACAGATTATTTCCCCCGAAACCTGCAAATTGGCTCCCACACCCCGCATTACTCTTGGCCTCGTTTTGCACTACGTATGTTCTGATCTACTGGGCACCCTCAACGGCAGGCACAGCTACGTTTGCCAAGATTGCAGTGGTCGGGCGGATTCTTTCGTTCGCCCCCGTTATTATTCCCTCCGTGGTTCCGGCCAGCTGGGGAACAGTGTACAGCGACCCTCATGGGGCATACGGTATCTTAGTTGAGCTCTTCCGATTCGTTTCTACGACAAGTTTCGTTTTCCATGCTAGAGGGACCGCACTTTGTCTGCTCTATAATACGCCAGATGCACACTTCCACCGCCACAGTCGATTCCTACCCTTTGACAAAGGCCAACGCTCGACTTGGGAGCGGACAACAACGGCGATCGGCAAGGTTTTGGGATCGTCATCCGATCACCCTGTTGTAGCTGCTGTGGCATGGGACGTTTTGCTCAGTGGGGCTAGTCAGGGGTTGTGGGCAGCAGTGCGTGCGTTGGATGTGAACGACATTCTAGCCTCCGCAACTCCGTTCGTTCAGAAGGATCTTTCGAGGGCGCAGTCACCACCCAGGCTGCTAGAAGGAGCCAATAAACCAACGCCGGAACCGGAATCGGCTAGCCACGCCGGCGTCAGCACCGCCCGACGCAGGGGCCGCCCATCAAAAGTCAAGTCCGAAGAGATGACAATTTCGGAGACGCCTGGGTCTAGAAGCATCCGCCGAGGGCGGTCCCGAAAGCACACAGAAAACCCCGAGGAGGTGCCGGAAGATGATGCCTACGAGCCGAGCTCGGCAGAAAGCCGTGCTGCGGTGGAGGGCGACGAGCTGCCTGATAGCGATCTGGACTGGGAGTCCGCAGCTTTGGCATGGGGTCTTACAGCTTTGGGCGGGCTTGGTTCGAGCAGCGCTGGTATACTTGGGGCCGAGTGCATATCTCGGTAAGCGGGTGAACGGTAAAGCCAGAACAGTGTGAGCAGGGTAGAGACGGGTGTGCTACGCAATGCATCACTGTCAGCAAATTCGAGTGGAACTAGGTAGAGCCTGACTACCTATGGGCCTGAAAGCCGCCAGGGGAATCGTGACATGGCTTATGGTAAAGTTCTGTAAAAGCTAGGAGAATTTGAGACAGAGATGTAAGAACCGACCTTCTTTCGTCTAATACGTGCGTGTGCGTGTGTTATGCCTACCCCAACCCGCTGCTTACGGCGGTAGCGTATTGTATGTGACTGGTCTGCCTAGCACCCGAACGAGACATGGCTTGATATCGAGCCTTGGCCGCGCTAAGCGGCTTATTCGGGACCGTAGGAGGATGCTCCGACTTTTCTGAAAGAAAGCAGCTTGGGATAGCCAGCTTCCAGAACAATGAATTTCCTAGACCGGGTCGAGGCCATCGAAAGACCGTCACTCCACCACGTTGGCGATCTTTTCGACCAGCAGCGAGAAAAGAGGCCTACCACTTCCGCCAACCACGAGGGAGCTTGGACTTAAAAATGGCTAAGTTAGAGGGGTTTGAGATGGCGTTGCCCCGCATCCGCAGCAGCCCCCTCGCGCGCGCCCATACGCTGGAATGGCGCTGCAACCTAGAGGAAGCTTACCGCTCAAACAGGCGTAATAGCGTGGGACCGGAGGTTGATCCCTGGACCGGATATTTTCGCGTTATTACCTATGTGAGGTGAAAGCCTTGCATATGGTTTGCGGGCAGGGGAGGCAGCGGCTAATATGCAGATATCGGCTTCAACGGTGCTTGCTTTGGGCTTGCCACATCCGGCTCTCTCCCTTGCGACCAAAGATTTTCCGCCTTTGACCACTCCTTTTTAAATACTGTTAGATCTCTCCCTTTCTGATTCACGCTCGGCCTTTCGAAGAATCGCATATAACGCCCGGAAAAGAGTTGAGTCTACCTCACCGACAACATCTTACACAAACATCCACAGGACTCGAATAATTAGCACTTGGCACCATAACACTTGCCTCATCATCACTCGCTCTACGAAGCCCATCTGTTACAAAACACACATACACAATGGCTATTCGAGACCACTTCAGCCGCCGCAAGTCTATCTGCGATCCCAGTCAAAGTGAGCGGCACCGCTCCGAACCACCGAAGTCGCACACCCTCCGCCTGGCCAAGACATTCGGCTGGCGCTCAACGAAGGGCGAGAAACCCAAGAAGAAGCCCAAAAAGGAGAAGAGCGACCCGCGCGAGCGGCCCTTCAGCGAAACCAACCTCAGACACCAGGAGATCCTCAACGGCTTCACCATGACTTTTGGCAAGAACCACCAGCAGATGAGCCGCGATCAGCGGTCGAGCTACATCAGCGTCAACGTCAGTCCTGGCACATCACGGCACAACAGTGTGGACGTGGACGACAGCCCTCTCAGAATGAACCCATTGCCATGCGAGCGGCAGTTCCGGTCCGTGCCGGAAGAGGATGAGAGATCCTGAGCGTTGGTGTGAAGCTCCTTTCATATCCGGGACTACCTAGCCGAGAGACTTTTAGGGACGCCACGCCCGTTAGATATTGTATTGAAGCACAATTCGGCATCGCCTTGGAGTTTTGGATTTCTGGGGGGGCCAAATTGCCCTATCGCGCCTATGGTGAGTGAGGCAAAAGTGTTCGAGTATTGTTATCCTTAATGATAAGACTCGAACCATAGTGATTAGGCTGATGAGGAGGCTGTATGAGCATATTGATATTACTTGGATTTGCAGAGGCTGCAAGAAACAGAAGTCAATACCCCACTTGGATGTCAACGACAACCATAAGAAAATCTACTCTATTTATCATACAAACATGACGTTGCCGAATCCTTCATTGCAACATACATCACAAAATGCCATAGAGCTGGAGATTTACTGCTATGGTATCAATTTTGGAAATACTGTGACATACTGAGCTTATTACTCATGACAAAGTAATGTTCACATACCTTGGTTTAGGATTACAGCATCACAGGTCCGAAGAACAACCTCTGGCTGCATTAGGCCTCCTCCTAAGTGATTTGGGACGCTTAAGAGTGCTTTTATCGTGGATAAAATACTCACAGAGTGGCATGTATGTATCAGCGGAACAATATCTACCTACCTAGATCATTCCTTCCTTGCCCTGTTGTGTCTTTCTTCACTGTATAGCTCTACATAAGGGTTTCATCCTATATTTAAGCGAAGAAGTCATCGGGACGCCTATTAAGCCTCGTTGTATTCAGTCTTATCTCGATGCTATGATTCAGAGGTATGCCGTTTGTACTATAAGGGGGTGTTGTTTTCATTTTAATGTCTTGCCTGTATCTCCTTCCCTCCTTTATATTCAAAGCCCGGAAAGATAACATATCATACTGGTCGAATCGGTTTTATTCTTCTCGACACATCAAGCCTTGTGTCATCTTAAGTGAACCCACCTCTCCTGTAAGGTTCGGTGGAAGTGACTGGCATTCGATCACCTGGTCCCATATCCACTTCTCCTCTACCCCTAGCACCTTCTCTTCCCGTACCTACCTCACCAGAGGATTCATGTGGGATACTTGTCTTCTATTTCCTCCGCAAAACCTGCTTCTCTCTTCCTTCTCACAAATCCGACTTCAAGCACGGTAATTTTTCACAACTACACAAACTCGACCCTTAAACTAGGGTTTAATAACCCGATCGTGGCAATCCCTTCATTTTACCCGCCAAGCGCTTCCACCATCTTGTGCTTGCCTTAACGAACTGATATCACACCTACATCCTTCCCCCCTTGGCTCACAAAGCCCTTCCCCTTCTTCATCCTCAACACTACAAGCCACCGGGCTAACTCTGCATCAGAGCCACAGGGTGAGTATCACTAAAGCAATCACAACCGCGTTATCAGTCAGATTTCTCATGTTTTAAGCGTGGGTAAGTTCTCTGTGCCCATTTGTTATCCCTGCCACAACTTGTCTACGGTGCTGCACCTATCTCTGGGGATACCACGGACATTAAGAACATTTGTCACGAACCTTCACTCAACTATTCCCCTTCTTTGCCCCTAACGCACTTGACCTTGGACTAATATTATACAGAATCACTTGGTAGAGTATTCGCCAAGACGTAAAGCTTCACTGACCCTTGTTGGTTATCACGCTTAACAAGATAACTGTGACGCACCTGCAGTGACGTATTTGTTTTGAGTGGGCATCACGGTCGACCTCATAGGTATGGTTTCTTCCCGCTTTTCAACATCTTTGTTCTAGCATCACCTTCTACACTGTCCCTTCATACTGTCTTTACATCTCTCACCAACTCCAGCTATTGTATTATCTTAGCCTTGCGTTCACTCTAACAGCATTCAAGACAATTCATTAGCTGATACTTGATAGTACAGCCTGCAATACGGTTGGCTTGCTCTTCAGGACCACACACAGCTTCACTACCCGCTTATCAATTACGCCTACTGGAGATTGCGCGTTGGGCATCCTTTCATTTCTACTTCCAAGCCTTTCAGCAACTGATTCCATCTGAAAGACGACACTAGCTTTATTCTGAGGAGAAAGATTCAGTCTTACATCGAGCTCTTACAAACATAAGAGTGATTAATTCCCAATCGATTCAGCATAAGAACCCTGAAAGAAACACCACGCATCAATCCTTAGCGCCCCTCAAAGCATTGAATCGCCAAGATGGTACTCACGATGGATTCTTGGTTTGCCCTGAGGATGTTCAACGTCCCTAATCGCCTGGGCCTCTCAGACAACGCCAAGGTGATGCTGCAAGCTCTCGAAGACCACAAATACAGATCCCTCGAGGAGGCTGAGATCGGCCGCATGCTGCGTCTGAGCCCTGGCAGACGCCTGTCTATGATCGAAACCATCCGGAAGTGCACCACCATGATGGCGAAGAAGCAAGAGGAAGTTGCCGTCTGTGTCTTGGTCATTCAGATGTGCACCGAGGTTCTGGAGATTGCCAGTAAGTATCTCTGCCAGTGCCCCCCTCTGCTCATGTTGCAAGTTCAGGACTGGAATTGACGTTTGCGTTACAGATCGCCCCCCTTCCAACACTCAGTTCCCCTTCATGAAGCTGCCTCGCGAGATTCGGGCCCGTGTGTTGGGCATGATCATCAACGCCGGGCCCAAGAGCTGCCGCCTGCCCCCGATTAAGCGTTCTCAGCAGTATCACCCATGCAACTGTGCAAACCCAGAGAGGCGCCACGTGGAATTCCTGACGCCCAAGCAGTGGGCAACGTACAGGATTCTCGGCAAAGCGCTGCGTGACGAGTTCTATCCTATCTTTTACAAGCAACAGACCCAATACTTCACTTGCTGCTGCGATCTCCTCAGCCAGCTTCAAGCCAACAGGTGCCTTCGTGACTACCTGCACAAGGCTGAGATTCACTGGTGCGGTCCCAAATCCGATAAAGCGTTCAAGGAGTTGGCGAAGTGCCCCAACCTCACGGAGTTGACCATCAAGCTCTCTAAGGGCACTACTGCCATTCTCAATGACCGCGAGGAGAAACTCCAACCTTTATTCCCTCTCAACTACAAGAGCAAGAGGATCACTGACAGCCTTGGAGCCGACGAGCTCTTTGCCATTCGAGGTGTCAAGGTGGTGGATGTTCAGCATGTCCAATCGGCTCAGAAGCTTCAGCTGAACGACTTTGAACGCCAGGGTCTACACTCAGCTCTGGAGGTCACCGTTTTACACCCCAGGCAATGTATCCACGATCCCTTTCGACCGCTCCCTTCCTACTAAGCGGAAGCATTCGGCAGAATGGCACTCTAGCCTAGCATCCAGGTTCTCGATTTGGCAACTATGTTGACGATGAATGGAGTTGAAGGTTTGAGTACGGAACGAGACTGAGGCCAGCAGAAGAGATTGGCCAACAGTCTCTGCTTTGATTCGGAACTGGGGTATGGGAGTTTGTAGGTTTGATTTTGAAGACTTTGCTAGCCGTCCCCTTCTTTAGGTAGAAAGACAGGCCATAATGAAACAGAACAATCATTGCATCATGAGAAAACAAAGAATGCCTGATACCAAAGAGATGTGACAACAGATAAATTACGCAAGCCTTCACTTCAACAATAAAGGTTACGCACTCAAAAAGCATTGTCTGGAGGTTGATCTTGTCTCATACAACCGCACACGAGGCGCGGTGTATCCGGCTCAAGATCAGAAGTCGAAGAGGCTAATCTGACCGAGCAATGGCAAAAGACGGAGTAAAGGCTCTGGACCTTCATGACTTCAAGGGCTAGCTGGCTCGTTTGTTCTCTCGACTCTACAAGCAGGCAGCACCTACCTTTTCCCGTGGCAGCATTTTGTCTGTTGCTCTTTCGCCGACAGCCCTGACTTTTTTGTCAGGTCGGGTATCACAGACCGGTTGACACGGATGAAAGAGTGTTTGACTTGATAACATCAAGAGCTGCGTTGCCGGTTGTGATGGCAATGCAAACGAAGCATGTCAGAGCAGCAAGGCAACAGCAACAGCAACAGCAACAGCAAAAGGATGAGGATGAGTGCGGAAGGGAAAACAAAAAAAAAACTTTTAGCCGAGAAAAAGAAATGTTGCGGTGCGCCTTCTTGGCCGGCAGGGTAGCTGCACTGGCCAAGAAGGTGGGCCACACTGTGTTTGCCCGGCCAGAGGCGCGTGGGAAGGAGTTGGCGATCGCTGTCTTAGGGAGAGATTATTGGCGGTAATAGCGGGAATACGGTCTGCCTTTACTGTGCCAATGATGGGGCTGCCTAATGAGGATACTGTATCCGGGTAGGTGCTTCCTTCCCCACAAAGAGGTGGTCTGGTCGTGTGTCACTTATCCTATCTAGTGTACGCAGTAAGAACTCGCGACCCAACAAGGGTTTATAGAAAGGGGACCACCAGCCTGGTGTCATCTGGGAGGGTCGCCCAGCTTGCCAACTCGCTTGCCGAGTGGTTCATACATACCCTCCTCTATCTTGTCGATTTCTTTCCCGTAAAGGGCCCGATGCAGTCCTTCTTCCTCTTCCAAGGCTCCCCAGCCCGCGCCGAGTACCTAATGGGGTCTCTTCACGTAGCGGCCTCTTGGCAGCGCCAGTCCTGTCATCCTTCCGCACCTTGGCCTCGAGGCTCTTGGCTGCTGCTGGTGTTATAAGGGAAACATCAGCCGCGCTCGCGTGCTTGCTTGGGTAGTCGTCCCAATTTTGTTCTTCCAATTTCACCACTGCTTGACCTCGTATTCTCCCCACCCCCTTGTCTCGTCGTGTCCTGGCCTTGGGAGCGACGATATCACGAGTGTCTCACCGCCCCATACTTGGAAGCACGCTGCCAAGCAGCCCGGAGCGGGTTACCACTGGGGGGAAGACAATGCGGATTCCCGCTGACAGCCGCCGCCGCCGCCATCAGTCGGAGCTCCCATTCCCACACCGCGCTGTCCTTTTCCATCCATCGTGCCGCAGCCCCTGATGCTCCGCGTCCAGAAACTGGCCGCCTCGGCCGGAACCTCGACTTTCCTCCGGACCCTGCCGCGGGTTTCCCTCACGATACTGCTTCTTTCCGTCATCTATCAGTATTTCGGTTATGGTACGGTCCAAGCACTTCCCCAGCCGTCCTCACTTCAGGGTCCTGGACGTGCCCAAACCGAGTCAACCAAGCTGACATGAATTTCAGGTCAACATGATCCCTTCAACTGCAATGCCCTCCTTTACAGAGGCACATGGCGCTCCAGGGTTGGCTCCGATCTACCTCAAGATGTCTTTTCCAAGTGGGAGCCCGACGGCTGCAGGATGCGCGTCATGTCCCGAGATGATATCTCGAGCTGCTTTAGAGATCGTCACCTGGTCGTCGTTGGCGACTCGACGATGCGTCAGATCTACTTCGCTGCCATGACACGCCTCGACCATCACATCGCCGAGAAAGCCATCCTCGACTTTGCCGTGTCTGCTGACAAGCACCAGAGTCTATCAAAGGAGGTTGACGGCGTCAAACTTGAGTTTATCTGGGACCCGTGGCTCAACTCTACTGGCCTTCTCAGCCAATTGGTTCGATTCCGGGAACGTCCCGGTTCCGTCGATTATGAGAGGCTCGTTCGACAAGAAGGGAGGGACTCGCCCGCCCTGATCGTCATTGGCACCCCGGGTCTGTGGGCGGCCCGCCAGGGCGGTGGTCGGTACTTGGAGCTCTTCAGAGAAGGCATCAACGTCCTTATGCCGTACCTGCAAAATAGCATCGACGAGTTGATGGTCTTGCCCGAGAGCAAGTCGCCGTCAGCCTTCGACGAACTGTCCAATCATGTGCTTGTCGTACCCGTGCCTATCCCAGCCTACGACAAGCTCACCTCGTCCCGCGCGCGAACCATGACGCCAGAGAGGATCGACGCTATGAATTGGAACCTAGAGCATTTGGAACAGTCTGAGCAATCGCACATTGTTTGGAGTAACCATGCCATGATGGAGGGTTACGACAGCGCCGTGCTCGAAGACGGTATTCACGCCGTCGACATCGTCGCCGAGAGGAAGCTCGACGTCGTTCTCAATGCCCACTGCAATGCCGGGTTGATCAGACGAGGATACGCCAACCAGATCACCTGCTGCGTGCCATATCCCTCTCCTGGACGGGTGCAGCTTCTACTCCTTTGTCTCAACATAATGACTCTGCCTATTCTATTCCTGAGCCGGCAGCAGGGTGCGTTCCCGTCGTCTCGAACATCACGCGTCATGGACATTCTTACGGCGGTAGCCACGTTGCTCGTTGTTGCAGTATACTGCCTTGTCGCCGACCGGACTCACGTCTTTGCGAAACAGGATAAACAATTTGACGTGCCCGACTTCATCGCACCCTTGATCGGTCTCGCCGTGCTTGCTGCGCTATCTCTCCGCTCTAGAGCACCCGTCCTGACATCAACGAGGGGTCTCACAACGACATCGTTCCTGTCTCGTGAGCAGGCGGATGAATGGAGAGGCTGGATGCTGGTGTTCGTTTTGGTGTACAATTATCACGCAGCATCCGAGTCCTTGGCGATGTATAAGGTACACAAGTTTCTCGTCGCAACCTTCATCTTCCTGTTCGTCTATGGTCACACGATGTACTTCCTTCGGACCGAGGACTACTCGCTGCGCAGAGTTGCGTATGTGTTGTGTCGACTCAATCTGCTCACCTGCCTCCTGGCCTTCACAATGTCCAGCGAATGGATTATCTACACTGCGCCGCTAATGACTTTCTGGTTCGGTGTCACCTATGCATCCTTGGCATGCTGCAAAAAGGCGAACAGCAACCCTGTGGCCTTTTTTCTAAAAATTGTAGCCTTTGCCACTTGTACCGTCTATCTGGTGGAAAGCACGCGCGCCCCGGAGTGGCTCATGTCAATGCTCAAAGCAACTTGCGGTATCTACTGGGACTTGAGCATTCTTCGCGGGCACTTTGAAACGGATCGCTTCATCCCGTGGTTTGGCATACTCACAGCTGCAGCCACACATCGGGTCTCGGTCCTCAGGCGTCGTCAACACGGCATCAACGCCCAGGCGTCGTTCGAAAAAACCAACAACGCGCTCGACCATGCACTGTTGGAGATCGTCTATCCCGAGCGAGACGCGATACCGGTGAAGCCGATAATGATCCTCTTCTCCTTTGCCTACCTGGTTATTTTCATTATACTCGCCTTCGTTGCCGAGGTCTACCGTAACAACAGCTCGTACAACGCTTACCATCCATACACCAGCCCATGGTTTGTGCTTTCAGCCATCATCGCAAGGAACTCTTTCCGATCTCTGCGCGAGCTTCACGTCCCGCTTGCGGCAGTCCTGGGACAGATGTCTCTGGAGCTTTACGTTTTGCACCATCACGTTTGGCTTGCAAGTGATGGAGCGGGAGTCTTGAGGATCGGAAACCGAAGCCATATCCCCAGAGGAGTGGAGGTAATGGTCATTGCCGTCGTCTTCCTCTGGGCTTCGTCCAAGTGCCACAGGTCCACGCTGGTCATCGTCTCCGGACTGATTGGCACGCGGAAGAAGGAGCCGACCAAAGATGGCTCTCTGGGTAGGACACTGCCGGTAGTTAAGGACGATAGGAGGAGTCCTCTTTCCTGGCAGAATGAAGCGGCGGCGGAGAAGGTAGTAGAGGGAGGCAATGCAGACATCTCATCCGTTTCGCCCGGCACCTTGCGACTAAGGATGGCGGGCTTGCTGGCTGTGCTGTGGTTCGGAAACATGCTTTGCAGCGGTTGATAGCAGTTGCACGATCAGAAAGCCGAAAGCGAGGACTCCCTCCCAACTGACCGGCACACCGCACATCAAAAGTATAGTTGATAGCAGTAATAATCAGTCAAGAAAAACGGCGCAGAATTGCAGAGGACAATTCGCCAGCTCCCGAGTGGCCGGCTTCTTGCATAATCGTGTCTGCTCTTTCAGACAGGGACAAGGATGAGGTCCTCACATTTGCGTTTCGAGTTTGCTCCATCCAACGGCCGCCAGATCCCAATCTGGCCAAGTAAAAAGAAGTTTTGCAGACTCCGTTCGCCAAGGTGCCATTGGAGTTTAACACAATTCATGCTTTAACCTTCTGGGGTTTTGGCGTGGGCGTGTTGGCTTGAGCCTAACTCAAAAGGGCACTCTAAACCCCCAAGTTTGAAGTTGTTGGGTCGCATCTCGAAGAGCCGCAAAACTAGGCCGGGTATCTCTCTGGGCTTTCTCGGCGACCGCCCGATCGGAGTTGATGGTTGTTGAGTAGCCGCCTTGTTCTTTGTTTCTGTTCTCGCTGCGATCCCTCTCGATAGGTTGATCATGAGCGAGCCCCGAGACGACACGGATGTGCAGATGCGTCGCCGGGTATTGTCGCGAAGAGTTGCCTCGAGTTCGTCGCATGGCCCTGCCGCCGCCCTTACCTCCGATCCTGACTCGCGAGAAAAGAGCAGCCGGAGGCGAGAGCGCCATTTTCTGAGTGCCAGCAAGCATGACACCCAAGTGAAGGGTTCCTTTGCTAATGTCCGTTTCGGGCATAGCCGAGAGGTCGCAGGGGGGAGGGGGGCCCGTAGGCACCACAAGCGATCGGGTGCCAATTCCGAAACTCGTCCTGTCCTTGATGGGACGATGACTGTGCGTTTTTTTGACAGGTGTGAAGGCGGGTATGGTATGGGACGGTCGGGATGGTTGGAGCGTAACGTCAAGCGGCTTCCGAGGCCGGATGGAAGGCTAGGGAGAGTTTTGCGAGACTGGTCTCTCTCTCTCAAGGGGCTTTTGCCCCTCTCTCGAACAGCCTCCTCCCTGTCGATGGAACTGGAACACCCCCCTCGGAGTCTGTATTCTATCGACGACGTCTTCGTTCGACGTATCCAGTCGCGTTTCTGGAGGCTCACCTCAGGGCTCTCTACTCGTCTGGGCCAGGGCCGGGGTGGATGACGAGACGATGTCTACTAGCTCACCCTGCCCCCGCCCATCCTGAAAGTCTATCTCTCACTCGCTTGATATGGAAATGGTCATATTGTGGAAAGACGGGACTGTAGCTTCCGGCGGCAAAAGAGATTCATCGACAGATGACGAGAAATGCGCTGCTACCTGCGTCTCTGACGAATGGCTTCAATGTTTCACTCGTGGACGCGGGCCATGTCGCTCATCATAATCGTGACGGCAGATCAGTGTATATCATCGCCTTTGCCGAACATGATCTGTCGGCCGTCGCCTCGACCTTCCCTTTTCTTTCCATCTCGCCGTCTCCCTTTTCATTATCTTTCACATTGCCGTCTTCTCTTCGCCCGTGAGCCCCAGAGGCCACCTCGTTATTTCCCAAGTCCTTCTGAACGTTATCATCATCGGGTTCGAGTCGGCTGTGCCTTCGACACTCTTTTGTTCCTTCCATCCTTTCCTTCCCCCTCCCCATCTTATTCCATAATAGCCGCGTGAGCCTCCGAGAGCCATGCATCTTAAGCACATCGTTGCCGCCCTGGTGGCCTTCAGCTCTTTGGCAGCTGCCGGTGAGTCTTTGAGCACGTCGGATCCAACTGAGGGCCGGGCTGAACCGTGACCGTCTCGCAGCACCCGCACAAGACTCGAAAGCCGTGGTCAGGAGAGATGATCCGAAGCAGAACAAGGACCAAGGTCAGGCCAAGAACAACAACGACAACAACAGCAAGAACAATGACAAGAACAATAATAACAAGAACAATAACAACAATAACAACCGCAATGAGAACATCAACATTATTCAGAACATCATCAGGCCCAACATCATCGTCGTCCAGGAGAACCTTGCTGCGATCGATCAGCTTCAGCGGCAGAATGAGGTAGCGCTCGCGGCGTTGGTGCAGTCGCAGCTCGCGCTGGTGACGCAGCTGCAGACCGTCAAGGACAACATCCGGGTCAATCACTTCAAAGCGTTGTTTCCTCAGGCGGTGAGTTTCCCTGCCTTCTGTTGAAGAAGGACAGCCATACTTGCTGGTTCGAGACGAGAACAGGAATGCTGATACAGGCTGGCCCGGGATATAGAACACCGTCATCGTCACCGTCACCAATCTAGTGGACAGCAGGAAACAGGGACAGAAGAACCAGCGGTACCTCGTCAATCAGCTGCTCGCCGACAACGGCGTCCCGGGTCACCAGACTCTCGTCATGGTCACAGACCCGACGCCCATGCAGATCTCAACGGAGCAGGCGGCCTCCTCGCAAGCAAATGCCTTTGGCGCCGCCAATGTTCAGGTGGAAGATGCCCCGGCCGTTGGATCCATCAACTCCAGCAATCAGGCCGTCGGCGGTGACCCCAACGCGGCGCTCAACGACAAGTCGATCAACCTGGCCGCCTTCGACCAGTCGGCGCCCTTCGGCCAGATTGGGCAGTCTCTCATCCTGCCCGCCGGCACGCTGGCCCCGCAGCTGGCCTCGGTCCCCGACCCGGCCTCCATCATCCTCCCCGGGCAGCAGGGGCTCTTCGTGCAGAACGCCGCGACGTTCCTCTCCGACTGCGCGACGTCGGTGGCGGGCGGGAACCAGGTCCTGGCCGGAGTCGCGGCGCAGGTCTTCTCGTCATTTCAGCAGATCGCCGCTGCGCAGCTCGCGGGGCTTTCGGGCCTAGGCATCTACCCCGCAAACCAAGGGCAGAAAACACCGCAGGCGGCGCCGGCTCCCGCGCAGGCACAGCCTGCGGCCGCTCAGCCTCCCGCGCAAGCCGTGACGCAGCCTCAGGCGAGCGCTCCGGCTGCAGCACCGACCTCGACATCGGCCGCGGCCGCGGCACCGCAAGCAGCCAGCGGGTCTGGTGTGATCATCGTAGGATCGACCCCGGGAGGGGCGAGTGCTGCCCAACCCCAGGCCGCCCCGGCTGCGGCGCCAGCTGCGGCGTCCCAGCCGGCGTAATGATGGGCATGGCACGTCGGAATGGAAAGTCATATTGGGGTTTGGGAAGGAAGCGAGGTTGACGGGTATATTCATTGGGTCACACAGGGCGTTGGTCTGGGCAGTCATGAAAGAGAAGGGAATAGTGGATTAATACATGACTTTAGAATGCGCCACGATGGTACCTCACTCTAAGTACGTAGTGTATAAGCTTCAGTAGTAATGACTCAAAACATTATACGAGGCGCAATGGGAAAGGACCGGGAGTTCTGGCTCTGGGCAGAGTGCCTTTGGCCAATAAAGCATTTACCTTCTCTAATGAGCCAGTGTAGTATCGTGTGATGTCTGGATATTTGACAAGGTAACGGCTTCGTATAAACACGCTTGTGTCGGCAGCACGCCAGAGCATTACGAAGCACGTTCATGGCCAGAGAGGTAGCATTACTGCCATCCAACACTACTCAGTGTGGGAGGTACGGTGCGTATCGCTGAAGATGACGGCCTGAAGGTCTGGTGCTGGGCAGTACGACGGGTACTCTTGGAAGAGGGGGGTAAGCAGCAAGTGCCTTATGCCGTGTGTGCCAAATAAGGACGAAAGGGAGCCGATATGAGACGGATTGCCGCTGGCTTGAGTAGAGAAACAGAGACAAGAAAAAGGACGGGGAAATGAAGCAGTGGCTTACTCCAGGTCCGCCGTCTTCTGACAGCCGGATGGGTGTGGCCAAGGTGCACGATATTCCCGGTCTGTCACTCTAGAGATGTCGGATCCATGGAGTCGGAAGCATGAGTTCGAGGCCTTTTCCCAAGAGACCCTGGCCCAATCGAGCACCAATCCCTGCCAGCGCGCCTCTGCTACTTTGCAGCGCCTCGGTGGAGACCATCCGGCCAATAGGAACATCGGAAAATTCTGGTGGGAAGCAGACGCCGGATAATCACGTGACCCTACCCTACCGAGCCCACGCCCAAAAAATTGTCCCCGTTCCCTCCACCACCGTCGATTCGCACCAGAGTCTAACCTTTCGACCGATCCGTCGTCAATCAACAAACTTCCCGACATCTAGGAGCAGCCTTCGTACGACAGTTGCCCAGCATGTCGCTCGTCTCGGGGGAGAAGTGTTCGTCCTGCCTTTGCGGTTCCTACAACAATGCGCGATTGCTAACCATCTGGCTGCAGCGAACTTCCAGTTCATTCTCCGTCTTCTGAGTATGTACTCCCCCTCAATCGCCACACCCTCAACACCCCATCGAAGGGGCCGACGACCCGTCCCCGATCGCGATGCATTAGCCGACAGCTGGAAGAAGGAAACCGGTGGCTAACGTGTATTTGTTCGCAGACACCAACGTTCGTGGTCAGGAGAAGGTCATGTACGCGCTCACCAAGATTTCTGGTGTCGGTCGTCGTTACTCCAACATTGTGTGCAAGAAGGCCGATGGTACGTCCGCGAATCCCGTCCACCCGCAGAATCCGCACACGAGGACTGCGCTGTAACACCCCTCTTTTGAGAAGAAGAAGAAGAAGAGGATAGGAAAGGTTGAAGAACAGAAGAGGGTGGCCGCTAACCCGTCTTCCAGTCGACCTGAACAAGCGCGCCGGTGAGCTCACCTCGGAAGAGCTCGAGCGTATCGTCACCATCATCCAGAACCCCACCCAGTACAAGATTCCCGGCTGGTTCCTTAACCGTCAGCGCGACATCGTCGACGGCAAGGACAGCCAGATCCTCGCCAACGGCGTCGCATCCAAGCTCCGCGACGACCTTGAGCGCCTCAAGAAGATCCGCGCCCACCGCGGTCTCCGTCACTACTGGGGCCTCCGCGTCCGTGGTCAGCACACCAAGACCACCGGCCGCCGCGGCCGCACGGTCGGTGTCTCCAAGAAGAAGGGTGGTTAAGCGTTACGGTACCGAGGATGATAAAAACGGGGGTTTTGGCGTGGGGGGGAACAATCATGGCGGCGCGATACGGCTGGACGTTTTCTCTCCATTCTCATCACTTCTCATGATGACAAACTCTACTGCTGGCATTACAACGAGGGGATTGCTATTCTGCGCAGGATGGTGGCGTCTCTAGATACCGAATCGGAAGAGTCCATCATACCAAAAAAGAAAAATCTAAAAAAGTACACCATTGACCCACGTGATGTGATGATGTGAAGTGACGGCTGCGTGCTGCCTCGCCCTGGTCACGTCAGGTGCGATAAGTAACGTGCCACAGCTCGCTTTGAGTACTGGGCAGAGACCACACGTATATGTTTCTAGAGACTTACGACGACTCTGCACCAAAGCATGGGCAGGCAGGTTGTTGGGACCAGTGACATGCCAAAAACATGCTCGCTTGACGGACGGCCAGCTTTTCCCAAAACCTGTGCGACCTGCAAGCGAGGCCCAGAGCCCACCGCGTGCCGAGCCCGGCTCCGTGTCCGGATCTGTGGGGTTATCACGACGCACTCCGAGCGGGAGAGTGGCCCCCCCCCCCCCACGTGTGGATGACCGGCTCCCAACCTTGGCGGGGGTGTGGTGTGGTGCAGTCGAGCCTCTTTCCACATGGTGAAACAAAACTCATGCCCGTATTCCTACCCCGGCCCTCCGGGACCCCGCGCGCTCTTACGGAGAGACGGCTGGTAATTGCCCCCCAGCGTGACGAGAGCATTCGAATCGTGTGGCTTCAGGAGGACGATAAGACGGCTTGCAATTTCATTCATACCTCCCTGGTCAGAAACGTGGCTTATAATTGTACGTTAGTTGGTACGGTATCAGCTGCGGCGGTGCTGGAGTCGTCGCCTGGGACAAATCTTACGATGATGCACGTGTCGTGAAAAGTCCAGAACGCGAGGAGACTTTGTGAAAGGACGCTTTATTCCCTGTCAAGCAGCTGCTAAAGACCCTTAGTCTAAAGGGGTATCGATAATCACGAAGCCCACCCCCTCACCAAACCCGTGCTGAGCCGCAAGCGACGTGCCTCCCCCATTAGTCCTCATGAATGACGGCCATATCCAGAACCTCAACCCTGCCCATCCCCTTCGTCTCCCCGGCGATGAAATCGCTTAGCCCCTTGAACGCTCCCGGCTCCACGAACCCGACGACCTCCCACTCGCTGCCCAGCACGTCCTGGCTCTCGATCTGCTCCACGAACCCGAGGATCCGATCCTTGACCGTGCCGGGTTTCTGCTTCGGCTCGTCGCCGTCGTCGTCGCCGCCGCCACCCTTGCCCTTCTCCTTCCCGGCGGCGGGCTTTTCCTTGACGGCCTGCTTCAGCACGCTCGTCGCGCACGTCACCCTCAGCCTCATCCGCGCCCGCTGCACGGGGATCGGCTGCGCCGCGATCAGCGCCTTCATCGCCTCCAGCGCCTGCGACTTGGCCGACTTGGTCGTCGTCACGCCCGTCCAGTGGAACCCCTTATCGCGCGGCTTCGCGTCCCCCTCCTCTCCGCCCGCGGGCGTCCCCGCGCCGCTCGCCGTCTTGGACCCGCCGGCCTTCTTGGCGTCCCCGCCCTCCTCCCCGTGCGCCGCCGACGACAGCATGTCCAGCGCTTTTTCGATCATGCCCGTCGTGTAGACCCTCTTGGTCCTCGGGTCCACGAGCCGGCTGGCGACGATCCCAATGACCTCGTTGTGCACCCGCTCCAGCTGCTCCGCCCTCTCCTTCCCGCCGACTTGCATCTCGCCCTTCTTCAGTATCTCCAGTACGATGTCGTCTGTGCTCTTGCTCTTGCCGAATGCCTTCTCCAGGTCCTCCTTGGGCGCCGTCTGGCCCTTGGACACGTTGAGGAACACGTTGGGGATCTGCAGCACGTTGTCCAGGTCCGTCTCGATCCCGGACCGCCACTCCATGACCTTGTTCTTGTAGCACGCGATCTCGAAGCGTTTCTTGCCCTTCTTGAGGCGTACCAGCGACACGTTGGTCAGCTTGATCTGGTTCGACGGCTGATTGATCATCCGCGACATGTTGGCGGTGGTGGATGGGACGGTTGCTATGTGTATGTATGTGATGTTTCTTTGTTCGTATGCACTCCTTTTCCCGTGGTGAAGTACGCCGCAGTGTGTGCTTTGTAGCGGCAAATAGCAGGAGGTCGGTCGTTTCAGCTTCGTTGGTGACGTTGGACTTGGGTCGCCAGAAAAGTTTTGGCGGGGTAGGACGTGTGGTGTGGTATGGCGCAGCTGCAATCAAGGAGGGGCAGTGGGCGGTGAAATACCTATTCATCTGTACCTATGGCGCACGCGGTAACTGGTCTGACGTTGTTTTTGCGGGTACCGAACGAGCCCTGGCAAGCTGCAGCTGCGCCGGTGACTAATACCGTCATGTCGACTCATCCCCGGCCGCCTGCCAGTCAAGTGTCATCCAGCCTGAGGAATCATCTCAACACGAAATAACGTTTACTGGGGGAAAAAAAGAAAAATCTTGTTCTAACCACATAACTAGATTTCTACTGCGCCGGGCTGATACTGGCGCTGCCGATGACACTTGTATAACCGGGCCCTCCCGTATTTGACAGACTCTAACATGCCCAAGTCTTGTACTACGAACCAATTTGAGCGTTCACTGTTGCGACAGTATCCTCCACGCTATTCCATCTTCCATCTCTCGTACAATAGACTCATCATGATGTGGGTGCATTTATGCAACCCACTCACCGCCAAGCCAGCGGTTCAAGAAGTCAGACGAGGCCTCGGGCTGGTCCATGGGTACCATGTGACCGGCGCCGTAGAGCTGCATAAAGGTGAAGTTGCCGCTAGACTTGACCTTGCCGTACTCCTTACCCTTGCCAACGGCCAGACTCTTGACCTCAGCCTTGTTGAAGCCCTTTTGGCCAGGCCATTCGAGGGCCTCGGTCCAGGCACGGTTACCGAGCCAGTTGCAAATGTAGTCGGCGTCGCCAGCGTAGATGAGAACAGGGATCTTCTCAAGAAGCTTGGGGACGATACGGTGGAAGGGTTGGAACCAATCACCAGCGAAAAGGAAGTTGCGGTTGATGTCGAAGTTGCAGCTGTCGTAGCTGTCGACCTCGGCACCGAGAGCCTCCTTGACCTCATCTTGGTTGAGGTACTCGCTGATCCAGCCAAGAGCAGAGTAGCAGAGGTTGCTGCTATCCTCGCACTTGCCGCGGATGTCGTAGACGTTCTGGCCAGTGCGCTGGTAGGGGCCGATAAGAGCGTTGTTGCAGTAGATGCTGGCGGGGACGCAAGACCAGACGCTGCCAGATTCGTAGCAGTTGTTGATCAGGCTCTGGCAACGGGGGAGAGCGTTATCCATGGCCTGGCACTCGCCGGCATCGAGAACAGCGGGGTAGCCGCCCTCGCCGCAAGCCATGGGGCGGTAGTAGCCGTACTGGGTCAGGCCGTCGGTCAGACCGTTACCAATCAGAACACTCTTGAGGTTGATGTTGCGGTCCTCGTGGGAAAGAATCTCCGAGGCGAAGACGGGGATGTAGTGGCCGGCGTACGACTCGCCGGCAATGTGGAAGTCCTGCTTGGAGTACTCAGGGAACTGGTGGAAGAAAAGGGAGAGCAGGGCGTAAACGTCCTTGCCGGCGGCGACCGTGTTGGAGACGGAGGAGCCGGAGTACGAGTAGCCAACGTTGACGGGCTGGTCGAGGAAGATGACGGAGGCGTTGTTGTTCCACGACCACTCGTTGTTGACGATCTTGAGCTTCTTGTCAACGGAAGCGGGGCCGAGCTCCATGAAGAGACCGGTCAGGGAAGAGCAGCCAGGGCCGCCGTTGAGCCACAAGACGACCGGGTCGTTCTTGGGGTCGTTGCGGGACTCGAAGAACCCTGTGCGAGGTTAGAAGATGGCGACGGAAGAGCACACGCCTGATGAAAACCTACAGTAGAAGAGATGCTTGTCGTTCTCCTCGTCGTCGAGGTAGCCACTGTACTGCTTGACCTTGTCGATGCCAAGGGCAGACGGATCGACCTTCTTGGCGCGCAGGTTGAAGTTCTTGAGGTCGCCAGCGATCTTGCGGTGCTTCTCTCCGTTCTTCTCAACCCACATACTCTGGACATCGGCGCCCTTGACGACGTGGTCCCACTTCTTGTCGGACTTGCGGTGGGCGGGCTTGGGCTTGGGGGGGATGGCGTTCTTCTTGAATGACTCGACGGCATCGGGGGCGAGCAATGTGATCTCGTCCCAGACGGCCTTGGCCTCTGTGGTCATCTTGCCGAACTTCTCCTCAAAGGTGGAGAGCCATTCCTGGCCGGCGACTTTGATGCTGTCAAAGGGGCTTTCGTTGCCACCGAGGACCTGCTGGTCCAGGGCTACCGCGGTTGAAGCGGCGCCGAGGACAAGGGCGGAGGTCGAGAACCTCATGATGGGCGAGTAGCTCAACGGAAATTGATGACACAAGCTTCGGTGATGGAATTCTAGATGGGAATGATGAAGGATAGTGATGTGAACCGACGGGGAAATGGGGGGAGAGAAATGAAAGATGGAGGGAGAGAGGATGGTGTTGATGGGAGGTTGGAGCTCGGCGTAAGGTGTGGCAGAAGGCAGGAGGGACCTCGCGGACGTAATAAATGAAACATGACGGACCCCCAGCAGTGACAGTGTAGCTTACCTATTATCGGGGCCGCTGTCGTGGCTTATGCATGCTGTTGTTGCTGTGGGGAGCTCCAGCTTGGAACGCCGAGCAACGACTGGCTAGTGAGCCCAGGGCCCATGGGTTGGCCAAACGATAGTCGGGGGAACATTGTCCGCCTGATCCCCCCCCCGCGCGCGCGCCTCAGACGCTAAAACGAGAACCTGCCTGCCTGTTGCAGACCCGCTATCGTCCCTCCACGGTGTTAAGGCTGTCTTTCTGTTAGTGGCGGGCTCCGTCTCGCCCCGCCTTGGTCGTCTGCGTCATGCCAGGTACTGCCGAGGGCCGTACACACCTCAGGCACAAGACACCTGTGCCTGGACTGGACAAGGGCCTTTTGCTGCGGCCGCTGGCCCATACTTTCGCACCCAGATAAGACTATCACGCTTCCTGATTCGCTGTCTGGGTACCCCAGCCCCCTCTCATCCTTCTCCCCAAAACGGGACGATTCCCAGGAATACCCAACGACAGCACATAAACGGCAAACTGCCCAGTTACCCAGCTACCCAGTTGCATTGGGCAATAATGGCAGGCATGTGATGTACGAAGTAGCAGACCCAGAGGATTTCCCAGCGATACAAACCCATGGAGCAAGCATAGGCTTTCCGTGACTATCCGAGGATTGTGAGCAATAGAATGGGCCCATGCAAGCAACGAGACGGTGTTGCGTGCGGGCTTCCGTGTAGAACGATCAAGGCCCAAGGCTCACGCTGCTCCACCACCGTCGACGGGTAACACAGATAGATCATTACTTCGAAGTGCTCGTAGGAGTAGACCCGATCAACATCGTCGATCCCAGCAAGGAAACATCGCCTCGTCAGCCCTAGTGACTGAATGACTTGCAAAGCCAACAGGCTGATCCCGGCGGCTTAAGTCCAACTGTGTGAGAACCTCTACGGCCATATCCCGTCGACCGTCATTCTGGTCAATCACAGTCGCCGTACCTTGTCCACACACGCACACACATAGGCTTCTTGCGATTCGTGGCGGGTTTTCAAGTCATGTCTCCGCCCCCGTCTTCCTCCATACCATTATAGAGAGAGAGAAAGCCCTTTGCTGCCACCTTGAGACTAGTACGACATCATTGCAACATCGTTCATCATCTTTAGCCATGAGGGCATTCTTGATTCCAAGGGGAAGAAAAACGGTGTGGTGCCAAATGCCATAGTGAGCTGGCCAGACGTTGTATTCATCTACCGTGGATGCCGGCCTTTTCCAGCCGTACGCCATCATGTCTCCATACTTTGCCCTCGCGGCATGCCTCTCCGTCTTGGGTCAAAAACATTAACCGGAAAAAAAACGAAAAGAAAAAAGAAAAAGAGACGTGACCATGCCGCAATTGTTCCCTGGCCCCATATCTTCTCCGTCTGTCCCAATGCCCATAATGTCACAGCCCGCCGACTTGCCCAGAACGCCGCCTCCCACTCAGCCTGCTCTTGAGCAGGCGGTCGAGGCCCCCAAGAACAAAGACATCAGGCCCTGCCATCCAGCCCAATGGCTTCCGCGACCGTGTCCCCCTTCGTTATCGCCGCCGTTGTCGGACGAAACACTCAAACCCCAAACACATATTAACTCCGTCCTCGATACTGTACATATATAGCCAGCTCCGTATACTGTGCTTTACAAGCCGATTCGTCAGTGCGGCGCGCTTTTCCGGTCACTTTGGATCGCGATTAAATTAACAACAGGGTGGCTCGGGTATATCGAACACTTGGACATCTGTGTGAGCCACCACCGTTGTGTGAGCTTTCCCATGCCTGAGAGCGCCATCTGGTTGTCGCTGCCGGATTCGGCTCCGACTCGCGGCAAGCCTTTATAATCATCAGCCAGCTGTGTCGGCTGCTGGCATTGAGGGGCTAGGCGCTCTGTTTCGCCGGAAAAACTGTAAGGCGTTCATGCGGAATCTGCTCGACTTCTTCTTCACCAACTTGCCGCCCTCCTCTTTGCCGCAAGCCCCCTGTGATACATGAGAGCCATTGGATTCGTGGTCCAAAAACACAGGCTCCGGCTTGGATTCGGCAAACGGCTTCGGTTCCGAAATCGTAGGTACGCCCGGCAAATGCTCCGTGGATTCTCTGCTGACAATGCTAGTGCCTTGAGTGCTCGGGGACAGAGGCATTTTGCCGGTGGTAGCACTTGTTGCCTGCGAAGCCCAGTCTCCAGTGTATGGCCCTGTCATGCTTCCGTCCGTTGTCTCGCTGCATCGTTGCTTTCCATTGTGGCCGTGGTGATGATCGGGGGAGCTGCTCGCCCTGTCCCGGCAGTGGAAAGGGTCACTTGCTGCAAAATCCGCCACTGAATCGAAGGATGTCAAAATCCCATTAACCTCCTTGAAGTCCTCCGGAGTGTCTGATGCGTGAGAAGACGTGTTCACCGAACTCGCTAGCTCCGGTGTAAGCTCATGGGTTGCTCGCTGTGACTCGTCCGCCGGCGGAGGTGTGGTGGTGATCTCCGCCAGCGGTGTCGTTACGCGAGGGGTTATGGATTCTCTGTTGCTCTCTGGCCCCGAAGCAAAACTCATAGTCCGCGGGGAGAATGTTCCATCACGGAGAAGCCTCTTGCGAATGGGATCCTCCTTTGCCTGCTCGTCTCGGATGCGTCGCTCGAAGAGACCCTTATTGATCTCGAGCTCATCGACCGTGTACTTCATTGCCGGGAGGATGTCGGCGACACCTTGGAAGAGGGGGATAGCAAACATGTTCATGAAGCTGAGCTGCGCCTTGGAAAGCGACATTGTATCCTTCTTGGGAGGCGAGAGTAGTGACGACGCGATGTCCAGCTCGCTCTCCATGGAAGCCTGGCGAGAAAACTCGTCCGAGAGAATGTGCATCCATTTCAGTGCGGTTTCATATTTCCTTGCCTGCGGACCTCAATGTTAATTTCCGGTGATGCGAATGAGATTCGAGCCACTTACCACATTGCTGATGTCTGCACACTTGATCAGTAATGAACATGCCAGTGCCTTCTGCTCCTCCAGCATGCGCCCGTTCCAGCCGTCGGTCGAGTTGCTGGTAGCCAGTTTTTCCTGGGTGTCTCCGAGCCTCTTCATGTAATCGAAGTGCATGCCCATATCGGTAGCAAGGATGGAGCTGATCAGCAGGTGCCTCATCTTCGTGTCCTCGAACGCACTCGGCCAATATCTTCGGAGGATCTGTGAGTAAGCAGCGCAGTGGAACGACTCAAGCACCGAGCGATCGTTGTACAACTGTGCGAGAGGGGCGTTGAGGGTGACTAGAAACCCGTTGTTTACACCAGGGTGGCCGACGTCATGCCCTATTGCCGTGATCAAGAGCGTCAAACCCTCAAAGGGATGCAGTATGCTGGCCATTGGTGACTTCTCTGTCGTGTCTGCTTCTGCCGAAGGATCGACAGGGTAGGGTGCGAGGGTGCCGATGCGGACCAAGAAGTGAAAGGTAGCCTGCAGGACGTCGATAACGTGCCGAAAGTTGTGATATGGAACAAAGTTATTGTAAGCAGCCCGGCAGGCAACCAGAAAGCTGATGAGCTGATCTACGCCTTGTCGTCAGCAACTGCCCGCAAGCACTCGCAAGAAGGGAACGAAAGACTCACCTGTCGGTATCCGCCAGCGATCCAATTCCGGCATAGTCAACGCATGCTTGAACATGACCATAGCTGCCACAAGAAGCTCATCGTCCGTGAAGCTGTGGGCGCAAAAATGCCATTGGCCGACGGCCGCAGCGACAGCAGCCCGACGATCGGTGGAGACGGATATGCTTACATTCGCAATCCGATCATCATCCGAATCGGCGCCGGACCGGCAAATGCCCCTCATGAGTCCGGAGACCATGGCTTCCCTAAGGTAGGAGAAGGGCTTCTCCTCGTTCACTCCGACCCATGAGCGCTTTCGTCCTCGGCGTACCTCGAGCATTTCCTGCTGCTCTCTGGCAGCTTCCTTATGCGCCCGATAAGCATGTATCTCCAGGCTGGTGATGCACTTCAGATGTACGGGACTGATGATGACGTCGACAGCGCCGAGGTCGAGACAGCGAATGATCAAGCGGCGATTAACTGCCGACGAGGATTTAGGCTTCTCGTCATTGATGGCCGAGACATCGTCTTCCGAGGTGGAAAAGCTGATTATAGGGATCGGGACGATCAGCCTCGACAGACTACGAAGATGCGCCTCGGTCATTATGCGCTGCAGCAGTTTGAGCCCGTATACCTCCTCTTCTGGGGTGTGGATATCGATTTCGGCAGTAGCTGGGCGAGAATGCGGCGAAGGCGATCTAGACCTTGAGCGGATCTTGGGCAGCCTCTCGTCGTGGGGAACGTCAATAAGAACAAGGGTTGGCGTCAAATCCATCATGGCATCGTCCGAAAGCTGGAAAAGCGTAGAGATGCATGCCGAGCCTGTGGAACACAGATAGACTGAGGCACATGATTAGTACGGTACGCCATGTATCATTTGGATGCGAGCCTACCTTCTCCAAAGGTTTCCAGCAGCAGCGTGGCGTCTTTCCGAATACTGTCATTCTCCTCCATATCGGTTGCGCTCCCGTTGGATAGGTGGATGTCCCTCGCGGCGTGTCGGATGAGCCTGTCATGGCGAACCTGGCGGTTCACGTAGACGACGTGGCACGTAGCATTGTCCATCATGGCTTTCGGGAGCAACCAGTCTCGCGACCGGAGCGCTCTGGCCACTAGGACGAGGAGAGTTTACGAGCGTAACGATGCGATTGACCAGAAGACGAGTCGGCAGGCTTTGCAGCGGGAGAGGTCGAGGACGGCGACCCAGTCCTATCAAGCGTCGTAGCACAGCGGCGCGATGCCCGAGGGGCCCCAGTGGATGCGCGGTCCTCGAAGCGGCAGGTTTCGCGGCGGAAGAATCGAGGCAATTGGAACGCAAGCGTGGTCGGGGCGTCGGCCAGGACCCTCATCAATGGGTTTGTTCCCCGAGTGCAGGCGATAAAACAGCAGCGCGGTGGTTTCGAAGGTCACCAGAATTGACATTGATTGTGGGCGCACAAAACCGGATTGGCCGAGAACATGAGCGGGTGTAGGGAAACCAATTCAGACGCTGGACCGGAGAGTCGAAGCGATCGGGCAAGGTGCGGGTTCGTCGTTTCGCAGTTGCGGGTACCGTCGCGCGGAAAGTTCGTTATGTACTCAAGGCGAAGGTGGAGGCTTTGCTATGCTAGGGTGCTGTCGACGGGCGATCGAGTCGGCTTGTTAGTTTTGCATGGAAGACAAAGAGGGGAGATTGCGAGTAGATGCAAAACTGAGCAAGACAGAGAAGCAGAGCACAAGAGGGAATCGACGACAGAACGGACGTGATATCATGAGGGCAGACTACGTACAACAGAACAGGGCTGGGACGAACCGGGCGTGGGGTTGGAAAGAAGGGAAAGAAGGCAACTGAGCGTGACTTGGACGGGGAGGATTGGAGTTTGGGTATTACAGGGTCGCAGGCAGGAAGGAGTACAATGGACGGGTCGAGTACGAAAATTGTTAAGCAAGGGGGTGGGTGCGAAAGTTGAGGAGGCGAGAGCGAGAGAAGGACGGGAGAAACAGACTCTGTAGTGCCGCTGCGTATGTGTGTGTGTATGTGCGTGTGTAACTGCGTGGGTGTGAGTGGTGTGCGAATGTGAAGTAAGTGAAGTACGATGGTATCCGGCCGAAGTTTATGACCCCTGTTAGGTAACTAACGCTCACCCCCCTACTACAGGACTTCACTTTTGGTGAATATTCCTCCCCTATCATGATATCAGCTGTGGGGGGTAACATCATAGGGGTCATTAACTTGCCCCTGCCACTCTGTACATAGTACCACGACTGGGAATGTGTGGTGTGCATGCGTGAGGTGCGGACATGTGGGTGTGTGGGTGGGTAGGCGGGCAGGGTGCAGAGGACTCGGAAAGGCTAGGTAGGTAGGTACCGTACCTAGGTACTCCGTAGTGTACGCAGCTCTTCCCAGTATATCCGTACACTGCCCAAATACCTAGCCACGAGTACGCAGTACACTACTGCGCTGCAAAGAGCGAGGGCGGCAGCAGCAACAGCCAAGTACGATGTAGGTACCGCAGCAAGGTACCAAGGTACGGCCGGCTTCTGAGTGAGACGGAGCACCAGGCCAAGCTTATCCGTACTTGCCTTTCGGGGGTTTAAAGGCCTTCCTTGTGCGGGCGGCCCTGCCCTCGCCTTCCATCTTCGATCATGTACCCACCTAGGTAGGTAGGTAGTGTACCTACCCAGTACTTACACTCCACTACGCACGCCTCCCAGGTACGTCTACTCGGCCCAACAAGGCAAGACGGAACAGAAGAAGAACCCCCCCCCCCTTCCAAAAAGCTCGTCTTCAAAAGAAAGTGAAGCTAGGGGAGTGTAACTAAATCCTCACGACGACGAACTACCACCGATTACCCTGTAGGTAGTAGATAGAAAGCGCAGTCCTGACCAGTTAGATAGACGCCTTTTCCCTCATCTTTACTGGTGGCGACTCTGAGTTTGGGCGAATGAGTAAGTGAGGGGGGGCGACTGCGTGCGCAACAAGGTGCTGGCGTCGTCCTCTTGCTTGTTATTTGCGATAGCTACACTTGGTCAAACCGAGGGGGTGTGAGAATACGAAGAGAATAGGGCAAGGGACGAGAGGAATGGGAGAGAAATTAGCGAATGCGGACGAGGATGGCGAAGAAGGCAAGGTGGCGGTGGTCGGTCGAAAAGAACCAAGAGCGGCTGAGTGTCCAGTCGTGGTGCGTAGCGTCTACGGCTTCCTTGATCTGCAAAAGGTACCTTACCTCGTGCAAGGCAGGAATGGCCAAGGCTACCTAAGTGGTAGTCTCGTGAGCGCGCATGTGTGTACCTCAAGGTTTACCGGGCGCGTGCTGTGGAAGGATAGACAGTTGCAGAGTCGAGAAGCCAGAACTGAAAGCCACTGAGAGCCCAGGTATTGCTGCGCTGCCCCGTGTTGTGCTGAGATGCAGATGCAGTGCGGTTCACTTTGGCCTCGAGACGGAATGCGGAAATGCTCTGCACCACTGCAACGCTACGCGGGGCAAGACAGGACAGGGCTGGTAACTTGGGTTTCCCAGGCCATGACGCCTGGGTCCGGGGAATTTATTTTTATTTTTTTAATTTTTTACTTGGCTGTCGCTCCATCTCTCCCTCTTTCTCGCTCGATTCCCACGTCACTGGGATACGTATCCACAGCAGGTTGCTGTATGGGGTCTTACATGTCGTGCGAAACAGCAGGTGGCATCCATCCCAATGTGCAATGTGGCGACGAGAGCTGCCTCGAGCATAGCACGGCACGATGCCGTCGGGTGCGGACATGGACGCACGCAACCAAACGGACACTGATGGACAAATTGGACCGGGTTTACGCTGGCAGCTGCAACAATGGTCAGTGAACGGGCATAACTGGGTATGTGCGCAGGGCAAGGCCGAGGACGTCCACCTGGATGCTAGCTACGGAACAATACATGGCTCCCATAGGAGAGGTACACTACGAGACATTAGGTTCAGTGCGCGAGAGAGAGCGAAGGAGGGGGGGGGAGGGCGCCAAAGGCCGGTCCTGGTCGGAATCAGAAATGTCACAATCGAATCTAGACAAGCTTGAGCCCCGGCAAGCATGGGACGATCACGGATAGGGGAAAGCGCCAATGAGGACGGCGAAATATACTTTATCGCTGAGCATCCGTCCGTACCTGCGGCGCCTTCAGCTCCGCAACAGGATACTCCTCGATCAGCGAAGGTCGGTCGAGGCAGGATACACCAATCACAATCAAGGAGTGTCGCTAGATGACTAGCCGAATGGCTGCTGCTATGCTACACAGAGTACTCCGTAGGCATATCCGTACCTACAAAGCGTACGTGTGTACGTCCTGTGCCTACGTTTATAGTGTACGAAGTACTGTACTTACATAATTGCTTATCTGTCTATTCGTGCGACGACGCAAGGGGGCGGGGGAGGAGGGGTTTGGTGAGAGACGGCAGGAAAGAACGGGAAGGGGCCCTGCCCCCGGTTTTCGGGCTCTTTCTGGAACATCAATCGAAAGTATGGAAACCTTCCAGAGGGCCACTTTGGGGATTTTGGAAGGGGGAGGGAGGCGCACCGGGAAGGGGATTGACACTGGAACGGCTGGGAACAGGGTTCGCAGGGTACCTTGTGTACCTGCCCGCCCAGGTAGGTAGGTAGTTTACAAGCACGTCAAAGGCAAGGACAGGGGCCCGGGCCCAATGACGGCGACTGTGAGCTGGCTGGGCCCAGCACTAGTGCAAAGAGGATGGGCGGGTTGAGTAATCACTGATTGTACGAGCCCAGAGAAGCACACTAGAAACACTGCGAAGGGCATATCCCGGGAGGGGGAGCTGCACCGTGGGTATGTCGCCAATCACCTTCCCGTCCGCTGCCGTCTCTGACTTGGCTCGAACCCTCATCTCAGCTGGATGACGCCTGGTGTCTATCTTTCACCCAGCACGTGCCCGAGTAGGTATCGGCATACCTATCTCTCCCTCAATGCGGGCAAGTGCTAGTAGTGAAGGGCGAACGCAGCTGCGTTTTTTGTGCACTTTGTAACGTACCGCCACGTTCATGCCTGCCTCAGTTGAGGAATGGCAGTGAGAGCCAACGAACATAGCCGGCAGACTAATGGGAATGAGACTGTTCTTCCTTCCACCTTCTTTTGCGACACTCCGGTCAATCATTGTTGATGTCTTTTTCTTTTCCGGGTTAAATCTGAGAACAGGCATACTGACAAGGTCTAGATGTTTTCTCTCAAATGGAGTCCCGTTCCTGGAAAAAAGCCTCTCGATATCGGGGGGAAGGGGCCACCACAGTCGGATTCCTTTAGGGGGCGCGGCACGTAATCAAAACGAACGCAGTCCGTTTGTCCGAAAAAAGAAACGACACCTCCCCCAAAATACCCACCAACTCGGTAAAGTACCCTCTGTCTCGTCCATATCTGACCATTTCTAACTCATCAATTCTCCATGCCATCTCCATTCTCCGCTGCAACCCACTCCGAAACCATCAATCCTATTAACAAACCCCGACATTCCACAAAGACCTACCACAGCAACCGCCAACTGGTAGCACTCTATGGTGAGTCGCGCCTTTGGTCGCTGTTACTGGGTGACGTCGTCTCCAGGCTCCTCGAGGTCGTTCTCAAGGCTTGCTTTGCCGTCTCCATCTCACCTTGCCAATATCAGCGTCGCTGCATGCGCTCGCTCTGCTACACTTGCGTCTCACTTCCGCCGATCGCCTCTGTGTTATTCGCATGGCGGTCTGCACTAACAACGATCACTCAGCCTCCCAAAAATCGCCCGTCGCGTGGGAGGTAAGAAAGTTGGAAATGTCGTGTCGAGATGGCTCGACTCGTGTTGCCGATGCTCGCCTCGCACGAGCACGAAACTGAAGCTAGGGCTGGCCTGCCACGCAATGAATCCACATTGCGTCCACATCATGGGCAAACATAGTTCTGCTGCTGCCCTGGTTGTACCTAGGTTGCTATCCCACTTTTCGCAATACCGCCGACGACCCCTGGTCGGTTCCTTCTTCGTGTCTTCCAGAAGTAATGGGGAGGTGAGCAAGGGGCGACGACCGATGGCTCATCGCTGACACCATGGTCGCCTTCCGTCATCTCTCCGTGGATAACGTCCCGGATCTACCCCACACGCCCTGATTGATTGCCTGACATCAGCTTGGCTCTGCCCTGTTCTGCCCTAGTAAGACTGGTTCAGCCGACACCGTAATATTGTTCGTACATAGTACGACGCGGAACATGGCACGCACCAAACCAACCAACGAAGCTCGGCTGCTGTTGCACAAGATTGATCTCTGGTTCCCATCATGCACGCTTGAGACGAACACCAGCTGCATCAAATCAAAATCTGCGGTGCCTTCACAACACAAGGTCGAACACGATGCGAATTTCGTCCGCATGGTACAAGTCGCTTGTCAGACAGCGATGAACACCCCCGGGCTATTCTCCGTGTCGCAAGCCAAGAAATTGCGACCGCTCGGACATGCGCTACAAACTCTTAGACTTTACAGTTGCACCCACAACCAACCACACCCGCAACCAACTACAGGCCCTTTCCCTGACTCCGAGGCTGAGCAACCATCTGGGTCTCGATTCCCACAAAAGAACGTACCAAGATAGCGCTCGTTCCTCGAGAGTCTAGACAATGGCCGACCCTTGTATGATTTCCTGTTTTCGAGGGTCGATCAACCAAAGCGAGACTGAATACTATTAGTCACAATCAATCTTTTGTGGGAAATGCCGCCAGCTTTCAACTTTGCGATATACCTAGCCTCAAGGGAACCGCATCTGGCCGAAGATGGGCATTTCGCTCATGGCTACTGACATCTGTTCCCTGGTGACGCCAGAAGAAAGAAAGGAAAAAAGAAAAAGAAAAAGGCCCGATATATACCGCCCTTGGCCGAACCAAACGGTATTTGATACATCATCTTATTCGTGGTCTAAGGGTGTCGAGAATAACCTTGCTCAATGTAAACCAAGAAGACCCTGTCAGTACACACCCGTGTCCCTACGTCACCTTGCGCTCTGGTGCCGCCAGGCAAAAATAAGATCGCCCCAGATGTCATTTACCTGATCCTTCTGACGAAAGTTAGGAAGAAAGAAGCTTCGTCTGTTTGCGACTAATTGATAAACATCAAAGAGTCCCTCGGATGAAAACGATGTTTTCGATACACGACCCTTCTGCCCCCTCAATGATCAGTGTGCCATTCTGACCGACACTCTACCGCCGCGCTCGGCGAGTCTCACTTTTTGACTCGTTATCCCATACCTGCTTGTCTCATCGAATCGACCTTGCTCGTTCAGGCGTTGTCTTTTGTGGCGTCTGGCGCATACGCCCGCCGGCAACCAGTCTGCTCTAGATCTCGCACCGTAGATCACTTGTATCTTTTGACGATGATCCATGCCATGTTGTGCTTCTTCTTGTTTTTGTTTTCTCCTCCTCCTCCTCCTCCTCCTCCTCCTCCTTCTTCTCCTTCTTCTTCTTCTTCTTAGCTGGCGCCCCAGCGAGTGCTACGAGGCCATTCTGTGGCACGGCTACATTTGAATCAGCCAGCGATCAACCAAGGCGGTTATTGTGTGGCCAGCTCTAACACCAACTTTGGCGCATTGAACTCTTCACCAAGCTCTAGCTACCGCTGGCGGGTGAGCTGTACCTGCTTTATATATATGCATTGAGGAGTTATCCCAGTTCTCGTCCGCTCGCCAATGGCATCGCATGTCACCACCCATCGACATGGTTGGCACAGAAGCGTGCAGGTTTGCACTCAATCCTTTGATTCACTTGCGACGCCAACACTCTCCTGCAAGAGCAGCAAACCGACATAGAGGGTCATGGTCTGTTCACTGATTCCACAGTGCGCCCACGTCTGCATCAAGCCCTTGCAGGTGATGTTTTCGGTTTTTTGGGTTTTTTTTTTAACTCTGACACCAGGCATCCGTATCCGTCTCGCCCTGTTCTAGTTTACGTGCGCGTTTTGGTGATGGAGAGTCAGGAGACCTGGCAGTACACAATTTGACACACACCCCGCCGTTTTCCCGCTTGCTGAGGCTTCCCGGCCGCAGCTACAGCTGAACTCGAGGTCCGCGACTTGATCGGCCTCATCACCAACACGCCCGCAGCTCTTCACCCGCAGCTCTACGCCCGCGTCTGCCGAGGAATCCTTCTGTCGGCCCGAATACCGCTGTCCACATCCCGCATCGGCGTTCCTTGATCGCCTACACCGGGCGAGAGAGGGCGCAACCAAGCTGAGATGCCCTTGCATACCCTGATCACAATTTTTGAGTATTTTGACCATGGGGCGGTATGCCGACCAGCAGCGCGCCTCACCAAACGTTCATGTTTGGACGACTCATGGTCATTTACTTACTCGTTCTTGTATCCATGCTCTCTTATCTATTGACCTGGCCGGTGGATCTCCACCATGCTCGCCTACATAGTAGCATTCGTTCAATCGGGCAGACTTGAAAACGGTTTTCGACTTCAGGCCGCTCTACGTCCCGACTGGACGTTGCTTCGGCGCAGTGCACCAACCTGAGACGCTGTACCGTGTCCCCGCACACCAATCACCTCTCTCGTTGCTGCCTATTGGAGGATGCAGATATCGCCGTCACCCTTGCTGCGACATTCCTCATTCATGGTTTCCTCCGCCGCCCATGATTCCCGTCATTCCTCTTTGGTGTTCACAGCTGTCCACGTGCCCTTCCATTAAACGAACTTCTCAGACGGGCAGGTATTCCGATTAAACTCGGCCATCCAGTTCGCTTGTTCTACGGAGATGAGGGCATCTGCGCCATTGGGTGTCACGACGCCGCTACGATGTGAGCGAGCCATACAAAGTAGTCTCACCTATCTACCAGGCGAGTGAGTAGTAGGGGTGTTAAAAGGCAGCGAAGGGCATGGGGGTAATCCCAGACCGCTGAGGTGAGGCCCATGATGGTTCGCCACTTACGGTTCGTTTCAGCCCTGCCGATCCGCCCAAAAGACTTCTGTCCCCCGGGATCCACGACGCCCTTAATCCCTCTGAGCCCCCCTTCTTTCTTCTTCTGGAAACATCAGAATATAGTGTTGTATTTGCTATCGGATGTTGGCCGAGGAGGAAAAGAGGCTCTTTCGGCGACATGTCTCGAGGGAAGGATCCCATAGTTGCACGGCACGTCCTATCAAACTCGGGATAACGGGTGCAGAAGCAAACCTGCTGTTGCTCGCTCGCACGTCATGATGCGAGTTTGGGGGGGGGGGGGGGGAGCGAGAGGAGTGACGCGGGCCGAATGTTCCCTCCTGCTTCTTATCCCCCGAGTCGTAGATGCTCCTATAGATCGCCCCAACTTTTAGCGCGTGCCGGGGAAGAGGGCAGAAGACGTGTCTCTAGCAGCCCGGGATCGCTTCAGCCGCGGTGGGCGTTTTGTATAGACGGGAAGAGATACAAGGCCACGTAGGTTTCGGGATGTCTTCGTTTGAGACGGTGCTCGGTACGGATTCCGGGAAGGGGGCCGGCCCTAAGTTCCAGGCCTACCCCACGTCTCCCATCCATATTTCTCTTATACCTGGGCATCGGCCGAGGACAAGCCCAGGCGTCCATTGCTCGCCGGGCAGGGTTTTCGTATACCAAGCACAGCCCGACGGACGCTAAAGCTGGTCGCTTAGGGTGGGAAGATCTCGGGTTCGCGGATCGGCCAGGGCATCGGCCAGCATAAGAGCCGTGGACTCGTGTCGGGGAGGGGGTTCGTTCGTCGGCGTCCGTGTTGCTGGTGGGCGGGTGGGTTTGGTCCAGGCCTGGCGTAGGCATTGAATCGGCGATCAGTACTCGCGGTCTAGACGCAATTCCGTCTTCAGGTATACAATCCCGCCGGTGCGGCGACTTCTTTGCGCCAGACGATGACTGGTTTGGCATATCGGCTGGAAGGTTGACGCGGATGTGGGGGGGGGCTCCGCGAGACTGCAAGTGCAGCGTGAGATGAAGGGATGACGGTATTCGGGTATTTTGTGTTGTTTTTTTGCGAGAGAGAGAGGGGGAGGGAGGGGTTGATCGTTTTCTCACTGACGAGGTCGAAGGGGACGGTTCAAGCGAAGGTATGGATAGCTCCGGTCTGTGATGCCGGAGGTCGATACAACGCGGGGCATACATATATAACGCCGGGGACGAGGATCCTCGGAGGGCCTCGAGCTGGTTTGGAAACCCGGGAGGGGGGTATCAACGGCGCCAAAGCATCTTTCCCCCCCTTTGGCGAGATGTGATGCTGCCCAGGGCGATCGGCTGGCTGCGGGGTCCTTTGGCATTCTCTTCATGGGAACAAAAGAATAGCTTGGGGAAGGGAGGGGAGGGGAGGGGTTGTCTTTCTGCTTTTGGCGACACGGGATGATCCCAGCGGCCCACGAGCACCATCACCTCGCCCTCGTCGAGGCCGGGTAGCCTTGTTGAGTGGGCGGTCCGCGGAGGGTCGGTCGACGTGCTGTCCCAAGGCGCCTCGGAAGCTACGTGACAAGCACCCTCCGCCCGCCGGTCGACGGTCTCTCCGTCCGTCGTCCTTGGGACCTGTGTGTGTGTGTGTGTGTGTGTGTGTACTCTCGCCCGAGAGTCGGCGGTCGGCGACGTCTCCACGCAAGGGGCTGGCTTTGACAAGAGCATCCCCTGAGCTGGCCGGCTGGACATGTTCAGACCTACGTGCGGCAAAAGCCCGTCATTTTCGAGCGTTCTGTTGTCACAATCCCGCCGTATAAGCCAACGTGTGTCGGTGTCTCCCAGGTTTTTTTTTTCTTTTTCCCCATACTACTTGGGCCGCGTCAGCATGACCTGGAAAAGAATATCAGCGAGTTGTGACGCAAAACCTGCCGGCGACCGGCGAGGCCCGCACACGGAGCCCCCCCCTTCTCTTTGGCATGTGAAGAAGAGAAAACGAGTCGTGATCCGGGGAAACTTGGGGGTTTGGCAAGCCATGTCCGTTCGTGCCCCCTCCCGCGAGACTTCCTCGACATTCCGGCCTCTGAAAGGCAAAGAGAAAGGTAAATGTTTTTTCTTGGTTGGCGGGCCCCCAATCCGTGACGACGTCACGCAGGTAGACAAACCTAAACCCAGGACGAACGCCTTCACTGCCCCCGCTTCCCCTTCCCCTCCCCGCCCACCTGCTATTGGGAGGAATAAGCCGCCAACCGGATACACTAGAGGAAACAGCACGCGTCTCGGGCCCCATGTTCGCCCACGTGTAAGCTCTCTCTCTCTCTCTCTCTCTATGTAGGGAGTAGCTTCTCACAAGAGCGACTCACTCGCACACGTCCAAGGAGCGCGGGGCTGAAGAAGAGGCGGCAGGCTCTACTGGAAGTATAGCACGGGCAGCAACCGCGGCGTGGGGTCACCGGCAGAAGACAAGGGCATCATCAGGCCGAAGAGGCGGGCACATGCCATCACGTTGCAACGCACGGCGGTTGGGTGCGGATGTGGCTATAATTCCCTCTACAGCGAGCCGTAATACTCAAAAGCCATACACATGTGGCTCATGCGTCCCCAAGGCTTCCAACAACAATGAAAGCGAGGCCGAAGACCGGCCTCGCATATGCCAGGGCATGAGGGGGCTCTATCTCTATTTACGCCTCATTTGTATCCTCTTACTTTTGTGAGTGCGCGCGTGTGCGTGTGCGTGTGTGTGTGTGTGTGTGTGTGTGTGTGTGTGTAATGCTTCCCTTCCTTGACCCCCTTATTCATAAACCCCATGATGACGAAACCTGTGCTTGTGGCTCGATATGCGTCGGGGCTTGCATCTGCTTCCCCTTGCGACGCCAGAGCGGGCAACCGTTCCCTCCGACCCTTCACAAAATAAGCAGTATCCTACGTTTTGGAGGCCCGGCATCTAAAACTCCTAAGACCGTGTGCGAGCGGGTTGTTGCTGCTCAGCCTCGTCGTCGAGGTGGATCTCAGCAGCCTCCGTAGAGGCGGCATCGTCGTCAGCAGCCGGGACGGAGATGACCTGAGGCTTGTTCTGACGGTCCCACGCAGCGTTCTGAATCTCCGAAAGGCCGACCTGAGCGCCAAAGTCGGGTGGCGGCGGTGCCTCTTCTAGAGTGCCCTCGTAATCCCCCATGGTCTCGTCGAACGGCATGTCCGTGTCATTGCCAACCTCGTGGTCGTCCGAAGAGTCAGGCTGGGCGTCATCGCTGCCGTAACCCTCCATGCCGAGAGAGTTGTTGGTTCCGTCGTCGGCAGACCCCAGCGAGTTCCAGTTCCAAGGCTGCGCGGCCTGGAAGCCGTTCGAGCCGTCGGTGAAATCCGTCATGCCGATGCCCTCGTCCTCGATGCTGTTTTGTATGTTGTCGCTGCCGACGTTGGTGCTGGAGCTGCCCTCATAAGGCGGCAGCTCATCATCGCCGGCGCGGTTGGCCGTGGACATTGTGCTGCTAGCCAAACCACGATTTCCGCGCGGGTGAATTGCTTCGGCTCCGATCCCAAGTCTCGACGATCCAGCTAGGGAGGAGCCCCCGACGAGACGCTGATCTTCCCCCGAGTCGGTGCCATCCTCCTCCTCGTCCTCGCCAGCCTTGTCGAACTTTTCAAATATTTGCTTGAAGCGGGGACCACCCAGGGGGCCATCGGAACGACGGCGGTAGAAGAGCAGGTACGCAGCTCTGGTGACGACGCTCTCCGGCGAAGTCTTGCTGACCGAGGTGTCTGCAACTGGTTAGCACGTCGCAAGCTCACGTCGTGGAGGCGCATCTCACCATTATAGTTGTACCACTGTCCGTCAACAAAGTTGCGTCCATAGGCAGTGTAGTGACCACCGCCCAGGCCACCAAAGTGATCGTCGACCGCGATGAGGTCATAGATCTCTTCTTTGCCCGTCTCCT